TGTTGCAATCTTTACTTTATTTTAACTTGACAAACCGTTGCAACTTTTAGTATATCGCAATATTTCGTTTATTTTTTGTTAACTTAAAAAATATATTTTACGTTATGTTTTTTGAGAAAGTTGCAATCCGAGTAAATGTTTATACGGTTGCAACTTTTTATTGTACCTCTTCATAAAACGGTTGCAATCATTTAGTTGAACCATTGCAACATTTAATTTATTTCACAAACAATTGCAACTTTAAGTTTATTTTATAAATCTTTATAACATTTAATTATCTACCGGATGTAACTTTTCATAAATTATTATTTTTAATTCTTAATTTTTAAATACTAAAATGTATTTAAATGAGATTGTAACTATTTAATTGAATTGTTGCAACATTTGAATTATTTGACGAATCATTGCAACTTTTGGTTTTGTTTTACGAGACATTGTAATCTTTAGTATATTTGATGAACCATTGCGGCACATAGTATATTTGACAAACAGTTACAGCTTTTTGGTATATTTGATATCTACGGTCGCGTCTCTCGGTTAAAGTTCATCATATTTTTTTAAAAAATTTAGTTACAAAAATATATTTAAATGAATTGATGTTACCGTTTAATTTAACATAGTAGCATTTGGTTTATTTGACGTTGAACATTTTGGCTTATATATCAAACTGTTGGTTTATTATTTGATAATTTTTGCACTTGGGAATAATTTTTTAGTTACAAATTAATGATTTTCTAATATGAATATACTTAATAAATGCTTGTGAAAGTTTTCTTTATCATTATTTTGTAAAATATATATTGATTTGTTATTAAAAAAATCAAAATTATTACAATTCATTATGATATTGGTTTGATATTTTTTAAACGATTTTGGAAATATAATCCTCCGCGACATCGTGGGGGTCCTGAGTCCTAGTATACTTAATAAAAATAAAACATTATCAATCTGTCGAAACTATCTTCAAAGCATTTTATGATTATCTTGCAAAACTATTTTCAAATCATTTATTGTTCATCCATTTCATTATTCATCCATCATATTAACTATCACATATATGATTTTTTCTTAACAACAGGGTGTGGGAGGAGCAATCGGTTACAATGGGACTTGGCTCATAAACTCAGCATGCCATATTTGGGGCTCGCAAGCATGGAATACCAAGGACACTTCTCGTAACGTTTGGTATTTTATTTACCCACGCTATTTTTTAATATATAGACTGATAAATCTTAACGGAAACATATAAACCTTCACTGAATAATATTGAATGAATGTGGAATGGTTCAGGTGGCTAGGGCCATTCACGATGGGAGAGAGCTGGCACAACAACCACCATGCCTTTGAGGCGTCGGCTAGACACGGACTGGAATGGTATCAGGTAGACTTAACTTGGTACCTCATTTGGTTCTTCCAGGCTCTCGGTTTAGCCACCGATGTCAAATTGCCTACCGATGCTCAGAAACGCAAGATGGCTTTCGCTCGTTAGTCTCAGCTGGCTCCAAGTCTATGAATCTATCTATTTCGTGAATTATATGTGTACTCATCACCCGCACATTTGTTATTTGATGTAAAACTATTAAGAATAATATGTTCTCATGAACTTGTAAACTAGTCGTGATCCAACACCTTTTAAGTACATTTCACGTTGTATGAACGAAAACCGATATGATACATTATCTTTACACAGTAACCGAACCTTGTGCAAGAAATTTCAGAAGATGTAATCTGGTAACTCCAGAGACAACTCAGCAACTTCGAATTGAAGTGACTCTCTTTTGGATCAAACTGAAAATAAAGGGAACTAAAAGGACTTGTATATCAAACTCTGCAAAATTTCCAACCTCGTATTTATAGAACTTACCAACCTCTTAATTTACATATATTTTTTTTTTTCTTAATTTACATATTTAACGTTATCAAAAATAAAAGTCACATTTAATTTAATTTCTTTTTCAGTTATTATACATATGGTCATGTTGGATCCACCCGCCAAACCTTTTAACAGTAATTTTAGTAACAAAATGCCTCAAATCTAAATCTTAGATTTGAGCTAGTGGGGTCTCACTAAATTTTGGATCACTCAACCACTAGTTCAGAATAACTCGGGCCATCGTCAATCTTTATAATACCTTTAAATTTGAGCAGAATCTAGCTATAAAATTATGATCTAGTTAGTTGAGTTAACCGTTTTTTTAAAACATTAATATCTACAGTTGTATGCATCCACCAGCAAAACCTATGATTCTTAAGACTTGTAGAGTCTGAAATATATTTATTCTCTAATTTTTAACCATGAATATTTATGTTGTTTGTTGTAGCAGGGAGATCCGATTGATTGGGTAAGCACACATCGATATCATCACCAGTTTACATAAATATTCAAGGATTTGGTTCAGTCACCAGCGGTATGGCTATTTGATAGGAGTTCCGCTTATCTTGTAGTAGTGGTTATTACCTATTGAGAAGACTAGATTAGTTTCACATTATTAATATGGAGGGACTTGAAGAGGCTAATTTTTATCAGTGGAAGTTTGCAATATAATCGCTAATATTGAATTATAAAAGAGATTGAAATTTCTACTTTTACTAGAGATATACATATACTGTATTTTTTAAAAAAAAATTTAATGATTGAATTGGTGAAATGAAAGGTGCCTCAACCAACTATTTCTATTTTAAAAGGTCCATGAGAATATTTAATCTTGGCACATTATCCAAGAAAACGCTCAAAGTACTAAACAAGAAAAATGTATCAGTGTCATCGGACTACAACAGAACAGGTGAAACAAATTCTCAAAGGGGAAATTAAATTGGACCAACTCCAAAGGCATTCATGTTCACCATCCAAAAACCCCACATAAAGATTATTTATATTGTGTTTCGGTTTTTTTGAGTCCATTTTACGAGCACATATTAAAATTTTAAAATAGTTGATTTTCATTTTTAGTAAGTATTATTCCTAATAGAAACGCAAACAACTTTTGAATGATTCTTTTTAAATAAATGTATAACAATTCATTTATTATAAATAACCCGTAAACAATGATGTCATATATACACTGAATAATATTTTTGTTGTCTATAAATTTGAATTTCAAAAAAAAAAATTACAACACAGAGACAATGTCCTATACATATTATGCAAAAAAAAATAATGTCTTTAATGTAATATAAAAAACATGTGAAATATACTACACTTTTTATATAGAAAATAATCGACCTAACTAAAATTTTCGTTTTGGAGACGAGGCAAATTAAATACGAGGTAAAGTGTACAAGTTTATTATGTTGCTGTTAGGTAGTGATGATTATTTTTACTCAATCCACCGATGCAACTTTTAGTCTCCACAACATTCAATTAAAATGACCAACTTTTTTTCTCTATATTAAGCAAACCTTCAATCAATCATAACTCAAAACATTTCTACTTCATATATCTCAAAAATAACAAACCCATTCCTCAACGGTCTGATGAGTAACACCACTAAGGACGATGGCTGTAGCCAAAACAAATCAGTGCGTAAGGAAAAAAGAGCGTTTTTTATAAGGAAATGGACCCAGTTCGATGTTGGGAGAGCTTCGACTGTTGGAATCGTGCATCTGTTGTGTCTATTGGCTCCTTTTAACTACAAATGGGAAGCATTGAGGTTCAGTATAGTTCTCACCTTAGTGACAAACCTCGGCATTACATTCTCTTACCATAGGAACTTGAGTCACCGGAGCTTTAAGCTACCTAAATGGCTTGAATATCCATTCGCTTATTTTGCTCTTTTTGCACTTCAGGTAAATATTGTTTTAACCAAAAACAAAGATGAAACTAATTACAACCAATATATATGTATCCTCAACTATCTTTGAATTGTTTCTCTTTTCTATTCTTTTCAGGGTGATCCATTGGATTGGGTGAGCATACATAGATTCCATCACCAGTTCACAGATTCTGACCGTGATCCACATAGCCCTATCGAAGGATTCTGGTTCAGTCATGTTTTGTGGATATTTGACACCGATTATATCAGAGAAAAGGTAACAAAACGTTTTTAAGTCTCCAGAAACCCAACATTTTGAGATTCTAATAGAAGATTTGTAATTAACTAAAGGCGGATGTTGTAATAATCGTAACAGTGTGGAAGACGTAACAACGTGATGGACTTGAAGCAACAATGGTTCTATAGGTTTCTAAAAAAGACATTGGTTCTCCACATCTTTCTATATTGGACCCTCATCTACTTATGGGGTGGTCTACCTTACCTAACTTGGACCGTGGTAAAATCTCAATTTATTTTCTACAATTAATTCGTTTATATCAAATGCGTTTTTGTGATTTTCTAACAAAAACTAATTTAATTTTCATTTTCAACTATTTCATTATTCCTCTATTTCACTATGTTGGAAACAGGGTTCTGGAGGAGTATTCGCTTACCACGGGACTTGGCTCGTAAACTCGGCATGCCATATGTGTGGTTCGCAAGTCTGGCACACCAATGACACCTCTCGTAACGTTTGGTATTTTGTTTAACCACTCTAGTATTATCCTCCACATGTAGATAAAAAAAAAAAAACAAAAAACTAATCCGGAAGACCAAAACCTATCCACAATAGACAGTTACAATTTGATTACTATACCAAACAAAACCACTTTCAATGCGGTTAATATTGAGTGAATGTGGAATGGTGCAGGTGGCTAGCGGTATTGACTATGGGAGAGAGCTGGCACAACAACCACCATGCCTTTGAGGCGTCGGCTAGACACGGACTGGAATGGTATCAGGTAGACTTAACTTGGTACCTCATTTGGTTCTTCCAGGCTCTCGGTTTAGCCACCGATGTCAAATTGCCTACCGATGCTCAGAAACGCAAGATGGCTATCCCTCGTTAATCCCAGCAATAATTCTATCTATATCGTTAATTATCCGTACTCATCAGTCATCACTCACTCTTTTGTTTTTTTAAGTAAAACTGTTAAGAATAATGTGTTCTCATGAACTTGTAAACCAGTTGATCCCACACCTTTATCTTATAAGTACATTGCATGCTGTATGGACAATGAAAACCGATATAACGAATTATCTTGAAAGAGTAACGAACCTTGTGCCAGAAAGAGTTCAGAAGATGTAGTCCGGTAACTCCAGAGGAAACTCTGCGACTTTGACTTCGAATTGACTCCCTTTTGGATCTCTCAAACTACGAAAAAGAAATCAAAAGGTCAAGATTCCAGTTTAATTTCAAAACTAGAGGATAAATGGTCTAGATTCTTAACATCATAGAATGAAGCATACCTTCCAGGCACAAAGGTGAAAGAGCCTTCAATGGATCCAGCAGTTGTTGGAAAACTGGAACAACTCTCATACACAAACTCTTCCTCTCCGGCTTGTAAGAGCGGGTACTACATATATAACAGACCATATTAGAAAACAGAGTTCATATCACACAAAACAGAAAGCGATTGTTGGTCTAACAATTATGCTCCTTCAACAAACAAATTGTTGTTATCTTAAACTAAAGAAACTATACCTTTCCTATCACAGCTTCTCCATTAACATTATCTATCGCTTCATTATCAGCTCGGATAACCCAACGTCTCCAATACAGTTGGCAAGAGCTATGATGTGTCCCATTCAAGATGCATCCTTCTGGCATGAGAGACATCCGGATTGAATATGCATACCAGTATGCCGGTGGCTGATCCCGAAGGTTAGATATTTCCGGGATAAAAACAGACGAAGCACGTACCTACATTGTTAATGAACAAGCTTTTCAATCTACAATCCACAAACCTGAATATCAATAACTGAATAACACACTGCTTACCTGCACACCATTAGTTACGGCGACAGAACACAAGGGAGGAATCTCCGGGAACAAACTGATACTCTTGACATTGTACTGTTCGCGGACTTTTATAGTGCCGGTTTGTAGCCGCCGGCCATGTTCTTCCAACCAAAGCAGCATGGCATCCTGCTGCAGATCGCCGTTGATATCATGAACAGATCTAACCAAAGAATCAGGGACACAAGGAAGCAATTGGCGGTTACTTGTCCCAGTAAAAAGCTGTCCGTTTGTGCAGTCTAATAAAAAGATTTTCAGACTGGCAACTACGGATGCAGCCATAACGATAAGGTTTAATCTGCTGGAGAAACCGAGGTGGAGCATGGTTTCCTTGGTCTCCCTAATGACTTCCTTAAGAGGTAGCAAGTAGACATTAACGTCATGAGAATAAGCAGAATAGCCACCTATAAGCCCTAAAGAGCCATCAAGCCCATTGGAGGAAGAAAGCTCTTGACCATCAACGAAACGGTAGAGAAGCCTTGTGGGAAGAGGAAGTTTCACTTTGAGAGAAGTCTCCAATTCTTGAAGATCATCTTCTGTGGCACCTTTCCTCAGAGTTGCCTTTGCTTCAGGGAAGTTTAAGATCAACCATAGTTTGAGCTTGTCCCAACAAAGTCTAACGCGCTTAACTAGATTCCAAGGATACATTCTAAATGACTCCCTCCACAATTGATATGCTCTCTGAAGAAAAAAAAATCTATACTTTAGGTAGTCTAATGTCAAAGAACATTCATCAAATAAAGAAGGACTCAGAATTGATCAAATTCAGGTAAAATTCTAAAGGTGATTAACACTCAAAACCCTAGAAAATGTCAAAGGTAACAAAGAGTGGAATTGACCTTGAAGGAAGGAGCAGGATCTCCATGGGGATCGAGAGGAGTAGAGATATTAAGATCATTGGAGCAGAAGATCGACCAGAGAGATTCCTCGGAGGCGGAAACCTTAAGGCGTTTACTGACACAAGCCACTCTCGCGGTGCTTTCAGGGCCGATTTTGGATAATACGATGTGGAGAATCAAATCTCCAGCATCTTCTAACCCCATAGCTTTCGTCTCAGACAACGACATCTTCTCGGTTGCTTTTGTCGGCTCTGTTTCAGTTCTTTGGAATGCAATCAGAATTGAAAGAAACGAAGCATTTTGTTAACACGTGGCACTTGAATAAGTGAAGTGGGTTAACGAATACTTTAGGATCTCAACTAAAATAAACAACAAAATTCGAGGGTATATATCAAAGAAGAAACTTGGGTACAGAGGGACTGAACCAAAAAGAAACAAAAAAAAAATGTTCATGAGAGAATATGATTATGAAGACTACAAGGAGACGTCGTCACGGTCAAAACTCAAAACACCTTATTTAGTCACATTACAGATTAAACCAGGATCCCATCATCATCTGTACAGAGAAACCATTCTTGTTTATCTTTCAGCTAAGCTTTGAAATTGTCCTTTGCTCTTCTTATAATACCCAGAGCTTCTGCTTCATCTGCTGTTTCTGGAATACCTAAAGCTCGACGGATATCTGTGTTCCCAGCGCGGAGAAACGGGTTACAGGCTTTCTCCATCTTCATCGTTGTTGGAATCTGAGATTTCGCAGCCAAGAATTTAATCAAGAAAATCGAGAATCCATGTTTGTGTCCAGAAGTGATAGTTTCAATTACTGTGGGGAGATATTATCAATAGCGACAGAAGTAACATCAATGACAGTGAAGTTACTGAAATGAAAGAAAGATTACCGTTGGTAATTTCTTGTTACGGAGTTCTGCAACGTAAGCTGCATAAGACTGAAGTACTTCGTTTGTTGGTTCTATAGACAACGCAAATTTGGAATTACTCTGCCAGATTGAAAAAGTCATTCCATCAGAAGCGATAACACATGTGTGATATTTGTATATGAAAAAACACACAATAAAGAGCACAAACCAGTGTGTATTCATGGCCACAGTATACGCTTGTATCATCTGGCAAAGCAATTATCCTTTGGAGAGAAGCTAGCATCTGCAGAACAAGATGCAGATTGTTGAAAACCAAGTTAAACAACTGACACTTAATAAAGTCGAGTTCAGAGAGAACCAAATAATTATACGTGAAAAAATAGATTAAATGATGCTTACCTGCTCTGGAGTACCTTCGAAGAGCTTACCACATGATAAGCTAAATAAGGTGTCCCCGGTGAAAATTGCTCGTGCCCCTGGAAAGTAGAAACTAATATGGCCTACAAACAGATAAGAAGATACTAAATTGAGGACTCGGCTTAGGCAATTACATGTGCATAGTCTATGTTTGAAGAACCAAACCAGTAAATCTTTAATAGTTATTTAGGAAAGGTAAGAACCTAATCAGAGGACCAAGGGAAATACAAAGTTCTTACTTCTTTTTAGAATAGAAACTTATTTGCTTGAATCTTTTAAAATATACAAATTCTTGAGTCTCAAATTCTGTTAGAATAGAAACAGACGAATAAACTATACAGGCCACACAAGTAGGACATATTTCTACATTTTAAGCAGTCTGACAAGAAATTCACCAATACATAACATACTCCTCCACTTATAAACAATTCTCAAAACATTATGAATGACATAAAAATATGGATTGGATAACTAAACTTTGAACTAGTCTGAACCAGAAATATATAAATTAAACACTGAAAGGAATAAACTTTCCATTTAAGACGGCGAGTAACCAACCTCTAGTGTGGCCAGGAGTTTCCATAACATGGACTTCATGGCCAGCAAACATCCATTTGTCACCATCTTTCAAGGCTACATCAATTCCAGGAATTCGGTCCCTATCTACAGCTGAGCCAATCACCTAAGTACATCCCCCATTCTAGTGTGGTAAGTCTATGAAGTCTATGAACCATCTCCACACAATATGGACAGAGAGAGAGAGAAGTAACATCCGCGTACCTTTGCACCATACCTGTCTTTTAATTCCAAATTGCCACCAGTGTGATCATAATGGTGATGTGTATTTAATATGTAAGTTAGGTTTCGACTATTCTTCTGCAGCGCATCCATAACAGGTACAGCTTCAGAAGGGTCAACCACACCAACTGTACCAGTATCCTCATCATGTAAGATATAAGCATAGTTGTCCGCGAGACATGGCACCTGGGAAAGAACAATTAAATTTGTTGTCCTCAAGACTGCTAGATAAGCTTGTTGACATTGATATTTAAGACACAAATAAATGTACTGCTGGAGAAAAGGTTCAAGTAATCACTAGTTTACAAGTTGTGATTTGTTGCAAAGACAGAAACAATTTTACAAGATCAAAGTGTAATCAGGTTTGCCAAGAAACAAAAGGATTACTAAGGAAAAGTCAAATATTATAATCAAAAATAGAAATAAAAATTAAGGAAAAGCAACACACGCACCAGTTCAATTTGCAATGAGGAAGATACATTGGAGACACTGCAGAATCTTGAAAAGCGAACGGATTTACCAGCACCACGCAAAGTCCTAAGAGGGGAAGAGAAAAGCTTCATGGCACCAGAGACAAGACCCTTTCTGAGGTGAAGCTGTCTCACGCAAGGCCTCACACATGGCTGACTAGCTAGCTTCTGATAAACAAGATAAAGGCAGAGACTAATCAAAGATATGAACAACAATACTGAAAAATATTCATACAAGAAAAGTCACAGTCAATGTCTTTGAGCTTTGAGTAAGAAGCTAGTGTGCTTAAATCAACACACACAAAAAAAAAAAAAAAAAAAAAGTGTACAACCAGAATTCTCAACTCATAATTCCACCAAAAAGAGGTTAGAAACAAATACAGTCCTAAAGAAGAAAACAATCAAGAGTATCTAGTTTCTGAACAGAAAAGGAGTGAACCCTAAAAATTTGGCGATGAATCAGACACTGTGATGTGAAATTATTCATCACGAATTGAAGAAATACAAACCCTAGAACATCTCAAGAAGGATGCTGCAGAAGAAACTTTGGAGATAGCTTGCATCTTTCTCTCGATTATTGTCTCAATTCTCTCTTTTGCTCTATGGGTTATAGATTACAGAGAGAGAGTTCTACACAAATCTCTGTGAACTGACATCAGAAACCGACCCAAGAAGCCACACTACTACTATACCGAACTAAACCAAACCAAACCAAATAATCAGGGAGGTGTGGTGTGGTCTAATAATGCTTATTAAGTAAACCGTATGATACATACCGGTAACTCAAATTTTGCTTCAAAAGTTTTATTTGAAATAGGTTAATAGATTATAAATTCATATATAATCTTTTATTATAATTTTTTTTTTTTTGGTTTAATGTTAAGATATAAATTATGTTACAAAATATAGACATCTCGTTCTCTTTTGTTAAACGATCGTGAAATCAAGTCGCTCATATGTTAGCTAAAAACTCAAAGGGTTGCATAAATATTCCGTTTTTCTCAGATTGTACTAATCCTCCTTGTTGGATTGCTGATCTTTTGTATTGTCAACGTTCAAATTCATAATCAATATATACCTTTTCGTGGGAAAAAAAAAATATAGGTTATGAGTTTACACATTCATGTTTTTTTTTCTAGTTATAAACTCGAAAAAAACGAGTTTTGACTTTTAAATAGTATATAATTTAGGATTTTACACATTCATGTGTGTTTTTCCTAGGACTTTCGAAAATTCCAATTCGGTATACATATACGTACGCGGTACGCGGCACGTAGAAGTACACATGCGGTGTAGCCAGGCGCGTTCGCATTTGCTTAATTTGTTAGACTGATTTATATACTTCGTAACCTTTAATTTATTAGTATTTCATGCGTTTGACACGAAACTTGACTTTTACTTTTCAATCATTTTAGTATAATCAATTTTATTTACATCTCAAACCAATTTCCAACACCAGACTGATATTGATCTAAAAAATTATATAACAATTAACAAACCTAGGTAGTAATAAATAGGAGAAGAGTAATCTTTTTTCTTGTTTAAATGTAAAAAGAAGAAAACTATCTGATGCCAGAGTAAAACAATTATAACATAGACTATCTGATGAACCAAGGTTAAACCGGAATTATGATTTGGTCTTTTGCGCTTATAATCTGACTTTTAGTGGTGTACGGCCGCGAACCGACTCAGTCGTCGGGTAGTAACTTGTTTGATCAGTTTCATCGTTCAAATGTCATAATTAGTCCCAAGTAAAGTCAAGCCTCAATAGTTTCTTGTCAGACCATTATTAGCCACCCCAACATACATTATAGAGCCAATTATATAGCAGAGAAGAGAATCAAAATTTTCAAATTAAACCATGCAAAAATGACTTTTTCAAAAAACAAATTGTTGCAAACTACTTATCATCCATTGCAAAATTGTAATGGATGAGAGTGTCATATTTATGTTAACCCATCACAAATCTGACCATACACTCCCGGCCGTCACAATTAGCTAGCTAGTGATGAACGTAGCCGTCACACTAGCTAGAGTAAATTCCCTAAAATCGAACCAGCACTAGAAATTTCGTTGTTTTGGGTATATTAGATGGAGACACGCGCTATTTGTTTGGGACACAAAGAGGCCTTTGTCTAAATGCGATTGCAAAGTGGAAACCGTGTTATAGTGACTCGTTTGATCAATTCCTACGCTTGTTTTATCAAATATTTGAAAGCCATTTGTTTTTGTAGTAAAGTCAAAGTCAAAGATCACTATATATATATATATATATATATATATATTCTCTATGCATACATATACGAGCTAGTGAGGAAAAACCCAAAGTTAAGCCATGAGGTGTTGACCAATAACTCTATATATATGTGTGTCATCATCGATTTAAAATGAAACCCCATGCAAAAAAAAGGCCTACACTGTCATACAACAAATTTTACGTGCCCACACACACAGAAAAACAAGTCGGATTTTTTTTTTTTCCCCTGGGGAAAGATCATTGTAATAGTACGAGGAAGATGAAGAGACAAGTAATGATCGTTGTTATCTTAGTTGCCTTTTTTGTTGTATACTTGGACATCAAGCAAGTTGGAGCAATGAGGCCGTTCCCAACAGCTGCCGATGAGATCCGGTTCGTGTTCCAAGCACTGCAAAGGGGTCCAGTCAGCGGGTCAGGTCAAAATGGTTGCACCAATATTCCCCGTGGTACACGTAGGTGCCATGGTTGAGTCCTGACCGGGCACTGATTCTTCTTCTTGCAACGCAACCAGAGATTCTTGGATTCTTTATAATTGTGTGATATATGTACATGCGTTTTTACTAGAAATTCATAGCCGAAAACAATATTAACCTTTTATACTTTACACCGCAATGTAAATTGGACAGAAAAAGATGGTGTACCAAAAATATGATTTTTCGCTCGTACAATTAATACCCACTAAACCACCATAACCTGGTTTAATTCGAGTGTATCATGAAATTTGTTTAATAAGCCACTAATAACCACTAAATTACCATAACTTGTTGTATGAGAGTATCATAAAATTGAATTACCAAAAAAAAAAACAAATTGAATTATAATCGTCATGTCCCAATCAAAACTCTAAGTATAAGAAAAATTCTCTTCAAAAGAGGGTTATAAGTTCTGTCTACACTATACTATACCACATATTTGGTTACGATCACAATCATTTTTTTAATTTACGATCACAATCATATTTCTGCGCGATCGTAGAATACTTTCTTTTTGAAAAAGCTTCTTCAAGAAAAGTAAGATCAGACAATTAATAACTTCAAGAAAGATTTTAGTTTTGTTTACCAATATATAATTTCACAAACTGCAATCATAATACTGCCATCTTGACCGGCATTATAATCTGGACTTGCATTAATAAATTAACAGAAAGATTCTTAAAATAAAAAATATAAACCAAAAAGTTACATGTTTAAAGTTCATAAAACAAATTAAAGAATAGCTAATCTCATCAACTAGTTTTGGCAGATTTTACCAAGTTAATGAATACATACATTTGCTTTCATATGTGCTACAACTGCGTCAAAATAGAACCAATACACAAAACGATATTGTGTTTATTACATTAGCCTTAAAAAAATTAAAAGAACCATGATGTAAAGCCAGACTCACGTGACCGCTCACGGGCGACACGTGCCCGAACCTCCTGGGATGTTTGTGCAACCGTTCGGACCTGACCCTGGAACCGAACCCCTTTGCAGCAACTGGAACACGAATCGGATCTCACCGTCGGCTTGGAGCGGCCTAGCGGCTTCGACTTGTGTGGTGTTCAAGAAAATCACGAATAGTCCGAGCAAAATCACTCCAAGTATCAATTGTTTCTTCATCATCATTTATTTCTCTTGTTTGTATGTATACAAAGTGAAAAAAAAAAGAAATAATATTTTTTCCTGTTTGTCACGTAAAAGTTGTTGTATGTCTTTTACTCGTTGTTTGTGTTGTATCACATTTGATTCGATAATGACTTATATATATAGGGTTTCTGATTATGGTTTTGGTTTGATCGTTAAATTGGTATCTTTTGTGTGATTTTGGTCTTACTTAGATATTCTTGTGGCTTGACTTTTACTAGGAAAGACTTGGTTTTTCAACATTTGAACCCAAACTATAGGAATTGATCAAACAAGTTAAGACATGACACGGTTCTTGCCTTGGACCGCAATCTATATATATTACAAATAAACCTGAAAAAGGTGATAAACCAAATTATACTATACCGGTTTACGCAAGTAAAATAGATTCGAGTCCAGTTTTAGAACAAAAATCTACTATGTAAAATCATTATTAGTACTTAATTTATTTATCTTGATTAATGTTTGGTTTCGGAGTTTGTACAAAACTAAATACCTGGTATATCTTAGTTAACTTGATAGTAACCGGTTAATTTGAAGCATTGTGGTCAATTCAAAAAACTCATTCCACTACTTGGTACAAAACTTAAATACTCCTATAATTCAATTCCTGACTCTCAATTGTTTTCCTTCAATATTTATGACGACACTTCATATTCGAATTTGGGAGGTCAAGATGACATGATAACACCTAAAAACCGGAACCACTAAGCATTAGCAAAAGAACTTGGAAATGGTCAAATGTCTCAAAAAGGGCAAAATAAATTCAATTGGCAAGTTTGATTCAGTCTTTAACTCTTAAAAGTCTCGACCAAATAAATGAAGACATACATTGGTTTGGTACTTAAGCATGTTGTGACAAATTTTCACGGAAATTCTTACTAAACTTAAATATACGCTGTGACAAAAAAAAAAAAAAAAAGACATAAAGCACGTGTTTAAAGCCAAATTTACGGAAATATATTTGACTTTTTTTTTTGCGGCGGCGCTCTTCACCGTCGATGCTTCCGGTGAACAGAAGCAGAGCTCTTTTATCAATCCTGAGCCAAACCAAAACACTACACCATACTCAGCAAGTTCACGCCAAGGTCATAATCCATGGATTCGAAGATGAAGTTGTTCTCGGATCCAGTCTCACTAACGCTTATATCCAATCGAATCGTCTCGATTTCGCTACTGCTTCTTTCGATCGAATCCCTTGTTGGAAGAGGAATCGGCATTCGTGGAACACAATTCTCTCTGGTTACTCCAAATCCAAGAGTTGTTATAGCGACGTCTTGCTTCTTTACAATCGCATGAGAAGGCATTGTGATGGCGTCGATAGTTTCAATTTGGTATTTGCGATCAAAGCTTGTGTTGGTTTAGGTATTTTAGAAAATGGGATGCTGATTCATGGCTTGGCGATGAAGAATGGGTTGGATAAAGATGATTATGTTGCTCCGTCGTTGGTTGAGATGTATGCACAATTCGGTACTATGGAAAGTGCGCAGAAGGTGTTCGACGAAATGCCTGTGAGAAACTCTGTTCTTTGGGGAGTTCTGATGAAAGGATATTTGAAATACACGAATGACCCTGAAGTGTTTCGTTTGTTTTATCTCATGAGAGACACTGGTTTAGCGCTCGATGCGCTTACCTTGATATGTTTGGTAAAGGCTTGTGGGAATGTTTTTGCTGGTAAAGAAGGGAAATGTGTGCACGGGTTATCCATTAGAAGGAGCTTTATAGATCAGAGTGGTTATTTAGAAGCCTCCATCATAGATATGTATGTGAAATGTAGATTGTTGGACAATGCTCAAAAGCTATTTAAAAGAAGCGTTGAAAGGAATGTGGTAATGCGGACTACGCTGATTTCTGGGTTTGCAAAGTGTGAGAGAGCTGTTGAAGCTATTGATCTATTCAGGCAGATGCTAGGAGAATCGATACTTCCAAATCAATGTACTTTGGCGGCCGTTCTTGTTTCTTGCTCGAGCTTGGGATCTCTGAGGCACGGGAAAAGTGTTCATGGCTATATGATAAGGAATGGGATTGAAATGGACGCTGTGAATTTCACATCTTTCATCGATACATATGCTAGATGCGGGAATATACAGATGGCTCGGAAGGTTTTCGACATGATGCCAGAGAGAAATGTGATATCTTGGAGCTCGATGATCAATGCTTTTGGGATAAATGGTATGTTCGAGGAAGCTCTGGATTGTTTTGATAAAATGAAGTCACAAAACCTAGTTCCCAATTCTGTGACATTTGTTTCGCTTTTGTCGGCCTGTAGCCATTCGGGAAATGTCAAAGAAGGATGGAAACAATTTGAATCGATGACAAGAGACTACGGGCTAGTGCCAGAGGAAGAACATTACGCGTGTATGGTGGATTTGCTAGGTCGAGCTGGTGAAATTGGAGAAGCTATGTCGTTCATTGACAACATGCCTGTGAAACCAATGGCCAGTGCTTGGGGAGCTCTTCTGAGTGCTTGTAGAATCCATAAAAAAGTTGACTTAGCAGGAGAAGTCGCAGAGAAGCTCTTATCCATGGAACCCAATGAATCAAGTGTCTACGTTTTACTTTCTAACATATATGCTGATGCTGGGATGTGGGAGATGGTGAATTGTGTGAGACATAAAATGGGCATCAAAGGATATAGAAAACCTATGGGACTATCTGCTACTGAAGTCGGCTAGAACATTTTGCTATTGATTTCTGCATCATGGTTTTGACAGATGATGGAAATATGAAGCGCCAGGAGGACAGACAGATGACGGAAATTTCTGTGAGATAGTTACTCGAAAAACTTTCTAAATCCAACATTTCAACTCTCTGCAATCAATTAGGAAAGAAAATCCATGAAGATGAAGATGAGAGATTGGAGTTGTACAAGCTGGTTGTTGCTGGAGTCAAAAGTCACTGTCATAAGATGCGTTGATATTCTTAGAACAATTGAAGAGGTTTATCTCTCTATCTGTTACAAGGATCTTAGCTTATCCAAAGCTACTTGCACGGTGTATTTTTCACACAGTGATTAAGCTAGCAATTTGGAATGTTGTTAATATATTTGGTTGGTATTTGGATTGTTGGGAGAATCGATAGAGAATCTGCAAAGACAGCAGTAGTTTTGGGGGAGGTGACTTGTGGATCAAAGTCTGCTCATGGTAGATATTGTAGACATCTTTACATTTTCTGGCTTCAAAACATTTTGTAAGGTATTCACAATTTGTTTCTGGAAAATATCTCTGCCTTTTAGAACCTTTCTTGTATTGAAATCTTGGATACACATTCTTGTAATGCTGCAAAATGCAGTTTGATCTACCTCTTTCCTACTCTCATGTAAAGAAAGCTTTCAATTATGTAAGAAAGTTTTGGTAACTCTTAATATACATTCTCAGTTTCCTGCACACATCCAGCTAATCCCATCTGCTCATAAATCTCATCAAGCAGCAAGCAAACCTCATCTGAAGCTGAGTGAGACTTATCAGCTGCAGCAAACAGATGGTCTCGTTTATCTATCCGAATCGAACTTGTCCCAGGACATATCTTTTCTATACCCAACTCTCTCATCCTTCCCCTAATCTCTGCAACATCTTTCCACCTGTTTTGTTCTGCATACATGCTAACTAAAAGGAAGTAATACCCACTATTCATCGGCTCCAAAACCATCAGTTTGTTAAACGCTATCTCAGCTATCTCTAAATTCTTGTGAATTCTGCACCCATCAAGCAAGGCCCCCCAGATAACCGCATTTTGTTCAAATTTCATACTTCCGATCAATTCAAGAGCCTCATAGATCAACCCCGCTTTGCTGAATAGATGAACCATGCATCCATAATGTTCAACATTAGAGACAATGGAATAGTCATCAATCATGCTACGATATATCCTCCGGCCTTCTTCAACAAGACCTGCGTGAGTACACGCAGTAAAAACACTCACAAAAGTGACTGCGTTAGGTTTGACCGACTCCATCTCCATCTTGGCGAACATTTTCAGTGCTTCCTGTGCAAAACCATGAGCCGCCAGTCCTTCAATGATCGAATTCCAACAAAATAGATTCTTTTTGGGCAAATTGAAGAATACTAGAAGCGCCCGCTCTAAGCTACCGCATTTGGAATACATATCTACCAGTGCAGAACCAATGTAGACATCAAGAACAAACCTGTTCTGCACCGTGTACATATGAACCTCCTTACCTATTTCCAGCACGCCGAGATGGGCACAAGCTGAAATAACAGTTGACATAGTAACCTCATCAGGAATGATCCTTTCCTCCATCATTTTGTAGAAAACTGCAATTGCTTCTCTATATCGTTTATTGCGCGAGTAACCGTTGATCATAGTGGTCCATGAGATTATGTCCTTCACAGGCATCTGATTAAACAATGACTCTGCTAGTTCCAGATTGCCTAATCTCGTATAGCCATCAATCAAACAGTTCCACGTAGCCTCATTCTTCTCCGGCATTTGGTTAGCCAAAGAATTGGCAGAGTCCATATCCGATACCTGGCGATAAGCAGAAACCATTGTGGTCCAAGTAACATCATCTCTTTCAGGCATTTCATCAAACACTTTCCTGGCTTCTCTGATTCTACCAGAGGCTGAATAAAAATCAATAAGAGTCGTCTGAATTTGAACATGGAAACCAAATCCAAATTTCCAGATGTGCGCCTGAAGTGATTCTCCAAACCCAGAAGCGAAAGCAGAAGCCTTTACTAGTGAAGAGTACGTGTAGCTTGATGGAGAAACCGAGTCCCTGAGCATACGAACATAGAATTCCAGAGATCGAATCGGGTGAGAACAAGTAACGAAGCCTTTAATCAACGCGTTGTAGACGAAAACATTAGGTTTCTGCATCTGGTTCATGAAGGAAACCGCGAGATCAAGACGATTAAAGGAAGAGCAAGCAGTGATGAATTGGTTCATTAAGTAACAGTTTTGGGTTTGGCTCGTCTTGATCATGGCGGCTAAAGCAGACTCCAGAAGCTTGGGGGTCGAGCATTGCTTGATGATTTGCTTTAAGAGTGGAAGATTCGGAGAGAGTGAAGTTGAGCAATCTCCAAGGAGAAGAAGATGGTGAGAGGGTACCCGAAGACTACGCACGTTACCGAAAGCATTCATGTAAGAATTTGAGATTGTCGATAAAGATGCAGACTTTGAAATCTTTTTTAAGTACAGAAAAACTCTGAAAGAAATAGAGGGTTTCGGTTAATTTGCAATATTGTGGCATTAGTCAATCTGAGAATGTTTTTGAGCTTCTCAAAAACTCAAATAGTCAAATCTCAAGTGTTCATAATAACAATCCCAAACAAAAAAAGACTTTATAGTTTATACCTATCTCAAGATAAATATCACACACACAAACACACTCTATAAACATACACAGTCGTTTTCTTCTCTGTTTTATCATGCTAGTCAATCTTTGTAGTTGTTGATACATGAAGCCGAGTCTGCATGATGTGACGGGGTCGCTGTTGCTACCCGTTAATTGTGGCCTTGGGTTGAAATATCTGCACCAGAGACCACAGGATGTCCATCCTGTGCATTACTTTGTTGTTTTGTCCCTGCCAATTTATTAAGAGTATTCAGTTATTAGTGTGATATATCAATACAATGATCAAGGGCCTTGTGAGATTTTCATGATGCTGTAATGTTCGAGATAATGTTTTGTTTGTTTTATATCCGGGTTTAAAACTAAAATGAAGTTGTTTGGTTCCATGTTCTAAATGGATGAGTATTCAGATCCTGAAAGCCATGAAGTTGTTTAGCCAAGTGTTGGAGTCTATTTCATGAGGTGTGTGACCTTAAAGTGAAGAACAGTTCTCACTTTTTCCCAAATAACGTACCTCCACTACAAAACATATCCATGTTTTCTCGCCTTGTTTCTCAGTGATGCCTCTGAGGATGATAAGTTCCAAGCTCCTTATCACGTTTGCTATCTCGAGAAAGTGGCTACATTCTTCGCATAACATCTGTTCAACATCCAAAACACACTCAAGCAAGGAATTGCATACACCCGCAAAATTCAGGACGATAAATACAGAGTTTGCCAGTCGTTCTGACAAAGTGCTTCAAATACATGAAAAAGGTCACGAGAAAATAATGCACACCTCGATAAGCATCACTCCTTCTTTGTCCAGATTCTCCACCATGATTGAACACACTTGAAGATGGCCTCCAATCTCCACTGCCCAGCTCGAACCTTGTTCAGTGCTAGTGCTAGATGATCCTAGGGTGCCGTTATCCTTGTGTTGCATCTGCAACTTCAAATGTATAAGCTTTTAAGAAAACTTCCCCAACAATTTAATAAATGAGCTATCAATCAGTCATGAAAAAACGGAAATGTCACTTCACAAACCATGGAGAATATCGAGCAACTTTCCTTGGGAAGACGAGAAATTACTAAGTACCTTTGAACTTGCACTTTTAGTGAGCTTGTCGGCATGCTTAGAGACATTCTGCAGAAAGAGCATGTGCTTGATCGTGCACTCTAGCAAAGAATCAATACTGCACTGTATAATATAACCACATAGTTAGAAAATAGCAGAACAAAATATACAATTCATGACACTACTAAAACTGCATGAGTGCAGTCAGTCATATGCTCTGAATAGAAAAATCACCTTAGATCCATTAGGCACAAGCTCCCTTAGTTCTTTGATACGATCCTGAATAAGTTGCCTGTCCCTTGGACGAGGCCGAGAACTTTCACCAGGTTTAGCTCTCTTTTTGTTCTTCTTGGGAATTTCCAGGGACGTCGGAAACTGGTCGCTGGATGAACTGAGACATGTTGATGAAAACCCAATGGAAGAAAATGCTCCACAGATATTTGATGGATTCTGTAGGATACGCCCCTCTGCTGAAGGCGGCTGGCTAATCACACTATCAACTGTGCTAAAAATACTTTGCTTATTATGAACAAAAGGTTCTGCCTCTGCCATTTGAGCAGTTGTAAGTAATGACTGTGTTGACCTACTTGACGATATTTCACGCCTGACATTACCATCACCATTACTCATACTAGCAACAACGGCATCTAGAAGATTCTCGGGGCTGGAGTCAAATGTCAGGTGACTATGGCTCATATCATTTGTTCGTATAGCTGCAGCAGATTCAAACTTTGCTAGCTCCTCATAACCAGTGCTCGTTTTACTGAAAGCTGGCCCTAATGCCTCTAGCAGCTCACTGCCAGAAAAAGAAGACAAAGATGCAGTTAAAGCATCCAACCGACTTGACTCACTTTTTTTCTCCTGCCTATGTTCTGTATCTTTCACATACATACTTCCTTGGCTCTCAGATGGTTGGAAAACCTCATTTCGATGAGAATAATCTTTATCTGTTTTCAACGCAGTAAGAACAGTTGAATCAAGTTGTGGATATGATGGACCTGCTTTTAGCCTATCAGTCTTCATTGCTAAAGCAGATGAGCCTGCACTATTACAAAGATGATTTCTCGAGTACTGTTGAAAATTAGGATCTGATTCTCTTGAGTATCGGTATCCACCAGTTTCCTCATCATAAATTACCTTACTCATATCATTTATACCCACTTGATTCTCGTGTTTAGCATCAACCACATCAACTGAAAAACCACTTGTAACACAATCAGTGCTTCCAAACATGGAAGGTTGGACTGCTTCAAGCCCACCAATTACTTGAGCAGTCCTCTCCATGTGAAAATATGTTGGAGTGAAATTGTATGGAAGGTCGTCACTTCTATTACTTGTGTTTTGAGATACAATATTTAACCCTTCCATATCCATAGCTTTGTCAAATTCTCCTGAGAAATCAGGGAATGCCTCATGTAAGCATTTGGAAGGTATTTTTGGCTGCAGCAAAATTATACAACGCATCATGTTATACTCAGAAAGCACCTCTCTTTCAATTTTGCACTAACATTACTAGAACTGCAGACAAACATGAAATTATATATGAATGAGAAAGATCATTACCAGATCCGATGGACTATTGATATCACATCGCATTAAATTTGATGCATGGTCTGCCAGTGGATCCTTAAGTGCCAAAAACAAATGCCTGATATGAGTCACCAAAGCCGGGTCTTCTTCAACCTGTTCCACCAAAGGATACAGGAAGATCAGAGGCATTCAAATGTATAAGCTACTTTGAACACTGCATACAGTTAGAACATCTTTACTTACTTTACACAAAGAGCCAAGCTGCACAACTCCACAAGAACCAACAGCTACTATAAGAATAGTCTGCAGAATATGAAGAAAAAAAATTGTCAAAAAAATTGAAATGCAAACTTTGAGGAAAAAGAAAGTTAAAAGTTTTGTTAAAAGGACTAAAAAAAAAGACAAATGTGTGGAAGTAGAAATATCTAATTATAAATACCAAGAAAAATTCAACCACATGAATATCCCATGCGATAGATAACAATATGCAAAAGACATCGAGATCTAAACATTAAAAAACCAGAGCAGGCAAAGAAGGAAAAAATACTGAAAACTTATCAGATACCTTAATTCCAGCAGAAATTTGACTCTCCCAACCGTTGTGAACCTAAGTGAAAAGTATTGTTTTTAATACAAGATGTTGCCACAAAATTATATTTTCAAACTCAACAACGTACATATTTTCCAACCTGAAGTGTCAAATGAGAGTCATTCAAATATTCAGAGAAAATCCATTGATGTTGTCCAGAGATTGCCACTTGTCCTACAGTCCTATAATAATAGAGAGATATGAATGAAGATGTTAGCATCATTAAGTAAAATTCAATCATCAAAACGAACTAACAGGTGATGTTCCTGCAAGGAGATTCAATATCAAGTCCCAAGACAAGCCGAGAGTGTTACATCATGTGGTCAATGCCAAAGAAAGAAAAGTTACAAAAACAAAGAAAATTATAGCTACATTAATGTCAGACTTTAATACAAAGTCAAGCTAGAAACACACCAAGTCTTTGAATTGTTAGACAACATCAATAAAAGATCTCAAAGTAATGAAGATAGCAAGAATAATAAGAAAAAAAAAACAGTGCATCAGGAAGCAAATTTTCCTTACCCTTCCCCAAGAGAGTGTACATGATATGACATCTTAGCCACAGCTAACCCAAGGGGATCATGTGCATGGCACCCTCCTTGCAAGCTTTTCGGCATCAAACCGCGCTCATGATTAACAAAGTACACATCCTCCAAAGTAAGCACCCTGCAAGTGTTTTTAATAGTCGATATGTGAGAAACTTGTACTTGTCTTGTAGCCTTAAATACTTACAAACTTGTACTAAATGGAAGGTACCGAATGTTCCTCTACACTCAACAAAATTGACTATATATTGACTATAACAACTCTCAAAGCAACCAAATCGATCTTAATAGAGTCCTTACCATAGTCCACCAAACAGAACCAAGAAAAACATATTGGCCTACGATTATAAACTTTTTTGGATCACTTACATAGGAGAGTGGTGATTGAGTTTCCAGAACACGGCATAATTCCAATCCGTGTTGGAGCAGAGGCTCCTCAGTATCCGTTGCAAGGTAGAACCCATCTAAACCCCTCCTTCACCACTAAAGCTCAAAATCACCCCTCTTTTAACACTTAAAAACCAAATTTAAGGTTCCGAAACAGTCCCCCGACAAGAACTCTCCCTTGAATTCTGAATCAGTCTCTGTGTGTGAAAATAAACAGTCTTGCCACCTAAAAAAGAAACCCTTTTTTGCCTAATGAATAGCTACGAATCTACTAACTGCCTCTGTATGAACCTCTACCAGCTTGTTCCCTTCGCAATCCAGCTCTCGGATTTATTGGTGGCCCTACTTCTCCCAGTGAATACTGCCTAGTGCCCATTCCTTTCCCAAACATAAACAACCCTAGCTCGAAGAAGAAGAAGAAGAAATTGAGATCGAAGAAGAAGAAGGAAACAGAAACAGAGTCTAGCTTATGTCATGAGACATTGATCCTTTCTCGAGAGATGATAAGCTCTGAATCTGCATCTAGAATAGAAAAGCTCTCTAAAAGTTAGAATCTTTGTCGAGAAATCCACCGCTGAAAGATCAACTCTTTGAGTAAGAACGAGTGAGAGAGAAACGCAGAGTTGCTAAAAAGACATCTCCTTTTTTAAAGGGGGCGTTGAAGAAAATCCAGAGCGCATTTTAGCATCCGTGGTGATATATTCAGAGTTATCGTGCGCTGCCTAGGTGCGCATGTTATTAACCCTAGGCCTAGGGTAGTAGTGTGGGGGTGGATTTTAAGCATGGGATTAATAATGTGGAAAAAACATTCGAGTGATATGATCTCTCTAATGGCCAGCAATATGATTCACCAAGTGAATTTTTGTTCCTTCTACACTTTATTTTTACTTTTCTTCATCATACAAATTACACAATGTGTACTTGTAATTTTTTTCGCCATACAAATAACTTTTTTTTACTTTGAATTGGCGTTTGTTAATATATAATTAATAATTCGTCTATGTATTGATGTGATCTATATTTTGATATGATCTGTTATGTGTTCTCCAGCACAATTTGTTTTTTTTTTTTTAAGAAGGATTTGGAATGTGTGATGGGATTGTGGTCCATACAAAATCTATGGAATCTAATGATTATTTGCATTTCAAAGATAAATCATACTCTCCAAACAAGTTCCTTTTTTTATTTTCTCCTCTTTCACTTATTTTTCTTCAAACATGTGTACGGTCAAACTCAAACTTCTGAATAAGTAAAGTATAACCCTAAAATAACTAGATCTTTTTCTTCAAGTCCATATTTGTCAGTCATAAGTATTTGCTAAAAAAAAAAACAATTTTGTTGGAAAAAAAAAAGAGAAGTAGTAGGTGAAGAAGGCTTTGTTGGGGAAGAGGGAGGTGTGATTGTAATAAGGGGAAAATGATGAACATTGGCCAAACAAACAAACAAGTGTAACAAGAAAGAAGCCTCACCTTTCGCTTTCAATTTCACACTTCTTTGTTTGACTTTTGGGACTTGAGCACATTCCATTTTCCTTTTCCTCTTTTTTTGTTCTTTCTATATGTATAACACTCAATTTTTTGCGTAGATATACTGTCAAGAGGATTAAGAGGGTGGGAGGAAAAGGAAACCGAAAGTTGTGTGACTTTTACTATTCAACAATATCATTTCTCTTTTGGCATGTTTTTGTGGACGAAGCCCAAATTCAAGAATACATTTATGGAAGAAGAAAATAGATCATAACAACTTCTTTTGGTCAACATTATATCAAAAACAATGTTTATAAACAAGAAAAAGTTTGCTAAATGGATATGTGCACTTTGTAAGTTTGTATACTTTAAACGAAGTTAGCATATCCAAACTTAAATTAAGTTACTTGATACTTGATATATAACACTTAATAAGAAGCCCATCACTATTTAAAGTTTAGTTCATAAAGTTTATATGTTGGAAAATAAATAGGCCCAATACAAGCCCAATCTAAACATTCCCTTTGTTTATCTACGGCCCACAGGAACCCTAGAATCTATCTATATATGAAGTTGAACTATGAAGCTTCATTTCATTTCATTGCTCCTTCAACTTATTTTTCCAAGATCACACCTTTTACCCACAAATAATAATTTGTAGTAACTGATTAAATTAATTATATATAGTAACTCGTTAATATTTTTGTTATTATTGAATTAAAAAAAAATCATGAAAAATATCATAATTTTGTGATTAATAATATTTGGTAGAAATTTTATGTTTAACTTTACTTTCTTTTCATTTATGTTCTTATATACGTTATGTTATGCTATGGCGTGTCATTCCATCTTTATTATAGCCACAATACTGTTAATTAAAGTGTTTTGCTACTTCTGTTTAGATAAACTCGCTATTATCATGCTTTCGTATCATCGAAACAATGAAGAAACGTAAAATTTGGAAGATATAAGTAGACTTAATGCTAATTAAAACACCTTATTGATTATTCTATATATATTACTACACTTTACTAGTTACGTAATTTTGAAGCATAAGGGTATATTAGTTAACCGTCTTTTATTATGTTAAGGTCATGAGAAAGATAGATATCAAGTAGCTGGAATTTTTGGATGCACCTTCATAACAATCCCTAAATTATTGTCACTGGCGTCTAACGATGAACGGAGACAGTTGAAGAGAGACAAACAATATTTTTTATTTTATTTATTTATTTTTTTTTATTTTTTATTTTTGAGACAAACAATATTATTAATGTTAAATTTCGTTATGTCAGTTTCAGTATATATATATGTGGCTACTACTGCTATGTATATATATATATATATATATTTTATTAATGCATACTTTCCACTCATATACGAAGGGGCAAATAAAAGAAGAAAACAAGCTTTCAAATTTTATCGTGTGTGGCGACTAAATCATGCCCAAATAAATAGACACGTGCTTAAATTGAAGATGCATGCACTTTCTTGCTTTCAAAATGACGGATAAAAGTCCAGCATGTTGAGAAGATTCTATATTTTTTTGTCCATAAATAAATTTATTTGTCTGCTGTGTCAAGTTTCTATTTGATACTATATCTGGCATAATATTAAAATACGTTATTTAGAGTAGAAAGTCGATGACTCAAAATAAACTCGCATTACTTTTTATTGTATACTGCTAATTGTCTTCAAATTCAGTTACATATATAAGAAAATCAAATTTGATAGTGTAGATTTTGGAACATATATGGATGCTCTCCTAGGTTTGGTGAGATTAATTAAAGTGTTGCTGGTTTTGAAAAGATCACCATTTTCAATCCAAAAAAAAACTAAAACTAAAACAGAAATTCGGTAAAAAATAATTCATCGAAGCCGAAAATTATCAATATATAGATTCCAAAAAAATAGAAATACAAATATTTTTTTTTTTTTAAATCCATCAATCGTTTTCCCTTTAGCAAGTTGAGCCATTATTATATATAATACTATACCAACTACTAGATTTGCTGGAATTTAATAATTTCCCAATCAAAATTTACTTTTTTTTATTATTGATAATGAGTGGGGACATTGAATAGCATGCATGTCTGAGGTTTTTTTTTTTTTTTTAACAATCATGTCTGAGTTTTCTTGGTCTTGAGGAAAAAATAAAAAATGTTTTTGACCCACAATCTAGTACTAGCAAAACAATTGGGCTTACCTTTGACCCTAGACTAGGAGGCTCAAACAAAAAAGTGAAATTACAAAGATTAAAAACAAATAACAAGATAAGAGAGTGCATGCACCCGTCTCTCTTGCGCTACAGGTTATTATTGTATTCTCAAGTTGCTCGATACAAGCCAATTATAATTCAATGGTCCACCACTAATGGCTCATCCCACTCAATTAGATTTTTTAAAACCTAAATCTTTATATAACCACTTTGCTAGTTTGGTACATCCCTCTTAAACTTTTGCTAATTATCTTTCTTAACGTTTCTACTTTTTATACGTACGTATCACACATATTTAGTCACCAAAATGTCTTATTGATCCTGGAATGATTAAATTCGAATATGCCTTCTCACGAATTTGGTGTTCACCCATCGGCTATGAACCAAAACACTAGACCAATTACGATAAGTTTTTTGCATGTAGATAAATTAAATTTCAAACCTTAGTTGTATTAAAAACCTAACCTCGTAACATTTGCTGGAAACTTTTGAGGATGAGAATGCGGGAAATTAATTATTTTTGAAACGGAGAAAGATTAACATTTTTATGAAGTTATTGTCATAGTTCAATAATTTTATTGTTTAAATATATGGTTGACGAAGTCACATGTGTGTAGATGAAAACAGAATCTTCAATGGTCATGAAAAGAGTTTCCTATGTGGCCAAAGAAAGTTTTTTTTTTTTTTTTCCTTCAATTGAAGTGGGCAGTCTCGAGATCCCGACATCCCGTTACTTATTTTGTTCGGGTTATTCTATTGCTCAACCCCATGCATGTGTATCTTAGAAAAAAGACAGTTAAAATAATTTGGCTGTCGACGAAAATGATTAAATCGTTTGGACTTTTGTTATCATTCTCTTTTGTAATCAATAGAAACCCGTTTTAGCAAAAACAATAAAAAATCTTTATACAAAAATATCGACCACAAAATATTGTTATGTGAAAAATGAAAATAATTATAAAACTAAAATTGTGAGCATATGCTCCAACAGAATATAGGTAATTTTTGTATGATAATGATATAGCATTGTATAAAGGAGTATCCACTTGGATAATAGAGTCAAAATCAACCTAATAGAGTATATATTTATTTTATTTCTCGCTTGTTTGGCTTTCAAAAATATGCCACTATGGGAAACTGTAATGTCTTAAATTTTATTTTATTTATTGTTTTATAACACATGAGATTTAATATAGAAGCGTATTGTTTGCCTCCTCGTCAGATAGTTTAAGTTGTGTAAAAGTTTCCACGTTTTCTAGCTAAGATGGTAGAAATTAACCTTTCCATTTTCAACGTTATTGTTGTTATTGTTATATTTTTTTTTTGTTCCATCAAATTATTTTCACTTTATCTCTATTGTGAGAAGTGTATAACTCGAATCTAAAATCTTGAGACAGTAATTTTGTTTTTCATATATGACTCTACGATCATTTATGTCTAAGGACTTCACATATATTGCCTTATTCATGATGAAATCCATTTTACATTTAGAAAAGTTTCGATTACTCCGGATCATAATCTATCTGAAACTGCATGTATCAAATTTTGCTCATAAAAGAGATACCTAAAATAATAAGTCTTTATATATACTCAATGTGATAAATCTTGCAATCAGCTAGATCAAATGAAGGCAAAGAGAAGCTATTACTCGTACGGACTGAGCCATATAAGATGGCTAAAATTTCGTAAAAACTAGATTAATCATCCATGTTAGTATGTTACAATAATTCTCTAGCTGAAACTTCCAAGGAATTAATCCAAAGTGAATTGTCGCCGAGTGGTCCAATGATTTTGTACGCTTCGAATTCGAACCTTCTCGTCTAATGTCAATTTATCGTAGCTTCAAGTTGCAGCCAAGTGACCCCACTTCGATCTAATCAATCCCTTCTGATTATAGGGGGTATGGTCATTTATAGTGAACGTAAGAACTTCTACTATATAAACTATCATGCAATTTATGTATTATTTTATTCAAGAAATTATCAAAGTAAAACTCCCCAATCAGTGTAATACTGTCCAAAATATTTTCTAGTATATGGTAATAACATTTTAGAAAATGTTCATAGTATACATGGTTGATTCTTCTTACTAAACTGATTATGTAGGGAAAATACGACTTACTTTAACTGATTAAGCGATTACCAAACATTGTTAGACTATGTAGTCATTATCTTGAAGTGACGTTTAGAAAACCAAATTTAAAAGCTAAAATGTTTAATTTTTGTGTAGATAGATAGGCCATGTAATCAGTGGCGATACCAACTAACGATGCTAACAATGTTCAATTTTATCTCATTTATTCATCTACATAACAGTAACGAGATATTTTTCCTTGAAGTTTGTAAGATTCTACCAAAATGTTACCATATATTATCCTTCTCACTAAGCAACCATATATTCTGATATTAACTAACATCGTATCCATTGTCTTATAAGCATACTACAATGGTTTAAATTTGAACTCGTGACCCTTCTTTTTTTTTGGTTGGTAAATATACGAACTGAATAACCGACGTTAAGTTTGACTATTTTGGAAAAAAAACAAAATAGTCAAACTTAACGTCGGTTATTCAGTTCGTATATTTACCAACCAAAAAAAAAGAAGGGTCACGAGTTCAAATTGTCTTCTTTCATTATCGTTATGGTAATGATTTGAATTTGATGATTTGGTGTAAGAATGTGATATGCTTTCATGTTTTTTATCCTTTTTTGGCATGAGACCATTTACTTGGTTATGCTTAATTGTGTAATTCAAACTTTCATTGTGAAATGAATATTTACATTCTTATCAAAAAAAAAAAAAAAAAAAAAAAAAGTTTGACTATTTTTTTTTTTTGTGTAATAATTTTTTCATTTTTATTGCATAGTGTTTTTAACAAAACTATAAAGCAGTACTAATTCATAAGTGATAATGCATATGGAGATCTAGTACATGTGTGGACACCAAACGATAAAGGGACAAGTCATATCAAGTGTTGAAAATACTTTTCTACCAGCAATTATAGTGAAACAGAAGCTTTGGCCTTCTATACATTATATACGTGTTGTAGAACTAGTGCAGGCTCCAATTATAGAGGTGGCGGCAACGAAATCTCAGCCAATTCAACTTCTTAATCTTGAAGAAAAAAAAAAACATCAAGTCAATTTCGTGAAGCGATTACTATTATGTCGCAGTCAATCTTTATATCCCAACAAGAGTACCATCCAACAACAAATTTGACCAAAATATTCCTTATTTTGTAATTCTGTTATTAGTTTGTGATTGCTTTAGGTCTTAGAATAAATACTACTAGCTAATTACGTGACAGTATATCTTGATGGTTAGACCCTTATTTCTTTTTCTTTTTTTTTTTTTTTTTTTTAGATTAGACCCTTATTTCTTTAATTATATCTTTCTTTAAATGGTTTATTAGGCAGGCTGTTATAACATTTTTATGTGGCACACCGTGAAAAATATTAGCAGCATGAGAAAAACATAATAATTAATAACTCGTGTACATAAGTTAAATACTTGAATTTTAAGCCGTTGAAGAAACAATGGTTATTTTTGGCTTTTATAGTCGCAGGTTTGACCCATTTAGCCGCATATTTCTAATCATTATTGTTAGTTAAAACCTCTTACAGTATAAACTTTTCAAGTGTTGTGATGGTAACATCTGTTTTTACTAAAAATTCTAGTCTCTTTCAAAAGTTCTGTTTTTACTCTACAATATAGCTATATGAAAATGATTTAGCCACATATTTCTAATAATTGTTGTCACTTAAAAAACCTTAAAAATTAAACTTTTCTTGTGACGGTCACAATTATTTTTACAATACAGTGCTATATAAACGATTTAGCTATCTAAGATACAATGTAGCTATGGTTTAGGATTAGCACTCTATGAATTACTGTCTTAAATTTTTTTTCATAATTCGGAAATTTTCAAAATTCAATCTTCATAAATGTGCAATTCACTATATTAGTTGAATTGATCAACAAACGAGAGTACATAAAGGCCAACGTGTCGCTAAGTGCTGATCTCATCTATTTTGTCGGGACTACGCCGCCGTATGTCATACCCTCAAACCTGGTCTTGTCCCACGTGGAACATTTCACCCACTTCTGTGTATCTCATATTAATAGATAGATCCTATTACGTAATTTTCCTTTTGTTTCTATTAATATTATTATTCAGCGCCAATTATCTTTTTGTTGGCCCCATTTTCCGTTTTTGTGATAAATGGTGATCGAGTATTCGGAGGCAGCCTAATTGTCACACTGGACCTATTGAAATAAAATATATATTAAAATATTAATATTTTGTATAATAGCCCCCAAATTCAAATATCTAATCCGTTCTATATATTTCCCAAACTTATTGCCACTTAAGAAAGAGGTCACAATAAGAAAACCGTTAAGAAGAAAGAAAAAAAAGAAGATTGAAAATGGAATATCAAAATACCTTCTTAAGTGGAGAGTTTTCCCCGGAGAACTCTTCTTCAAGCTCATGGAGCTCACAAGAATCATTCTTTTGGGAAGAGAGTTTCTTAAATCAATCATTTGATCAATCCTTCCTTTTATCTAGCCCTACTCACTACTCTGATGACTTCTTTGCATTTGAATCATCAATCATCAAAGAAGAAGAAGAAGCCACCGTGGCGGCCGAGGAGGAGGAGAAGTCATACAGAGGAGTGAGGAAACGGCCATGGGGGAAGTATGCGGCCGAGATAAGAGATTCAACGAGGAAAGGGATAAGAGTGTGGCTAGGGACATTCGACACCGCGGAGGAAGCGGCTCTCGCTTATGATCAGGCGGCTTTCGCTTTGAAAGGCAGCCTCGCAGTACTCAATTTCCCCGTGGATGTCGTTGAAGAGTCTCTCCGGAAGATGGAGAATGTGAATCTCAATGATGGAGAGTCTCCGGTGATAGCCTTGAAGAGAAAACACTCCATGAGAAACCGTCCTAGAGGAAAGAAGAAATCTTCTTCTTCTTCGACGTTGACATCTTCTCCTTCTTCTTCCTCCTACTCGTCCTCTTCTTCTTTGTCGTCAAGAAGTAGAAAACAGAGTGTTGTTATGACGCAAGAAAGTAATACAACACTTGTGGTTCTTGAGGATTTAGGTGCTGAATACTTAGAAGAGCTTATGAGATCATGTTCATGATCATCTCTACTTCTACAATTTTTTTGTAATTTAAGTGAGCTCTGTTTTTTTTTTTTTTTAGTCCGTTGAAAAGTTTTGGAAGAGATGTGATGACGATGTTGGAAGTGTATAGATGTCAACTATTGCGTTAATGTTGGAAAGCATATGTATTATGTTATAAGTGTCTTTCTTTATCTTGGTGCTTAATTTCTTTAATATTTATTTTGCCATAATTTCTACAAAACTGATCCAAATATTTTCAAATTAATCTATCTAAAATTTCTCTTAACTTTCAATTATCCAAAAAAAAAGGCAGTCATAAGAAACCTAGGGCGAATAATTAAACGTAAAGATACTTTGAAAATTCTTATAACCAAGTCAAAATAGAAACAAAAATGATAGAGTCATTTACTATAGAAACATTTTTAAGGATTGCAAGCTCTGCATCCATATTTTCTTGATTATTAGATGGGTTAAAATTTTATTTTCGAGATTGTTAGAAAAACGTATCGTTGAGAAAAAAAAAAATAAGAATTACATAAAAGGATCGTGTAAGCTAAATTCATTATCATCGTTGGGGCAACGTATTCTAGCCGTCTAGACGTATTCGATAATAGATGAAGACGATGTTATTCACCTAGACACATTCAAGGATTGGATGTAAAACAAAAAAGTACGATCCAATCATATTATTTTGATATTTATTATGTAAGATCAGACTAAATTACATACACGTCATTGCTGATGTTTTACTTTTCGTTTATTCCCTTTAAATTTATTACTCCATCTTTTTTTCCCCACATTTTGTTTAGATTAAATCCAAATATCTAAAAAAATCCAAATCCAAAAACTGAATCAAAATAGCATTCATTCATGGCCTAAAAAAATACTTGGTGAAATACAAGTTTAGCTGGTGAAAGATAAGATTTTTCCTAAGTCTAAAGCCCTATGAAAGAGAAGCAAAGTACTGATATTACGAGGCTAAAAAAATACTCCCCGTTTATGCGTCTAATTAATTATACAATCTGTCTCAATATAGATGCTACATAAATGTTTTTTTTTATATATTTTCTGACACGAAAATTATAATTTTTCTTATTGGTTGGGCTGCATTAACAAAGTTACAGAAACAGGGCCCAATCAAAAACTAACTCTGAGCCTAAACGCACAGCTCCACTTAGCTGTTGACCCGATGACCAAAAGTCAATAATCATCGCACGCAACTTGTGTTAGTTAAGAACAACAACAGTTACTAATTTACGAAGAAAAATCCAAAAAAAAACAATTTTTTTTTTTAAAAACCATTTTTAAAAATTCGAATTAAAAACTTGAATGCTAAATCTACATAATAATAAGAAAACAAGTTGAATATTTGGAATTGCTAACGACTAATGCTGGATCCAAAATCCGGTTAGTTTTCATACCATTATGTAAATTTAGTATCCAAACTTAAGAAATAAAAACTTTTAAAAATCCGAAAAAAAACAAAATCAAAATTTTAAAAACTATTTTTAAAAATCCGAATTAAAAACTTGAATGCTAAATCTACATAATAATAGGAAAACAAGTTGAATGTTTGGAATCGCTAACGACTAATGCTGGATCCAAAATCCGATTAGCTTTCATATCATTATGTAAATTTAGTACCCAAACTTTATAAATAAAAACTTTTAAAAATCCGAAAAGAAACAAAAGCAAAATTTTAAAAACCATTTTTAAAAATCCGAATTCAAAACTTGAATGCTAAATCTACATAATAATAGGAAAACAAGTTGAATGTTTGGAATAGCTTTGATTTTTTCGAACGATTCTAAACGAAGGAGCGAGCATCATCTTCCGTCACTAACACTCGTATCTGGTCTGGTTGGTGAGGATTTTGCGTAAGAGCAACAAATCAAGCAAATAAGTTGGAGAATAAGATGAAACGAAGCAAAAATCGAAGAGGAGAAATCGTAAAATCTGAGAAAATTGCATCTTTGTCACTCTCTAAAACTCTCTCTGTGTTTCTTTGGTTTTTGATACTAAAAACGATTACACCGAGAAAGAGAGGAAAGCTAAGAGACTGTATTTATAGACTCATCTTCGGATTCAAAGATTTCCTTTTTTCTTTTTTTACTCTTTCTCTGTTATTTCCTTTTTCTTTGTGTTATTTCCTTACGTTTTCTCTCATATAAAATCAAGAAAAAACTAATCTAAGAAAATTCGAGGGATATGAGTGGAACATGTAATGAAACCCAAAACAAGAAAAACAAAATAGAAACAGAGGCATAGCTACAATCCCACAGCTAATTTAAGAACAACAATACGAAAAATATTACTACTAATGTGATTATTAATTATTCATAATCAAAGAAATAACCAGCTAGTGTGAAAACGCATTAATCACTGGAGTAGCAGTGATAGCCATTATTGGTCGAAAGAGCTTCCATGTATTGTTTCTCCAACACTTCCATTACTCTATCTGCTATGGCACTTGCATAAACACTTGATCCTTCACAAATCTGTTAAAATCACAATTGTACTTAGTCTATACTTATTTTTTGGTCTACTTAAGAAATAAAATTGAGATTTTATGACAAACCTTGGCGTTGAACAAGAAACTGTGGTGCTCTCCGATCTGTGCACCAGCTACATAGTGAAGATCAAGCTGAAGTTGGTCAATGACTTTGGATACGAACAACAGACAATTGATTTTCTTCTTCTGCACGATCTTGATCGTTACTTCATCGTCTATGATACGTACATCGACCTCAGTGAATTTCGATTTCCTCTTGAGCCATGAGCATCTCAAGGCATTGTTCTTCTTATTGATCAAACATTGTTCTACTACTTCGCTTTGAGCCTTGAAGTTCTCATCAATTACATCATCTCCTTCTCTGTTCCGCTGTTTAGTTCTTTTCTTTTCCACTAGCAGCTTGAACTCATCGATCGTCCTTAGCAACTCTTTGATGTAATCTATCGCTTCTCCAACGATTGATGCTCTATCATTCTAGGGATGTAAGAAAAAGGGTTTAGTTTGTAAAGTTTATTACTTGAAGAAGAAGTTAGTATATAAGTAAGTATAAAACCTTGGTAGGATTTGGAATTAGATTCTTTAAGTCACCAAACCGGTCTTTGAAGTGAACTCTTCTCTCGCGTTCGGTAGGGAAAACTTTCCGCTTTCTCGATCCTCTGCCTTTACGGTTAAGACCATCGTCGAGGTTGTTGTTTTCTTCATCATACATCAAATTCACTCCTTGGTTTTCTATCTCAGTTTGATCTTGATCAACTCCTATGAAAGTCCCATTAGGAGGGTGCAAAGGGAAATTCAGGTGGAAGAGCGGGTCATAGGCGGCAACAGAGGAAGATGTCGTCATGATAATGTCTTGAAGGCTCGGGTTTGCGAAAGGCGGAAGTGAGGATCTTGGCAATTGCAAGAGACTAAGTAGGTCAGGAGTGGTATGATTAGGACCCAAGTTCACAAAATCTTGGTAACCACTGTCCCAGTTATTCGACTGTTGCGCATACAATGGATCTTGGAGGGTTTGGTGCATTGAACTCTGGAATTGATGATCACAATTAGGCGTAGCATTGATGTGAAGCTGATGAACATAAGCTGAGCCTGAGGTAGGTAGAGAAGAGTCTTGTGGGCTGAGGTGGAATTCAGAGAGATCTTCTAGACTGCAGTTGCTGTTGCTGTTGCTACCGATGACCGTGATCGTCGGTGGTGGCTCAGCCGGAGAGAAACTGCTCTCAGCCGTCATTTCTGCCGGAGCATTTGGATCAAAACATCCAATTTCTTCAAACATGCCTCCTCCTTCCATGAAAACCGGTCCAAAGGGCTAAGAAAGATGGTTTCAAAATCTGCAAACGTTTACAAAATTTTATTTTCCTAGGTTTTATATTGACAACTGCAACGTAATCTCGAACAAATATGTTCTAACCATCTTAGAAATTAACTTGTCTAAGCTTAGATGAATTCTTGTAATAGAAGTGTATATCTAATGATCAGGTTATTAGAAATAAAAGACTAATTAAGAGAAGGTAAGTTGTTACCGACTTGGCTGATGATTCGCCGAAGAACCTTTTCCGATTAAAGCATCCGAATTCACGCCAAGAAGAGACTTACATTAACAACTCTTTCTCTCTCTCTCTCTGTCTCTCTTTTTAAAATGCCTATACGTTTGCAATTTGAGAGTAACAAATAAAAAGAGTGGAAGATGACACATTAAACTTTTTTTTTTGTATTAATAAAATACGTCTGTTATTTATTTGTGGTCGAACGGGGGACAAAAATTTTAATTTCAAAACAAACATTTGTTTTTCTTTTTATATTTGTATTTATTTCTCTCTTTTTTTTTCTTTCTCAAAAGTCTAGTGTCTTGTTTGTTCATACCGTAATATTCAAAATTGGAAACTAATGTTTCTTTTTTTTTTATCTATAAAAATTAATGGTGGTACTCTGGTAAAGTTCAGATTTTTTTTTTTTTTTTTTTTGACAATACCTAATTTGATACATCTTTATTGAATTGAAATTTTTGGTTACCGTATTGGTAAACTTTTGAGGTCTTTTCTTTATAAGTTGCATCTTTTAGAGCCTTTAAAAAAAAGGCACATTTTTTTAGTAACGAGGGTTTTGGTTGGATCATGAAATTTCTCTTTGTGGCAAGACAGGCCGGTGGTTAGTTACAGTCTGTAAGTTCCATGACGTGTCTCTCTTCGAGTGGGTCCCGTCATGATTCTCTCAGGTTTTGCCGTTTTGGGAGAAGATCTTCAGGGGTATTTCTGTCTATTCTTTATATTTTCTGAGTAATGTTAAGTTTGATTTGAATCCTTCAAATATAATAGTAGAGAGTTCTTAATTACCCTTTGAATTTTGAAGTTTTTTTTTTTTTGTGTGTGTAAAACTCCCCTAGTTTAAAGATTTTTTTGGCATTGTCTTCTGCAAAAATAGGGCCCAGTTTTAACAAAAAATTAAGAAACGAGACATTCAGACTGTAAGATAAAAGGCTTTATTTGTATTATTTCCTTGTTGATAAGTAAGTATTTCTTAATTTCATGTTTGTTGGGTCATGCAAAATATGTTTCCAAGGCAAGGTAGCGGATTTTTTGTGAAGAATATTAGCTGGGTCCCACGTGACGTATGTGGTTAGAAACAAAAGCTATGCCAAGTGGCAAGTGCTAATTAACCAGTTTTGTCCGGTTTATTGATTTTATGTTACAATTTGGGATTCAATTAATCAGCCGAAGACATTCTCTATTCGTTTTCTTTAGAGGTGTCGAGTTTTTTTTTTTTTTTTTTTTTTTTTGTCGAGCTGTATTTAAAAACATCTCAAACAAAGGTGAGGATGAGATGCGCAATATGGAATTAAAGGAGTGTTTTGTAATTGTGACAGTAACGTTTTTGGTTCTCCTATGAGGCTTATTTTGGGCCTCTACACAATATCAGAAGTAGGCGTTTTAACACGTTTCGTCATCTATAGCCGGATGAGAGGGCCTGTGAACCCTACCTGGTGCTGGTTATTTATTGCTTTAACTTACCCGACAAGTGCAACTGAATTTGAAATATCTATTTTGGGCCTACTGATCTTATTGACGAGAGGACCATTAATCACCCTATTCTTTGGCCTTTAGTATTTTATTATACTTGGAACACTTTGAAATTTCCATTTCGAAAATCTTGAGAAACCGAGCATGACCCGGTGAGGGAAAGGAATGTGTGGCGAGGACTATGCCTACCTAGCCGAGAAGCAGAGTCATCGATAGAGATGAGATGTGTCGATGATAACATTGCTAGTTCAGTTGTGCTCTTGTTATTGTAATTCTTGGTGGTTCATTCTTTGGATACATTTATGTTATGCGTCCCACATCGGAAGTGTGATAAGACTAAAAGTTAGTGTTCAATATAATACTTCAAATTTTGAGCATTAGGCCATTCTATTGAATTTTAAACTACGTACGGTCAGATTGAAGCTTACATATATTTGACTTTATCTTATGTCAAAACATAAATATGTGGCTATTACTCGTACACATATATGGCTATATACTCATACAAATGAATAGTCTCAATCATAGCTGTGCTCTGTAGTTGTCAGGTAGTCGTGGTTTGAAATAAAACACTCTCAAGTCTCAACTATTTGTATGAAGTCTCTATACTATTAGTTCCATGCTAGTTTATATATAACTTATCAGTCGTCTACACTAAACCTCTCGACACTCATTTATAATCAATTAATCACAAACCAAATTTAACTTTCATTGCTTTTTAAAAACAAATAATCATCAACAATAGATTATAGGTGACCTAATTATTTCCGCGGTGAAATACCTAAAATTATGTAAAATTAAAGATAACTATTCTTTGAAAAAAAGTAGACGAAAAAAAAGTTGGGAAAATTTGGGACTTTGTGTACCAAAAATAGAAAAAATAATTTCCAGCTTGTCATTTTCTTATGGTCCCAATTAATTAGCTCTCTCTATATATATTAACACACTTAGCCATCGCACACTTGCTAGTTACTTCCAACATTTGGCTTCCTTTGCTTCCACGAACATAAACCTTCTTCTTCTTCCATTTCTTCTTTCTCTCCTCGTTTAACAATTTGTTTGGTAAGGAAACAAGAATGGGAAGAAGACCATGCTGTGAGAAAATAGGATTGAAGAAAGGGCCATGGAGTGCTGAAGAAGATCGAATCTTGATCAATTATATTAGTCTCCATGGCCATCCCAATTGGAGAGCTCTCCCTAAACTAGCCGGTAAATAAGTCGTTTTCTAATGCTAATTGATATATATTAACAAAATTTTATCTAGCATTTGATTTGATGATGAGTATTATTGTTATATAGTATATATTTGTGTAAAGTTAATAATGGGGTTTGTGAAATGATTAGGGCTACTTCGGTGCGGAAAAAGTTGCAGGCTTCGTTGGATTAATTATTTGAAACCAGACATCAAACGTGGCAATTTCACTCCTCAAGAAGAAGATACTATCATCAACTTACATCAAATCTTAGGCAACAGGTTCCTCCTCCTTTTTCATTACCTGTTATTTGCGAAATTTTAGTTTTTTTGGTCCCTATATTCCTTGAACCAGAAATTAAACATTAATCTTTGAGAAATCACTCACATATATATATATATATATATTTTTAACTCTTTGAGTAGTCAATCAATTGCTGTCAACAAAAAAAAAGCTGTCAAAAAAAAGAAAAGAGTAGTCAATCAATTTTTTTTTTGGTTACAATAAGTCAATCACAATTTCTCTTTTGATAACTAGTTTCTCTGTTTAGCTCATATTATAGTAAAAATGGAAATCTTCATTCGTAAATGAAAGATTTTGGGACATCAAAATGTGAAAAAGTAACATTACTTGGAAATTTAGTTTGTTTTTAACTGTGATGACTAGCTAAGGTTACTTGACAATCTTTCTTAACAATTGTCTTTTTATATATGTTTTGCTTTGTCAGTAAAATATTATATCTTTGTGGGGCTATGAACTGAGAAGATTCCAACCCGTGATTGCCTTTGTCCATTAAATAATTTCAATTTTTACTTTCCTCTAATTAATACTTTTTTCTTCTTCTCATAAACAATTTTTATTCACTACTAGACAAGATAGGCACTGTGATCAGTGTAAGACATGTGCAAATTCATTTAACCATACACATGAACTTCAATAACTTTTCTTTTGTTTTACTCGCTCTTTGTTCTCATCATAACAATGTAGACGTGTTATAGTGAATCATACATGTGACATTTTGTTTGATATATCTTTCTTCTGGTAGATGGTCTGCGATAGCTGCAAAATTGCCAGGACGAACAGACAACGAAATTAAAAATGTTTGGCACACTCATTTAAAGAAAAGACTCCACCATAATAATCAAGATCAAAAAAACAAGGAAAATTTCGTCGTCTCGACTACAGCTTCGGAGAGGCCAACCTCTCCGCAACAACAATCTAGCAGTAGCGCCGAGATTTCAGAAATTACAACATCGGGAAACAATAACGACATCTCCAATAACAACAAAGACTCTGCGACGTCGTCATCCGAAGATGTTCTTGCAATTATAGATGAGAGCTTTTGGTCAGAAGTCGTATCATTAATGGATTGTAACATTTCAGGAGATGAGAAGAATGAAGAAAAGATAGAGAATTGGGAGGGCTCATTAGATAGAAACGATAAGGAATATTCGAAATTGTTTAACCACGACATGGACTTTTGGTTTGACCATCTCACTAGTATTAGTAGTAGTATAGTTTGAGAAATTTCCGACATTATATTTCTGAGTTTTGATTTGGTTTTAGTTAAGACTTATATCTTCTTCCTTTGTCACCCACATGAATAAAAGTCGTTTACGTTTCCTATATTAGTCCTCTTTCTATGTATCGTTATATTACTTTTGGTTAATTAAAAGGTTACTATAGGATATATATTCTAGATGTTCGTATCATTCTTAACATATATTTTGATTTTTTGTTGTGTTTTTCTTTTGACGTCTTATGATAAGTGTTTTTACTAAAGATCTCTTAGCAATAATGTAATCTTTTTTTTTTTTTTAATATTATGGTGATGTCTTATACTGTAACTACTAACTAGTAATAAACATGCTTAGTGGATGGCTAGATTAAAGAAAGTCTATATTGTTGTTCTAATGGTGGTCGCATACTTTTAAAAGCATATTCCTTTTTTTTTTTTTTTTTTTTTTTTTTGACGGCTATTCCTTTTTTTTCTATGCACAATGATTCTTTTTTTTTGTTTCACACACAAATATAATCGCATTTTAAACTCTTAGAGCTCACTAATAAAAGTAGTGGCTAACCGACAAAAAATATATGAAGTAGCCATTGCTATAGCTTTTCCTAACAGATTTGGCGTTCTCAAGCTCGATTATAACTTACTTATGTGTACAAATGTATGTGAATAATGTATTAATGTACCCTCAATTACTCCCATTGAGCAATTGTGATTTATAAACCTAAAATTTGAAAATATAAGAAGAAGAAGACTGTGAATGCTCGTCAGAAATTGTTTTTGTTTCGCCGTAGCAATTTCAGGTAGTGCGATCTTGATTTTACAAAGACTCATGCTTCTCGGCTGATAAAATTAAAACGAGATAACCTAAAAAAACATTACCAAAGAAGCACCATTGATATTATCGATGATCCAGCGACGGCTCCACTATAAGTTATAACAAATATATCACCATCAACTAAACTAAGTACTAACTAACTAAACCAATAATGGTCATTTGAAACATAAAACCAATGAGACGCATAAAATGATAAAAACGTGGTTGACAAGTGACAACTAAACCAGAGAATGGAGATGATTTTTATCAATTACTGAAAACAGCAGTTAACAAGGTACATCAGTGTAATAATAATACCTTCAAATAAAAAACCTCACAGCCAGTATTTTTCAAACAAACAAAAAACAGAGAAAGTAACTCATTCAACTGGTGCATACAGAGCAAAATTCAGCTGTGTTTGGGTCTAGTTCACTGTCCAATTAGCTGGAATTACTACTAAGTAACTCCACTAGCTCGGCTTTCTTCATCTTTGAAAACCCTTTTAGTCCTCGTGACTTTGCTAGGCCTCTCAGTTCCATCAGCTTCAGTTTACTCAAGTCTTTCACGTCTTCTTCCTCAGCTTCATCACTATCTTCATCAGCATCATCGTGAGACTCATCATCATCTGAAAACACATCTAAAATACCATCATCATCTAAAGTCACTTCATCATCCTCCTCCTCTTGAAAAAATGATGATGGATCTGGCTTCAACTCTGACTCTGGTTCAAGCATAGTTGTCACAGGTTCTGACTCATTTTCAGGTTCGGGCTCGTACTCAGGCTCATGCTCAGGCTCATCATGCAACTCTACTGTATCTTTCTTTTGGGTCCAGGTTACGCTGTAACTCGATGATTGATCAAAAGTTGCCTCGCTAGAATAAGCTGGCGGTGATTTAGATCTTGGTACTGGCGACTTTCTTCTGAAGCTTGATGTTGGTCTGGTAAAGGATGATGCATTATTATCTTTGTTCCCTGAATTGACAAGATTTCCATTGCGATTTTGTTTGTCGACAGCATCTTCTTGTACTTCTCCCTGGCTGCTAAATTTGCTGACTTGCTTCTTGCTTTGCTCTCCCGAGTGTTTCCTTAGCAACTTAAGAAGGGAGTCAACAGTTTCACTTTCTTTTCCCTGCCCTTTAGAAGCTTCTTCAATCTTTTTTTCTTCTTTCTTTGATGCAGCACGAGCTCGGAGCTGAGCTTGAACCTTTCTGAAAAGCTCCACTATCTCTTTCTCTCTTGGTCCAGGGGATGAGATAGCTTGGAATTTGGGGGAGCTAGATAGAGAGAATAAAGGCCCATTTCTTGAAGACAACATATCAGAGTTTTCGATATCGAGATCGTCTCTCCCTTCACTCTGCCTGTTGTTTCCCCGGAAACCATGCTTATTAAGTCTTGAGAAATCAGGATTTCTCCTATAGCCGCCAGAACTTGCTCGACATACAAAAGAGCTAGTATTGGAGACAGATTTAAGACGCCCATTCTTGTGATCCAGACAGGAAGAGCAAGGTAATACGGCAAGTGTTCTTCTTGAAACAGTAGAGTTAGAGATGGAACGGCTGTCTGAAAGTGTGTAACCTGTGTTACCAAGCAAATACCACAGAGAGTAAGCAAATTGAAAGAAAGAACAATTCGTTAGGCCAGTACAAAAACATGTCAGAGTCCACACATAAATTAGCGGAATTTTATATAACACTCGAAGAGTCATTTCATCGAACAACTGGTGGACAACAAAACAAAACAATACAATTCTCCTCACAAAGTGACAGGGGCATAAAACAGTAGGTGCTCGGAGAGAATTCAAGGAAGAACACTAACAATATTCCCGGAAAACAAATAGACAGATACCTTAACAATTATCAACGACAACTGAAAAAAGATATTATAAAAAAGAAGGAGAGGAACATTTTATCAACGACATGTGAGAGAAAGAGAAAGAGAAAGAGAGAGACATGAAAAGGGTAGAGGATAGTGAAGTACCAGGGACATAGTCAGAAGTCAAATGGAAAGTTCCCGACATCGCCATAAACAGACTTCAGGAGCAAAGAAGAGAGATTTATGCTTCTTCTTGCATTGCCCTTTCCTTCTCGACTTCTCTGCCTTGTCTTGGCAACACAAATCTTGTTATTGGGCTTTTTCGAGTTAGGTTATTATTATGGGCTTTGTGAAATTTCTGGAAAAACAAAACCATAAACGGAGAACCGATTGTATTAAGTATTAACGCAAACCAATAATCCAATCCGGTCTAATTTCGGTCACAATGCTTTCAAACCGAAATTATAATCAATTTCATATTATTATTTTCGGTTCGGTTTAATACCGTCCTTTGGATTCTCTTTTTTAAAGAAATGGTTGTTTCTAGAGGGAAAGCTCATGATGAACCGTTTCCTCAACACTCAACAGCATCCATATCAAGCTTAAGAACCAACGGGCCAACATTTGCCACAAACATCTCCAATGACAACTAAATTGGAGTTTATAAGTGAAACAAAGACAGTGAAATGTGGTGCAAGAAAGGTTCCTTGTTATTACGCCTTGTGGTCTTTAGCCAATTCATCCACGTCAAGTTCTACCGCCAGGATTGGAGAATCCTCTTCCATGGCAAATTCACTGATAAGAGTAACATTCCCAGGATTTGTTTTTTCCTCAGTAAGAGAAGAATTACACAAGGATAAAGCTGATAGGGGACAATATAATCTTCTCTTACCTGTTGCTTACTGGACCATGATCCACGGCTGTCCTCAGACAATATATAGCTCTTCCTACTATGTCCGCCATTGATATAGGACCAAATGTTCGACTATCATATGCTTCCTATTAAAACATACCAAAGTTTACATAGATTTAGTTTCTCTTATGTAAAGCGGCATAACAAGAGCTTTACATGGGTAAGTAATGAGCAGGATTTTGCAAGTGTATTATAGTGTAAGGGAGAAAGTAAGTGAGGTACCTTAGATTTCATCTCTTGGTTCTCAGCTACGACCCAGCACTGATCCTTTTCGAGAACAAAAGGCTCGTCTTTCTCATCACTTGATACCATTTCAGATCCCTCTAAAGCTGCAACTCTTCTGACTATATACTTTTTTGTTTCATTCGGGTCCTTCAAGACAACAGCATCCCCAACGAAAACGTACCTAGATAACAAAGCAAGAAATCCAGATGAGCATCACTAATAATACACACACTGAACCTAGAAAAGGCTGCGAGCTAAAGGGTTTCCACTGATTATTGGATACGTTAAGCTGAAACCCAGAATTTACATTTTCAATGAGCTCATCGGACTTTAACTATAGTTGTCTGTGTCAAACAACTCAATTCTGTCCAATTCATTCTGTCAAAGTAAGAAGACATATACATACACACGCACTACACATTATATGATAAGCAAAACAACAAGAATTTTTAAAACTTTTTTCAAACATTTTAATCCTCGATTCCCTCTTTCTCCTACACCTACTTACAACTCCCAAATGCAAGAAAAGGAAATAAAAAATAATCTTAAAGCCCATGACTTTAGCTAATGGAAATTAAGTACAGCTCCTACACAAGAAAGGAAACATAAATAATCCAACGTTTATGACTTAAGAAAAACGTGATCCCATATACCCCACTAGATAACTAGCATACAGAGCCACATTTCGTATTACACCAAGTGGTAACTTCAAGGTTTATGTAAGTGGAACTAAAAGGACTAACCCTTAATGCCAAGAAACATACCTTGTATCAACAACTGGTAGCTTACGGACAAGTAGCGTGTTTTCCTTTGTTCCCATGGTTGGGGCCATCGCTTGTCCTTTATCCGAGTGTAAGTAGGTTATCCTTCCATAGAATAGATTCTTCATGACTATACCAAGGAGTTCCCGGTCAGTGAGCTTCTCTCTAGTATGTTTCTGACAAATAGAGTAACTCAAGCATGGTAAGTAAAACAGATTCTACAATATGTTTAAAATATGTATATGGGAAAAAAACAGACTCTACATGACAGTTTAAACAACTCAATGAGCTGAAAAAAAACTCTGCAGCAGCAGAAACAACCAGGGCCAAAACAATCATGAAGGCTTTTTTGAGTCATTGGATGTAATCGGATCATCTGAAAGAAAGATCTTGAAATCATATTCACAAGTGAAACTATATGATACAAAGTAATATCACAAATTCAATAGCTACGATTTGCATATATGAACTTGTTTTAAAACAAATTCAAGAATCACAAGCTATTGAAGATCATTTCAACCAAACTACTGATCCTGTAGCATAAAGTATGTTCCTTTTTCTTGTTTTTAAAATCAAAGTGTGCTCTTTTAGTATAAGGGGTAGCTACAATCACCAACTAAAAAACATACAAATTTTGCTTATCCAAATGCATAGCTCGAGAGAAGCAAAATGTCTTGAAAATGGCGCTTTATTGGGGAAAAATCAGAAACCCTAGACCATCTAATCATTCCTAGAGCCAATTATATAAATTATAAAGAGAGAAAAAGGTAAATTTTTAAAAATCCCTGTAAGCCAAAAGCAAGAAACCGAAAGCTTAACACAAACGGAGTCACAGAGTGAGAGAGAGAGCATTATAAGAACCTTGAGGCTGAGAGTGAGAGAGTACTCGAGCTTGTGAGCCATGTATCGAACATAATTCGTGATGGATGCCATCGTTGAATGCTAGCGACTTCTAATCGGAAGGGACCTCTTCGCCGCGTCGGTTTTCTCAGCCTCGTCGCCCCCGTTGTCGAACTGGTGGTCATTTATGGGTTCGTCGGTCATAAAATATTAAAAATCTCGTGATTTCAAAAAATTGCCAAACAAGTTAGCTATTTAGAAAATATTCAAATTAGCCTCGGAACTATTTCTTAGTTTTCTAAATATTTACCCTGAACTAAACAATTTTGTCAGTTTAACCCCTACCAGGAAGCTTCTGACCAAAAACTTAAGTTAGGCTTTGTCAACATGCCACGTGTTCAACGCTCCTTCTTCTCTTTTCTAACTCTCCCTCTGCTCAACATTTCCTTCCGACAGATTTGTGGATTGAAGCTAAATAATCAAAGACAAATACCAAACACATCAACAAATTTTCCAGAAGATTTGAATTTGATCATCTCTAAGAAACTTCATCTCAGGTTCTCTCCTCTCTTCTTTTTCTAGTACTCTAGGATCAGCACATTTGAATTGATAGATCCAATCTATTCCCTGATCTCTAGTCGTTAGATTTTGGTCGATTGATCTCGCTTCAGAGTTTACGATTGTGTACTGTTTAATATATAGAACGATGGTGACACGAAACTGAATCGGAAATCAAATTAGGGTTTTTTTTAGGGGTTCGTTAAATTAGACAAATTTTGGGTTAATTTTGCAGAGAATATGGACAAATTGAAGATAGCGGAATTTGGAGAGAAGCTGAAGACTGGTGGAGCTCAGATGAGTAGAATGGTGAGTGAGAAAGTGAAAGATATGCTTCAAGCTCCGACCTTGGAATCGAAAATGGTGGATGAAGCTACTTTAAAGACGTTAGAGGAGCCTAATTGGGGAATGAACATGAGGATATGTGCTCAGATTAACAACGATGAGTTTAACGGCACTGAGATTGTTAGAGCCATTAAGAGGAAGATCTCAGGTAAGAGCCCTGTGAGCCAAAGGCTGAGCCTTGAGCTTTTGGAGGCTTGTGCTATGAACTGCGAGAAGGTTTTCTCTGAAGTTGCTTCTGAGAAAGTTCTTGATGAGATGGTTTGGTTGATCAAGAATGGAGAAGCTGATTCCGAGAACAGAAAGCGAGCTTTTCAGCTTATTAGAGCTTGGGGACAATCCCAAGAACTTACTTATCTTCCTGTTTTCCACCAGACTTATATGGTAAATCTCTCTGGATCTCATTTGCTTATTATGAAGAGACGTTTTCTTGTTATTTTGTGTCATTCTCTGTTTGTTTGTTTCTGATTTCTCCTAGGGCTTGGAAGGCAAAAACGGATTACATGCTCGAGGTGAAGAGAATTCAATGCCGGGACAAAGTTCTCTGGAGTCTCTTATGCAACGGCCTGTTCCAGTGCCTCCACCTGGTAGCTATCCGGTTCCTAATCAAGAACAGGCTCGTGGGGACGATGATGGTCTTGACTATAACTTTGGAAACTTATCGATAAAGGATAAGAAAGAACAGATTGAGATTACCCGGAACAGCCTCGAATTGCTCGCTAGCATGTTGAACACTGAAGGGAAGCCGAATCACACAGAGGTAATCTCTGCGTTTTTTTGCTCATCTAAACATATTCTCTGGATTGAGTATCTCCTGATTTACATTATCATTTCCTTGGATATCTATGCTTAAAGTGAAATTGACAGGATAAAAATAAGTAATGGGTTTCTATATATGTTTTGGTAACAGGACGATCTAACGGTAAGCCTGATGGAGAAATGCAAGCAATCGCAGCCGTTGATTCAAATGATTATAGAGAGCACAACAGACGACGAGGGAGTCCTGTTTGAGGCTCTGCATCTGAATGATGAGCTCCAACGCGTTCTATCTAGTTACAAGAAGCCTGATGAAACCGAGAAGAAAGCCTCCATTGTGGAACAAGAATCATCAGGAAGCAAAGAGGCTGGTCCGAAACCAACAGAAGAAGAAGAAGAACAACCTGTAAAGAAAACGGGTGATGATGATGACACAAAACATTCAGAAGCATCAGGATCCTCCAACAAAACCGTCAAAGAAGATAAGCAGGCCGTGAAAATAGAACTCGGGCTTTCGAGTGATGAAGATGAAAAATAAGCAGTCTGTGTTTGTCTTCTTCCGACATGGATATCAGAATGTTGGGAAGATTTGTTCTTGATGGTTTACTTTTAGATAATAACAATGTACTTTCACTATGTGGAACCTTTTTAGCTTCGTTTCTTGCTGTGTTTTAAAGTGTTTTTTTTTTTAAACATTTTTAAACCGTAGGTGAATGTCTGGACTTAGCCTATTACTTATGTGTTGTGAGGTTAGTATCTTCATTAATGTTAAGACTCTCGGATTAACTTGCTCGGAATGATAAAATGAAGTCTAACATTAATTTGTTTAGTCTTCCAAATTCAAATAATAAACTGAGTCTTGGACGATGCTTGATGCTTCACAGTGATCTTTCAAAAGTTTACTCTTATCACCAACTAGGTAAGCCAAAAAAGGTCTTGTACCAATTGTAGAGTATATGATGATACTTGCCTACACTCGAGTAAAGACTGTCTCATGTAATCATCTTGTTATGCTAGTTTCCTTTCTTCTTTAATTGCAGCTTCTCCAAACTAAAATGAACTCCTAAGAGTGATAAGACTAATTTTGCTTCATCCATTATCTAATCCTAAACATCTTAAAAACTCTTAACAATGGTTCCTTTTGTCGGTGATAATAACCCAAAATCATGTTAACAAAAATCAAATATTTTATTTATTGCTTCTTCAAGATCTTAGTATATCCATATATTTTGATACAATCAACATATCATCCACTAATATAAAAAGTTATATGTATGAACTTTTACAGAATTTTCTCTAGTAAACATAGTGATCAAATATATTTTGTCATGATTTGATCCATTGCCTTGGAAATTGACCATTTTATTAAAAAAACTAGAATTTTTAATCAATTTTACCGATGGTTTTAATTAAAATTTTCCTTTTTACGATAGATTTTGGTTTTTTTTAGTCGGTATTAAGTATTTTTATATAGGGTGAATTGCATGAATAACCTATTTCACTAATATAATTAAGTTTATAGCACCATAACTTACAAAATAAAGAAAGTAACGCAAGAGCCTTGTGTAAAGACCAATTTGGGTTTCTGAAGAGATCATGTGGAAATAGAGAGAAAACTGAGAAGGTGACGTGTGTGCGAGATAGGAGTCAAAGAAGAGAGAGAGAGAGTAATGATGACATGGCCAAAATCAACAATATCCCAAATAATTTTGTATGTTGAATTAGTTTCGTTCAAGTAATTTTTCTAAATCTTGCAATAGTTTTTAAAAAGCTAGATTTCTTTTCTATGCATAACATGATTTGAATTTGGAAAAACAGCTATGTATTTCTTATAGAACTGAATAGTGTGTGAAACTAAAATCATTTTATACTATATCACCAATAACACACATAGACTTGATAAATAGAATGGAATGAGGGAAAGGATAAGAATAAATGTGAATGTGATGGATTCAAGAAAATGAAAACTAGATTGAGAGGATGTGTGATTGTGAGGGTCAAGGAAGGAGAAGAAGAAACATAATTGAGTCTCAAATTTTGGGAAGTTTTCCACTTGAATCTTGGAGGAAAATAAACTATATAGTATAGACTTTAATTAAATAGAATAGTAATATGTTTAAGTTGTCCAACAATGGATTGGAATCTATATGTCCAAGTTACAAAATCAAAATTTCGTCAGTACCACTTTCATTAAAAGCCTCATACCATCCATACGACAAGGCCACCACATAAACAGCAAATACGGCGGTGGTGAACGAGTTTAAGACGTTGCGAGAGCGAAATCTGTTTTTAAAAGTGGCTATAATGCTTGCTGAGAACCATATAAACAAAGATATATGAGAAAATACAAACAAGAAACTCAAATGGGAAATCATAGACAAGCAATCGAGAATTGTTTGTTGAAGACGAATCTCGAAGAGAACTCCACGTTTTAAGAAATCGTTGGAGAAAAAAGAATCTTTCAAATTTTTAAGTTCTACGTTAGAGACTAATAAAAAAGAAAGAAAAAGAAGACAATGAAAAAGATAGGTGAACTAAGGGTATTTTAGGATATATTGTAAGTAATATAAAGAATATCAGCTTCTTTTTTGTTTTGGGTCAGTTACCTAATTATAGTTTTTTTGTTGGTTATACACTCCAATTTCTCTTTTATATATACTTGCCGTAAAAAAAAAACACTCTGCGTCGTCTCCGATAAAGAGTGTTTCCTATCAAAAACCTAAATCTAAAATCTTTCGTTCCCAAAAACAGTCTCGGAAAGACTCGAAACCCAGTGGCGACAAACCCTATCGCCGAACAAAGCCCCATTTTCCTCTAGCTTGCGCACCGCCTCTCGCTCTCTCTCCCTACCGGTTCGTCTTCTCACTCCTTAACTTTGTTTAGCTGGTTCACTCGACCCTAGGGTTTTACTCTAATCAAACTTAGCATAAGCTTCTGCTCGATTCTCGCCTAGGGTTTTGCTCTAGTCCAAATTAGCTTAAGTTTCTGGTTGATTTTAGCTTTTCCTGGTGCTCTCTCTGACACTTTGGTAAAAACTACGGAATGCCTCCTTCTTCTCGGACTTTTTGTGCATGATTTTGTCACCAGGCTTTGTTCTTCATACTTTTCTGTTGTTGAATGTTGTTGTAGCATTAGGGGAGACTACTCGCCAATGTGTTAACTGAAGTATGTTGCAGATTTGATATGTAAATAACCCAGATAGATCTAGTTTTTATCTATCTAAAGCTTTATTTTGTGGTAATGCTCTCATCTGACTTTTGAGGTTAAATTTCCGTTATTGTTCTCTCCACTACGAAATTCTGATTGAGCATGGGATTCTATTTGACAGGCTTACATAAAGATGGAGGAAACCTTGTATGATGAGTTTGGTAACTATATTGGACCTGAGATTGAGTCTGACAGAGATAGTGATGATGAAGTAGAAGATGAAGATCTCCAAGATAAGCAACTTGAAAATGGATCGGATGGCGAACAAGGGCCTGGGGGTTCTAATGGCTGGATTACCACTATCAATGATGTTGAGATGGAGAACCAAATTGTTCTTCCTGAGGATAAGAAGTACTACCCTACTGCTGAAGAGGTTTATGGTGAGGGTGTTGAGACCTTGGTTATGGATGAAGATGAGCAGCCTCTTGAGCAACCCATAATCAAACCTGTTAGAGATATTAGATTTGAGGTGGGGATCAAGGATCAATCAACCTACGTGTCAACACAGTTTCTTATCGGCCTCATGTCTAATCCCACGCTTGTGAGGAATGTTGCTCTTGTGGGGCATCTACAGCACGGCAAAACTGTCTTCATGGATATGTTGGTAGAGCAGACGCATCATATGTCTACTTTTAATACTAAAAACGAGAAGCATATGAAATATACAGACACACGAGTCGATGAGCAGGAGAGAAATATATCAATCAAGGCGGTTCCAATGTCTCTTGTCCTTGAGGACAGTAGATCCAAATCATACCTGTGCAATATCATGGATACCCCTGGACATGTCAATTTCTCTGACGAAATGACTGCTTCTCTAAGACTTGCTGATGGTGCTGTTCTGATTGTTGATGCTGCTGAAGGAGTGATGGTAATTCTTTACTCTCTCTCTTTGGGTCTGTTTTTTTATTTTTTGAAGTTTACTATTTGTACTAACGCTAATAATCTTTTTTCAGGTAAACACAGAGAGAGCTATACGGCATGCAATCCAGGACCGTCTCCCTATTGTTGTTGTGATCAATAAGGTACATCATGCTTCAATGTATAACTTAAGAGATACTGTGTGAAATTTTATATTTCCATACATTTACTTGACCTTTGCTTTTTGTCAAATTTGTTTTCCCCAACAGGTTGACAGGCTCATAACTGAGCTCAAACTACCTCCAAGGGATGCTTACTACAAGCTGAGGCATACAATTGAAGTCATTAATAACCACATATCTGCTGCTTCAACAACTGCTGGAAACTTACCTCTTATAGACCCTGCAGCTGGAAATGTATGTTTTGCCAGTGGTACAGCCGGATGGTCCTTCACATTGCAATCTTTTGCTAAAATGTACGCCAAGCTTCATGGGGTGGCCATGGACGTGGATAAGTTTGCATCTCGACTTTGGGGAGATGTTTATTATCACCCTGATACTAGGGTATTCAAGAGAAATCCTCCAGTAGGTGGTGGAGAAAGAGCATTTGTTCAGTTTATTCTGGAGCCTCTATACAAGATATACAGCCAAGTGATAGGTGAACATAAGAAGAGTGTAGAGACCACCCTTGCAGAATTAGGAGTGACTCTGAGTAATAGTGCGTATAAGCTGAACGTCAGACCTTTACTTAGGTTAGCCTGTAGTTCAGTTTTTGGTTCGGCATCAGGGTTCACTGATATGTTGGTAAAGCACATTCCTTCCCCCAGAGAGGCTGCAGCTAGGAAAGTCGACCATTCATACACTGGAACCAAAGATTCCCCCATTTATGAATCAATGGTAGAATGTGATCCATCTGGACCTCTCATGGTTAATGTGACAAAGTTGTACCCCAAATCAGATACTAGCGTTTTTGATGTGTTTGGAAGGGTTTATAGCGGTAGGCTTCAAACAGGGCAAAGCGTACGTGTACTAGGAGAAGGGTATTCACCTGAGGATGAGGAGGACATGACTATAAAAGAAGTGACGAAGCTATGGATATATCAGGCTAGGTATAGAATACCAGTAAGCAGTGCCCCTCCCGGTTCCTGGGTTTTAATTGAAGGTGTAGATGCGTCCATCATGAAAACTGCAACTCTGTGTAATGCAAGCTATGATGAAGATGTCTACATATTCCGGGCTCTCCAATTTAATACCCTCTCAGTAGTCAAGACTGCAACTGAGCCTTTGAATCCTAGTGAGCTGCCTAAAATGGTGGAAGGACTTAGGAAAATTAGCAAAAGCTATCCCCTTGCGATTACCAAAGTTGAGGAGTCTGGGGAACATACTATTTTAGGCACAGGTGAGTTGTACTTGGATTCCATCATGAAGGACCTCAGGGAACTCTATTCAGAGGTCGAAGTAAAGGTATCTAATTGTATCTCAAATTTGGCTCTATGACCGTGATTCCGTTTTGGTTGTTTGATCGCTAAGATCCTTTCACTTTCTTAAATTTGTAGGTCGCAGATCCGGTGGTCTCCTTCTGTGAGACGGTGGTTGAATCTTCGTCGATGAAGTGTTTTGCTGAGACACCAAACAAAAAGAACAAAATAACTATGGTAAGAGATCTTCCTTTATCCACTATTATCCCTTATATATAATAATGTGATGTTTGGTATGGTGCTCAAGCACAATTACTTTGTGACTAATCTAATATCTGTTTCATGCTAAAGATTGCAGAGCCATTGGATAGAGGACTTGCAGAGGACATTGAGAATGGCGTTGTAAGCATTGACTGGAACAGAAAACAACTTGGTGACTTCTTCAGGACGAAATATGACTGGGATTTACTTGCTGCACGTTCCATCTGGGCTTTTGGCCCTGACAAACAGGTGAAAATGCATTGCTTGTATTCTTAAAACACTGCAATCTGGGTGCTCTCTTTATCTTTGTTATGGTTGGTTTATGTCTGTTTTGACAATTTCATTGATTGTTGATTTTCTGACTGATCAGGGGCCAAATATATTATTGGATGACACACTTCCAACTGAGGTGGACAGGAACTTGATGATGGCAGTGAAAGACTCCATTGTTCAAGGGTGATCATCTTTCTTACGTTACACTTCTATTTGGCTCGATTTTGATGGCTTTAGCTAATTGGTTTCGTTTTAATCCTTTTGCAGGTTCCAGTGGGGTGCTCGTGAAGGTCCCCTCTGTGATGAGCCCATCAGAAATGTAAAGTTCAAGATTGTTGATGCAAGGATAGCACCAGAGCCGTTGCATAGAGGATCTGGTCAGATGATTCCAACAGCAAGACGTGTTGCATATTCAGCCTTTCTTATGGCAACTCCAAGGCTAATGGAACCTGTCTATTATGTGGAGGTACATAATCCATTTCCATTTTTGCTCTTCACATTTTTTCTCTTAGAATGATAATTAAGAGTTATAGTTGTGTCTCAGATACAAACGCCAATCGACTGTGTAACTGCAATCTACACAGTTTTGTCACGCAGACGTGGCCATGTCACATCTGATGTTCCCCAACCCGGTACTCCGGCTTATATCGTGAAGGTAAAATTTGTTTGTTTCTATTTCCTTACTTTGTTTCCTGTTATCTGGCTGAGTGATGATTCATTGATTATATTCTTTGGTGTTGATGCAGGCTTTTCTGCCTGTGATAGAGTCATTTGGGTTTGAGACAGATCTGAGGTACCACACTCAGGGACAAGCCTTTTGCCTATCTGTGTTTGATCACTGGGCCATAGTGCCAGGAGACCCTCTAGACAAAGCCATCCAATTGCGCCCACTTGAGCCCGCCCCTATTCAGCATCTAGCTCGTGAATTCATGGTCAAGACCCGCCGTAGAAAGGTATTATTCATTCCTTTGTTTCAATGCAGATGCCGAAACTTTGGTTAAAGATAAGAATGAAACCGTAGACTGATTTATTACTCTAGTGTTTGTTGAAGAGACCCCAGAAAACTCTCTCAAACCAAAGAAGCCCCTCATAACTAATGTTTACAACCTCAGCCCTTGTTAATTACTCTTTAACCAAGTAACACCAGCTATAATGCTTGGATACATCCTAGGCTAGTTTTATAGTAGACTCATTGAGTGTTTGCATCATCAGTTTCAGACTCTCACGATATGTATAATTTGTTGGTTTTGCAGGGAATGAGCGAAGACGTCAGCGGGAATAAATTCTTTGATGAAGCGATGATGGTAGAGCTTGCCCAGCAAACAGGCGATCTCCATCTGCAGATGATTTGATGATCTCTGCACTTTTTCATATAAATCGTGAGCCTAAAGTCTTGGACTAGTAGTAGAAATCTCCTCTTCTCTCTATATATGTGAAAGGAGAACAAGAAAATGTGGATTAATTTTGTAATAGATGTGTCAAATTTACGTTTAAAGTTAAGAGATTTTAGTGAACGTCTCAAACAGTTAACATGACATGTTCCCAAAATTTTTGTAAGTTGTAAACAATGCATGCAATTATGGAAGTGACAAGTAACCAATCATAAATTGGATTATGGGAAACTGAACTAGGCTATTCGATACCCTCCCAGAATCTATTATCTTTATTATGGCTAGTTATGCATATGATATAGAAAAGTTTTATAAAACTTGTTTTTACTGATTTACTGTTTTAGATATGGAACCATTTCATAATCTTTTTGGTAACACAGCGATGATCATATATCCTGTAGAACTTTACCTACCAGTATGCTTTTTAGGGGTTATATTAATTGCATTAAAAATTACAAAATATTTTCTTGCTTTAAAAGAAAAGAAGTTAATGGATCCTACCAAAAAGAAAAGAAAAGAAGTTAATGGAGCTTTGTAACTCAAAAGGTTTATCAATTTCCCTAAAAAAAGAAGTTATCCCAATACTAAATTCACAAAAAGCTTTCTGTTTTCAAAAATTTAGACTGAAGTTTTTATTTTTTAGTTAGTTGATAAAGTTTTCTTAATTTGTAAAGTTGGCTCTTTTTCCTCTATAAAATTGAAAGTGTAAACTGAACATATATAGTTTTATCACTTTGGTGTCGCTCTCTTTCCCCTTTTATTCTCCGCCACATTTCAATACATTAAAGTTTCAAAACCAAACAAAGGAGTAATAAATAAGTTAAATTTTTGGCAACTATAATGGTTAATTATGTCACACAACCTCATTTATACTACTTGATAAACAAAATCGGTAAAAGGGTCCATATTGAACGATCCTATTTCCGAGAGTTTTCTGCATAACTAAGATTTGATTCTTGAAAAATGCTAAATTTAAAGATAGACCAGGTCAATGGCACAATATAAGTAAGTTTTTCTTCATAAATTAATTTAGTGCACATAGACGACTTATTTTACTCCAATGAAAATTAGTTAATTCGTCAAACGTCACTACTTCTCTCAAAGATTTGTTGTGCTTACTCTTTTCGTCTATTTCATGCTTCCATAATCAGCTTTTTACGTCGACATGCTCTACAAATCGAAGTGGACGTGGCGGCAACCACTTATACAATTATACATAAAATAAAACTATATAATATATAGTTAAGGTCCTGGTTGATTTATATATTCATATCGTTTAAGGTATAAGATTGGTCTCCACCACCTTATTCTATGTATGCATTGCCAACTCTGAAAACGTCATGCGCTATCTTCATTGGTTATATCCATTTGGCTCCACCAAAAAGCTATAATGATTTTCCCCATATCCTAAATATATACTTGTATAGTTACTATACATTTGGGTTCTGTAGAATTACTACAATACTTAAATTACTCTTAATTTTAAACTAAGAGAAATCATACATTACGTCACTTACTACGTTCCCACTAAAAATATAGGCAAATGCAATCAACTGATCAAGTGATGATGACTGTTCAAGAGCTCGTAGAGAAAGATAAATAAATTGACATGTTGATGATCAAATGAATTAAGAGATGTATAAGAGGTGCTAGGTAGAGTAGATATGACTAGATTCCAACTTAATTAATCTGTATTTAATTTCTTTACAGATGAATGAACAGTACTTAAGGCTTTAGCCTTTAGCTTCTATATAAACCATAGCTGTTGAGCGTATATATGGAGATCAACCCTTAAATCTTCAAAGACTATATACCTCACCTTTAAGAGCTAAGAGGAAGCTACATATATATGGCAAGTCTCAAGTTATGGGTTTGTTTGGTCTTGCTTCTAGTACTCGAATTGACCTCGGTGAACGAATGCCGACCTTTGGTTGCGGAAGAAAGCTTTTCTGGTTCAAGCCGTTTGAAAAAGATTAGACGTGAACTTTTTGAGAGGTTAAAAGAGTTGAAGGTGAGATCAGAAGGCGAATATACGATCCTTGGAAATACTCTTGACTCGAAGCGGCTTAGTCCCGGTGGTCCTGACCCAAGGCATCACTGACATAGAAGAATGCAAAAAAGTGTGTAATGTGACATTTTTGGGAGAGGTTAAATCGTAACGGTGTAGTGTATTCGAGCTCTAATCTTCAAATATAGGAAAGATATGTGTCTGTCACCTAAAGCAGCTTGCTCGATATATGTAATGTGATATTCTTATGTTACACTCTTTTTTTCTTTTCTTTTTTTCCATTAATGAAGCATTTCTGTTTACATTATCTCGTTTGCCTCGTCCTGGTTATTGAGGTTCCCTCTATACGATTTTTAGTTCGTTCGGTTTGGGTTTGCATATACATGGTACGTCAAATGATTATGTACTTAAGTAGTTGCTGATTTTGTTTTTATCACTAAGTCGATTCTTTTAATACGAAACCTTTTTTCTACAGTTCATGCATGTTTCTCTAACAAATCTATACTATTTATAAAAGCAGTATATTTAGTTTATTTCTGAGAGCTATTCCCCAATTTCACTAAATATGAGTTTATACTATTCAGATTAACAAAAAAACACATCATATATTTAGTTTATTTACTATGTCTAAAACTCACAATTATAACTAACAAATAATTACATAGATATATTATATATATATATATTTTAAATATCACTTAGTTTGTGTTTTTTTTTTTTTTTTTTTTGCTAAATATGTTAATATCATTATAATGAAAATTAGGCTTTACAAAAGAGTAGAACCTACGAAAGAGTAGCCGAGGCAAAAAGAATAAAAACAAGGCTACAATAGAATTAGGAAAGATTTGGGATGCTTATCGAATCCAAAGGAGCATTAGCCTTTGCCAACGCTTGCGATGTCGTCTAGAAGAGAATATATTGCGGAGCTCACGATCCACCATTTTGAAGATAACAAGGGGAGACAAACGAACAGAGTTATGCAACACACTATTTCGTTGTCGCCAAATGTTATAGATCACTGCTTGAGCTGCCACTTTCCGGAGGAGAGGAGGAGCTGCAGGAGATGAGAGTCTAGTCCAAGAGAGCAGCTCTGCCCAAGAGCAGAAGAGGCGCTGTCGCGGAGATAACCGGCTGAAAACCATATTCCAAAGCTGCGAAGAAAACTCACAAGACAAAAAGAGATGGTCCCGGGATTCCGTAACAATAGTGCAAAGACAACAAGCAGCTGAAGGAATCTGTCCCCAAGAAGCAAGCCTTTGTCTAGTAGGCAATCTATCAAGGTGACATACCCACATATTAAAAGCATGCTTCGGAACAGCTCCTTTGAACCAGACCGAAGCAGCCCATTCTTTTTCAAATTCTCTTGGTCTCAAAGCATCCCAAGTCACTGCTGTTGAGAAACCTTTACACACCACATCCCCTACACACCAAGTGTAAGAATCATCAACCAAAGCACTGGAAGGGGCAGGAAGAGTAGAAATGTGCTCATAGATGGCAAGAGCAGATTGGGATCTTGACAAAGGCAGTCGCCACCCATTTGGACCATAAGCGTCAGCAACTCTCGCATTGAGAGGAATACGCAGCGTCCTAGTGCCAATGTCTCCCAAGTACTTGATTAAAGGTCCCATTGAAGTCCAATTGTCATGCCAAAAGAAAGTTTTAAAGCCATTGCCCACTTTGCTCCTCACAAATTGTTCTGCTAAAGGCCTTAGGTTTAAAAGCATCTTCCAAGACCATGGATCACTTGGCGATACGTCAACTTCCCAGAAAGATTTGTTTCTAAGATGGTGATGACAATGCCATGATGCCCAGAGTGAACCATTATTGTGAAACAGCTGCCAAATAAGTCTCAAACAGAGAGTCTTATTCCACTCCAATAATCTCCGCAGGCCTAGACCGCCCTCAGCCTTTGGCAGGCATAACGCAGCCCAAGCAACCTTAGCCCCTTTGCCTTCCTCAACACTTCCTGACCAAAGAAACCTAGAGCAGAGACTCTCAATTTTCTTTATGCAACCCTTTGGCAGTAAAAATGTAGACATCCAAAAGTTGATAGACCCATAAATGACAGATGCGATTAGCTGAACCCGGCCAGCAAAAGATAAGGATTTAATAGCCCAAGATCTGAATCTTTTGGTTATTTTTTCCAGAAGGGGTTCATACTCAGCAATCCGCAGCTTTCTAGACATAAGTGGGAGCCCCAAATACCTGATTGGTAAGGTACCAAGAGGGAAACCGTAGACTGACAAAGTGTTGCGCTCTTGAAGACCCAATCCCGCATGAAACAGTTGGCTTTTGTCTTTGTTTACTCTCAAACCTGACCAAGAGGCAAAATCATCAAGTGTTTCGCAAATTCCGTGCAAGGAGGAACTGCCGCCATCAAAGAATATCATGACATCATCTGCAAACATTAAATGTGAGATAGCCAGATCCGCAGCCTTGGGATGGTAGTGAATATATCCCGAATCAAACCTAGAATGCAGCAGCTTTGAGAAAACTTCCATAGCAAGGACAAAAAGATAAGGGGACAGGGGGTCTCCCTGTCTTATCCCTTTAGTACTTTTGAAATAACCTCCATTGCTACCATTGATAGAAACTGTGAATGTTGGTGTCGAAATACACTGATAAACCCAGTTTATGAATCTCTCCGGAATGGCGAGTGCACGTAAAGCAGCAATAATAAAATCCCAACGGATAGAATCAAAAGCCTTTCTCAAATCAACCTTAAGCATTCCCCTTGGTGAAATATTCCTCCAATTGTACCCGTGAACCATCTCAGTGGCCAGCAATACATTCTCAGTGAGCAGCCGACCAGGAAGAAAAGCTGACTGAGAAGAAGAGATAACATTGGAGAGAAACAATTGCAGTCTGTTTGTAAGGAGCCTGGAAATAACCTTATACATCGTGTTCAAGCATGAAATGGGTCTAAAATCTGAAGTGGTGGATGCATTTGCAGTCTTTGGGATGAGTACTAAGGTGGTTGCATTCCATTGCTTTAATAAGCGCCCAGAAATAAAGAATTCCCTGACAGCCGCCGTAACCTCAGCACCAATCACACTCCATGACTCCACAAAAAACTCCGCAGGAAACCCATCTGGACCACTCGCTTTGTTTCTTGGAAGCGAAAAAAACACAGTTTTGATTTCTTCATCAGTGAACATCTTTTCAAAAGCACCAGCTTGTGCAGGAGAACACCGATAGGAGAGCAGAAGATTCATATCCTCCTGTTCCAGCATATTAGGACCCGGATCATCACCTAGCAGGTTAGTGAAAAAGTCCACGCAGTAATCAGTGATGCCTTGCTGGTTTTCAATTTGCAGTCCATTCTCATCATACAAGGTAGTAATGGTATTGATGGACTTGCGAGAATCGGCCATTCTATGGAAGTAGTTCGTGTTGCTATCACCTTCCGCAAACCAAGTAACTCTGGACTTCTGTAAAAAGAAACTCTCTTCAGCTGATGAAAGAATCTGCCACTTACGCTGAGCTTCTAACTCCTGAGAAGCATTAAACAAAGATGGGTCAGCAAGCGTGAGGCCTTGACTACTTAAGAGTATATCATGAGCCTCTTTAGTACGCTTTTCCAGATCTGAATAATTTAGCCTGCTGAAATCTTTGATAGGCTTTTTTAGAGCCTTAAGCTTTCTTGAGACACGGTACATATTAGAACCCACCACATTCACAGTGTACCAATTCTCTCTAATCAGGTTTAAGAACTCAGAATTCTTGAGTAGATAGTTAAAGAACTTAAAAGGCCTCTTCACAATAGGCGCAGCTCCATCAATAACCACTCCACATGAGACATGATCTGAGAAGTCGGGATCTCCAAATAAGCCAAACGAAGAAGGAAAATGGGTACACCAGCTTTCGTTTACCAGAATGCGATCAATCTTCTTTGCCACGGGTCTAGTTTTACTCTTATTCCACCATGTGAACGTGTTACCTTTGAAAACCAGGTCAGCTAGTTCTGCATCAAGAAGACAACATCTAAAATCTCTTATTCTTCTATCAACATTCAGGGAAATATTTCCAGAGTGCTCCTGAGGGTGAAGAACTTGGTTGAAGTCACCCAACATAATCCACGGCCTATTCATAGAGCTCAGAGAAGCGCCCAAGTCAACAATTTCTTTCCACAACTCCCTTCTTTTATCCTCCTCATTAGCAGCATACACCACTGAGACAACAATCCATACCTGCGAGTTTGGAAGTAAAACCTCACAAGTGATCATTTGTAGAGACTTAGCAACAATCACAACCTTGACACTTGGATCCCATAAAACCCAAATCTTTCCTAATTCTGAGAACGCGTAGTTATCCTCAAAAGACCAGCCAGGCAAAAGGTCATTTATAAATTTCTTCTCCTTTGGCTGCTTTACATGCGTCTCAATGACGCCTCCAAAAATAGGCTTGTTAGCCTTAAACCATTTCTTAAATCCGCTCCTATGACTGGAAATATTGAAGCCACGGACATTCCAACAAAAGATTTGTGTACACATAATTAATGTGAGGATTTGAGGCTCTTGCCTCTTTGAATCTTCTGTTGCCTTTTAGACAACACTCTGATAAATTTCTCCTCGTCAGAATTAGATGACAAAACATCTGACGAGTCCTCAGCAACCTCAATATCTGATTCATAAGGCAAATCAGTACCTGCAGCACTTGTTGTTTCAGATAAGGTACTAACAAGGACAGAATGGCTGGATTCGCCAGGGAGTATCTGCTTGCACACACCAACAGGGGTAACCAAAGCCTTAGAAAGCACAGAACCACCAGCACTTCCATTTGCATTTGAGATCAGGTTCACATCATTCCCAGTAGAAACTTTTATCTGCCATTCATGTCCTGCTATTCCTTTCACCTTAACAATCTCTTTTCCTTCACGATGTTGAGCAGGAGTCAATGATCGTCTCCTTCTCTGATTTCTGCGCTTCTTTGCACCTTTTTCAATTAGTTTCGGGCATAGCTCTGAGCTATGCGTGGTGGATGAGCAGGAGGTACAAGTGATTGGGGCAGATTTGCAATGCCTTAGGCTATGACCTATTTCCTTACAGTGAGCACACATAGGTGGCATCCAAGGGCTTGACACCATAACCCTGCAAATCTCACCAGAATCAAATTGGACGTTTACCGCTTCCGGTAGTGGCTTCCTTGGGTCAATGACGGTGAAAACTTTAGCAACTTCGAGATTTGTCTTGTTTGCAGTAGACGGATGAAGACACTTTGGATCTCCCACCAGCCCTGCAATGCGCTCCAGCCCTTCCTCATTAAAGAATTGGAAAGGGACTTTCCTCAATTCCAACCATATAGGCGCTGAAGAGAGTTCTGGCTTGGCAGGAACAAAACCCGGATCCCACTTTGCCACAAACATCGTTTGGCCCTCAATCTGCCACAAACGTTGATTCAAAACCCTGCTTCTAGTGTAAGAATTTGGAATCCTGAAAAGGAAAGCATTTCCTTCCATCCTAGAAACCGAGATATCTCTGTATTGTCTGCTCCAAATGCCGTTGACGATGTTGTGCACCGTACCTTGAGAAGGCGGATCGGAGTAAAATTGCCCTAAGATAAAGAGATCCCAAGATTTTTTGTTTCTCTCTATCACAGCATTTGGGATTTTGACGCACAGCTCTCCAGAAGGCAAAGAAAAACCGGTTCCCTTCTTTGAAAGCTTCCTTGAAGAACCCTTAACCATATCCACCCATGAATCGGAGCCAACACTCTGAGCTAAATTAGCAATCGTTGGAGAAGACTTGACCTTGACTGGAGAAGACGGAGTCTTAACCAAGGGAACCGAATCAACCACCGCAGCAAGAACAACTGGGCTAGCGATGGGAATAGTTTCCGACGCGGTTGGAGAGGTAGTGACCAAGTCTGTCGCAAGGACAGTCGATTGGACACAAGAACCAGCTAACAAAACAGTATTTGCAGCTGTTACAACAGAGGCCTCAACACCGGAGGCGAAGCCATCGACGGTAGAGACAACGGTAGGTACGAAAAGCTTTGGATCTGAGAGTGGCACAACTCCCGAGGACACATTTGAGACTGGATCTGCGATTGGAGACCCAGAAATCAAGTCTGAGGCTGAAGACGAAGAACCAGGCGGAGAGACACGCGCAGCCGGAGCAACAAGGCGAGAATTTCCGGCGAGAGCAGCGGAGGCTCGCGCGTAGACAACAGCAAACTTCGAAGAACCAGGAACTGCCCCACGGAGGGCTTTCTTCTTCTTCTTGGGCATGGCCAGAAATTTCCGACCACCGGCGTGAGGCCGGTGTCGGTGGTAGAGGAGAGGAGAGCGGTTGAGACAGATATCGGCTTTCTTCTTTCGTAGGTATGTCACTTAGTTTGTGTTTGAAACAATCAATATATAGTATTCACTTAAAAAGAGAGAAAACATCACCCTTAAAACAGAAAATGTGTGAATTTGGTGGAATTTTTGCCCACAAAGATATAGTGAAATCTGAGAGCATTCTAAGAAAATTCAATACAGAATCTTGTTAGAGAAATACGTTTGCTAAATAGACAACAAGTGTAATATATTTTTACATTACTCATGGAGTCATGGGATATATACATAGGAATGATGGGATAGATCATAGAGATGTTTTGGGAAGATTTTCTAAAGCAAGATTTTTTTTCTTATATTGCGTGTCATCATCACATGTTTGTCAGAAATAATGAATAAACTGGACAAAATAAATTCTTGCTTTAGAAAATATCCAAATAATATACAACATTGACAAAAAAGAAATACTAACCCTAGAATCTTAACTGAATTAGAGAACCAAATTTAAAGAAGAAAATAATTCAAACATATTTAAAATAAAATGTTTTTTTATTTTATCATAGATATAAATGTCAAATGATAGCTTGTTTTTGATATTTGATTAGTTTTAAGGCCCAAACCTAAAAAGCAATCCGGGTCGGGTAAAGGAGCAAAATCTAAACGCTGGTTGTTTCTTCTTCTTCCTCTCGCTCTTGCGGCGCCTTCTCTCTCCCAAGCTCGCAGGTAACAAAGCTTCCTCCAATTTCTCCTTTTTAGATCAATCAATTCCCTTCTCTGTTTCCCTTTCCTCACGCAAGTTTTCTCCTTTGGGTTTTGTCGATCTCAAAGCTCAGACAGAGATTCGAATGACCTAATTGTCTCCGTTCCTATCGAAGACTTTACACAGATTCTTCTGGGATTTTATCTTACACAGTCGGCATCTACTTGTTTCGTCCAATTGATTGCTGTGAATCAGAAACCCTAATTTCGTGCGGTCTCAAAAAGTTTGCACACTCTCTCAGAATCGAGCCAAGGTTTCGTCTAGAAATTAGGGTTTCTTAGGTTTTTATGGTGGAGGATATTGATTCGGCCGATTTGAGGGCTTTCCGTCAGTTTTAAACGGGACAAGTGAAGAAAAGGCATCAATCAATCGAGAGCAATTAAGGCGTGAAATTAGGGTTTCTGAAGTATATGTATGGCTTCGGAGCCTGTTAACGTAGGAGAAGGTATCGATGGAGCTAGAGATAAGCAAAGCATTAAAGTTTATAAGAGGAAAGGCAAAGGTCAGAGAAAACAGTCACCTTTCTTTGCCTTTGAGGCCAGTGGTGGTGCCATCGATAAACCAGAGGGGCAATTAGATAACGAGAATGATGTGAGTCCTCCTGAAACCCTAGCTAGAGATTCTGTGGATCCTATAGCTGTGGTGAAGAATTCTGTTGAAGAAGCTGCTCTTGGGACTAACTCTCAGGGAGAAAATGTGGCCACTATAGCCAAAAACTCTACTGAAGCACCTTCTGAAAACCTGCCTGTTGATGATTCAGACAAAGTCATTGACAAGCCTCTTGTCGAAGCATTTTCTCAAGCCGAACCTCAGGATGATACGAGTTTGGTGGTCGCTATGGAAAAGTCTGTCGAAGTACCCTCTCAGAGACACAAAGCTCAAGATGATGTGAATACAGTGGTTGTCGATGAGAACTCTATCAAGGAACCTCCTAAAAGCCTTGTCCAGGAAGATGATACTACTGTGATTGTTGACAAGAACCTTATTGAAGCACCTTCTCAAACTCTGTCCCTGGAAGATGGCAATACTCTTGTTGTTGACAAGAATCCCATTGAAGTGTCTTCTGAGGAAGATGTCCACGTGGTAGATGCAGATAATCTTATAAAAGAAGCTCATCCTGACAACTTTGTGGAAAGAGATGCCACTGGTGCCCAACAACCCGCAGGGCTTACTTCTGATTCTGCTCGTGCTACTGCTGCTGGAAGCATGCCAATGGAGGAGGACGCAGATGGACGTATTAGGATACATGTAGCTTCCACAACGAAGCAACAGAAAGAAGAGATCAGGAAGAAGCTTGAAGATCAGCTTAGCGTGGTCAGAGGAATGGTAAAGAAGATAGAGGATAAAGAGGGCGAGATTGGTGCATATAACGATTCTCGTGTTTTGGTTAACACTGGTATTAATAATGGAGGGGGAAGGATTCTGTCAGGGTTTGCCTCTGCTGGACTTCCTCGTGAGGTCATCAGAGCACCAAGGCCTGTAAATCAACTAAGTATATCAGTGTTGGAGAATACTCAGGGAGTCAATGAGCATGTGGAAAAGGAGAAAAGAACACCCAAGGCAAATCAGTTTTATAGAACTTCAGAGTTTTTACTTGGTGACAAGTTACCACCTGCAGAGAGTAACAAGAAATCAAAATCGAGTTCAAAGAAGCAAGGAGGGGACGTTGGGCATGGTTTTGGTGCAGGGTCTAAAGTTTTCAAGAATTGCAGTGCCCTGCTTGAAAGGCTGATGAAGCATAAGCATGGTTGGGTGTTCAATGCTCCAGTAGACGTGAAGGGTCTAGGTTTGCTTGATTATTACACCATTATCGAGCACCCTATGGATTTGGGAACTATCAAGTCTGCGTTAATGAAGAATTTGTACAAGTCACCAAGAGAATTTGCAGAGGATGTTAGACTTACTTTCCACAATGCCATGACTTACAACCCAGAAGGACAAGATGTCCATCTCATGGCGGTAACACTATTACAGATCTTTGAGGAAAGATGGGCTGTAATAGAGGCAGATTATAATCGTGAAATGAGATTTGTCACTGGTTATGAAATGAATCTTCCAACTCATACAATGAGGTCTAGACTGGGTCCTACGATGCCGCCACCACCTATTAATGTGAGGAATACGATAGACAGAGCAGACTGGAGTAATCGCCAACCGACTACAACACCTGGAAGAACACCGACCAGTGCAACACCTTCTGGAAGGACACCTGCTCTGAAAAAGCCGAAGGCAAACGAACCAAATAAAAGAGATATGACGTATGAGGAGAAGCAGAAGCTTAGTGGCCACTTGCAGAACTTGCCTCCAGATAAACTAGATGCAATTGTACAAATTGTTAACAAGAGGAATACTGCTGTGAAGCTACGGGATGAAGAAATTGAAGTCGATATTGATAGTGTTGATCCAGAGACCCTGTGGGAGTTGGACAGATTTGTAACCAACTATAAAAAGGGCTTAAGTAAGAAAAAGAGAAAAGCTGAGCTAGCTATTCAAGCTAGAGCAGAAGCCGAGAGGAATAGCCAACAACAGATGGTATTTGTACCTCTCCTGCGAATTCCATTCCTCTTTTTTTACTTAGATTGTATGCTCATCTTTGTTGTTTTTTTCCTTAATTGCAGGCTCCAACACTAGTGGCGCATGAGTTTTCTAGGGAGGGTGGCAACACAGGTAATTTTGCCTGTTCCTTTTATGAATTAGTTGCCTCTTTTTGGTGTGAACAACTTACGAATAATAACTCTTACTGCAGCTAAAAAGACACTTCCTACACCACTACCTTCTCAAGTGGAGAAGCAAAACAATGAGACAAGCAGATCAAGTAGTTCAAGCAGCTCTTCCAGTGGTTCCAGCTCTTCTAGTGGTACATGCTTCTCCCCGAGTTATCTAACATGTTCTCTGATATATTGCTTTTGTGATTTTTGTTTTCTAAATCCCTCTGTGTTGGGTGTGCAGATTCGGACAGCGATAGCTCTTCGTCATCTGGATCAGATCAGACCTAGAGACTAGTGTGTACAAGAGGGACAAATATGTAAGGTCATCTCTATCATCCACTGTTGAACTAAATAGCATATGTAGAATCATTTTCAACAGCATCTTCATTGCCTCTATTTCGGCATGGTTCTAATACTTTGTATGTATGTATGTGATTTTCTTGTTCACATCTGGTCCAATTCCAGATAGTTTGCTCTATTTGCTGATAGTTCTTGCTTCCTTAAACCAAAAGGTATCTGATTATATATGTAATCAATGTCTGATGGTTTATGGTGGAAACACAGGGCGTTAAAAAAGATGAAGGGTAGAGTAGAAGAGGATTTGGGAGGTGAAAGAAGGAAGGATGATGACGTACAGGCTTGAGGCAAGAGAAGTATTAGAGGAGTGGGAATGGAAGGAAAAGATTGTGTATCATATTAAAATCACTGTTAGAGTAAAAAAGGAAAAAATCTATTATTCTTAATTTTTTGTGTTTTTTGTTTTGACATAGTAGGAATCTGTGTCTGTCTACTTTTAGATGTAACCGTAGGGGTTGGGTTTGGTGTCTCACTTTGTATATCTCTCTTTGCCTCTATTTCTCTGGTCTGTAGCGGTTTAGTTGGGTTGACTGTTTCATGATTTAGTGTTAGTTAGGGTGCTTTTGAATCAAAGATTCTGGATTCTTGAAAACTTGTACTAGTGTATGCTTTTGTGAGTTTGTGATCCTTTTTTAGCTTTGTTTTCTTCTTATTGCTTCATTGCTCCCTTAAACTCATTCTTCTTTCACTCTGATTCTCGATTCGATCTAGCATTGGATTGCTGGTGAAAATCACACCAAGAAAGCAAAATCAAACGAAGCTATATCATAACAGTTATTTTGATTACGATTTAACCATGCAAGTTCTTTGGGGGATTAAATCTATATATAATCAAAATACAATGGGGTTTAAGTAACACTTGAAATTGTGTAAGGTTTGTTTTAGTAAAAATGTAAAGTTTGGTTTTTGATTTTGCAATTTTGGCAAAGATTGAAGCAATGTGTGTAGAGAAGCAGTGAAGCCATTCACTTGGGGAGGTAGAGAAGAAGAATGTTGTTGTTTCATCATCTGCGTGCGTTTCCAACGACTTCTCTGTCTCCTCGTTCTCTCACCATTTCCACTGCTCTCTCTTCTTCCTCTTCTTCAACGAAGCAACAACACAAGCTTTGGTCTGGTCTCGACAACTGGAGAAAGAGTCCTGTCAATGACCTCCGTCTCTGGGGTCCTACTGGTCCTCTCCTTCCTTCTTCTGACTCCTCCATCTCCCCCGGCTTCTACGGGCTCGTCTCAGCGGCGTCTTCTCTCGCTGATCTCGGAGCTCTCGTGCTCTCAACCTCCGATCCTCTCTCCAAATCTCATATCTCCCATTTAGCTTTCTCTCGTTGGCGCCGTGAGAATCTCCCTGTTGGCTCAATATCTCATCTTCCCTCTTCTCCAGCTCGTCCTCCCAAACCTCTCCTCGTACGTGTTCCTCCTTCCTTTTTTCTCTCAATCTAATTTGATCAAATTAGCTAAATTTGTTTGTATTGCAGGTTGCGACCAACGAAGTTCCAAATCCGAAAGACTCAAACCTTCCTCTCAATGCTCATATGCTTCATAATCTAGCTCATGTCGAGCTTAATGCTATTGATTTGGCTTGGGACACTGTTGCTCGTTTCTCCCCTTTCTTCCACGTTTTGGGTCGCAACTTCTTTGATGACTTTGCTCATGTTGCTGATGATGAGAGTCGCCATTTCTTGTGGTGTTCCCAGAGACTCGCTGAGCTTGGTTTCAAGTTAGTTAGATTTTAAAGTTTCAAACTTTTTTGATTAGCATTTGTTTCAGGACAACCATTAAACTCTTACTCTCTTCTTCTTCTTCAAGGTATGGAGATATACCGGCTAATAATTTGCTCATGAGGGAATGCGAGAAAACATCCAACAATGTCGCTGCTCGCTTGGCTGTTATCCCTCTTGTTCAGGTACTTCTCCTCCACTTATCTGATATGGATGATACCACAAATGTACATTACTGGAGACACCAATTTGTATTAGCCGGGTAATAGCATAATTCATACCAAATTAGTTATACAGGAGGCTAGAGGACTTGATGCTGGACCTAGGTTGGTCAAACGGCTGACGGGATTCGGAGATAATAGGACTTCTAAAATCGTGGCTAAGATCGCTGAGGAGGAAGTTGCACATGTAGCTGTTGGTGTAGACTGGTTTCTCTCTGTGTGTCAAAAGATGAACCGTGCTCCTTCCCCTACATTTAAAGGCATACACAAATCTTCTTTTCCATGCTTCTCTATCTCATCTTTCCCAGCTCGTTTTATACAAACATCATAAATATGTTTTCAACCGTATGTGCTGTTGCAGATCTGATCAAAGAGTATGGTGTCGAGTTAAGGGGCCCTTTTAACCACTCAGCTCGGGAGGTAGCTGGCATTCCGCGAGATTGGTAAGGAAAATCATCCCACCAAGTTACACTCTTTCAAAAACTGGTCATCTAAAGCGTTTCTCTATATCTACATTTCAATTTAGCGTAACAGATTAAATGAGCTGATTCCAAATATCTTTAGGTATGATCCATCATGTGGCACGGAAGTGGATAAAGGCGATAATAAACAGGGTGACAAGGAACAACTTTCTGCGGTATGTTTCTTCTTTGTTCGTTTTTCATAGCTATGCTTCTCGAGGAGGCAAATTCTTTCCGAAGATTTGTTCTTTGAGTAAGTTTTACTGTGTGATTTTTGTTGCATCTCAACAGGTTTACGATAGGCTCACTCAGATTATCTCAATGGAGAGTGAGAATTCAAGTCTCGAAAGGCCAGCCAAATGAAATGATGTGGACGGAGTTGATTTGATGGCGTTATAACTGATGAATGAGTGTCAGGCGTAATTTCTTGGGCTCTGGAAGTACAAATTAATGTTTTTTCATACAAAGTAGTTCAATCTAACGTTAGCTTATACTATTTTTTTCTCTTAGTGAGGCTTCTGTTTATGGTAATTTTATGTTTTTGCTCCTTGTGCATGACTATAATAGTGGAGATTCACATTGGAGTTGATCCAGGCAACCAATTTATGTTATGGAATTGCTCGCATCCAAGATTCCTTATTGTTATGTTCAATGGATTTCAATTTGTTCTTCGTCCAAGTACCCAAATAGTGAACTTGTCACTTTCTATTTGCTTGTCTTGTTGATCTTGGATTGCATTTGTATAGACTGACTGAGATACGGCCCCCAGATTCTTTGTTCTTCTAAATGAATTTTTTGTGTACAAACATATTGTGCAGAATCTTATATAAGTTTTTGTTACTAAACTGTATTAAGCTCTTGTAGTTGGTTACTAGTTGAGGAGTCGTCACCATCATCAGCAGCAACATCTTCATCATGATCTCTCCTGTGGACATCCAGCTTCCATGTCCCATCATCCATTTGAAGCATCCCTTTGTTTGCCAGACACCTCCAGGTACTTGGCACTAAGTACTCGTCCTTTAGAGCATCCAGTCCTTTATTGACCAAAGAAATATCCCGGCCAGTCTCCAGCTTGAATACCCCGGCTGTATCTTTCATCCCTGCTATGCCGTGCAGGTATATCTCCAGGTTATGGTAGTTCCTGAAGTTCAGAGACCGTTTCAGGTATGTTGAGTTCAAAGTATTGATCTCTAACACCTCGCCAATTTCTGCATACAGTAAGAGTGGATAATGTGGTGCGACATCTGGAACATTTACTATTCTTAGGATGTTTAGTGGTTGGAGTGATTCGACGATGTTTTTGAAGTTATGGTCTCCAATCCGAGGACTCCCGAAAGCAAAAACTGTGATAGGAACTTGCTTTTTTTGAAGACTTATATTGACCTTGTTCTTTTTGCCATAGACAAGATCTGCAGCTGATAGAACTGACATAACTGCGCCCAAGCTATGGCCTGTGAAAGTGATGCTTATTTCCTCATTCTTGTAAAGTTCTAGCAACCTCTTCAGCTCTCCTTGTACCTAAAACCAAAACCAAGACACGATGCCATTAGGAGAAAGAAGGAGAAATGGAAGTAGTATTGTTGACGTTGTAATGGGTGGCCTCGCCAGGTTTTGAGCTCAACCCATCTCGGCCTTGATAAGTTGAACCTTTCACTGATTTTATCCCGCGGGCATGACTGCATTGAACCTGGAAAAGGCACCCCAAAAAACGAGACAGCGGGTTTTTTCATGGCCTGCAGCGGGCTTAGGTTTGGAACAGTCCTGGTCTGGTCCTGATGTTCCGAAATTAGTAGAACGGTCCAAACTGGACCAACCTTGGGCCACCATAACATCTCTGCACAGAAGTGAATGCGATGATAAAAGAGAAAGGTGAGGACCTGTTCTTGTGCACTAGTCGTGTCATAAGGTGAGCGAGAATCAGAAGCGGTATAGATGTCGAGCCAGCCACTTCCAATACGAGGGTTATCTTTGGGGTCAGTTACTGGGAAAACCGAGATAGCTGACTCAAGCGGAAAATCAAAATCATTAGCCCATTCATATGGCTGAAGAGTTCCTCTCCATGCAACAACAATGTCTCTCCTTCCTAACATCGCTTTACCCTGGTCTGTAGCAACTGCAATGTAACCCATCCAGTTAGTCTGCACGCGAGAGGCATCCTTTGACAAAGACTTGACGATGAAACAGATTGGTAACTTTATGGAAGCTGTTGCGTAGATGTACTTAGTCACATTGTACCTGAAAATCTATCATCCGTAAGCTTACATCGTCGAATCAAAGATGAAACATTGTGGGCGTATGGCAAGTACCTGAAAGGGTTGGCTTTAAGGAAGCCGGTTCGAGCAAACAGTTGGTTCTTGGAGTAATAACAATCACCGGCGTATCTGGACTTACGGTCCCAGTTAAAGGCATCATAACCAACCTGAGACATCTCGCCGTAGTGAATGATGTAGCGGCGAAGATCCGGGTCAAGTGGATCAAGCAGGCCTTGCCATTTGTTTTGGCCACTTAGCACCTTCCATCGCTTTGGTATGCCCTCCACCATGTTTGCCTTAGATTTTTTTCACAAACCTTTTTCTTCTTGTTCTTGATGTTTGGAGAGTAACATTGCTCCTTGTGTGAAAGAATTGGATAATGCGTGAAGGAATTGGTCCTTAATGCATGTCCCTTCACATAAATAGTGCTGATTTAAGTTTTTGTTAAGTGTACGCATATTACAATTTGTAGGATTCACATCACTTTTTCAACGGCTAATCAATGCTTAAAACATGTATTGTTTGTTACATCGAAATTAAATAAATTAAAGACCATTTCCTCTATAGCCTGTCTAATTTTATTCGGTTAAACCAAACCGGAAACATCTATCCAGAACCGAAGCAGGGGCTTATACTCAGCGACCAGCGTCGTTCAGGTGCACTTGACCGGTGAGTTTCATTGTATTCATGTTCTCTGCTCTGCCTCAATCTTGAAGATTCCATTATCTCCCATCAATGGTTTGGAACCTGAAACTAAATTTCTCAAAAAGAGTTGTCACCATCAAGTAAGACTGGTTTGCTTGCCAGAGCATGTTGTCTAATACCTGGATCTTTCCTTCAAACAGAATCAACCACCCCTTATGACCATTGTCTTCATTTTCCGACATTCCTCTATGTAGATGAAGCTGTCTGGTGCTGCTTGAGAATCATCTGACCTTTGAGTTTCAATCAGACAATGATGCAGGAGTTTTTGTACATGGGGACTTGTGACATCGGAAAGCTCTTCTTCTCAATAGATTTCTTTGCGACTCAAGTTTTTCAGTTATCGGTAATGGAGTGATGAGACCACCTCATCTATGGCCTCTTTCCATATTCATGAGACCACCGCATGACAGAGCAAGCATCATTCTTGGTTCACTTTTCTTGCTGAACAATATCTATGGCTTCTTTTCCATATTCCTGATTTCTCTTTTCTTTGTGAAGCATCGAATCAAAGCATATTCATGTAACATTTGAAGGGGAGGCACTGGTTTTCCATAACCGAAAGAGGCTTCAGCAAGCAAGTCTTGAACCGCATCTGAGCAAAGTTTCTGCCTGTCATGAACTTAGATTCTAAACATAGTTTGCAGTATCATAAACCAAGAGTTAGACAAACTAGAAACATCATAGTAAGAATTACAAGTGCTACAATAAGTATTAAGTACCTGGAAGTCTCAAATTTCTGCGTCACATGTTTTCCATAGCTCAAGAAACTGAATCTTCTTGGGTCAAATTTTTTTTACTTTATTTAGAGAAATGACAAAGAAAGAAGGACACAAGAATTGTCAACACCAAATTTTACAATGGAAGGATCAACAATCTTCAGAGAAACCCAATCAGCACCAGTTTTACAACGAGTACGTTTAGTTGTCAAGACAAAAAAAAAAAAATATGACTTCTGGAGCTACAGGCATAACAACATATATCAGTTGACTAAATAAACTAAATTCTACGATTTACTCATAAACTTACGTTTCTGCATATTGTTAAGGATGAGACAGAGAGAAACTTGTCCCACTGGAACTGCAACAAAACACAAAACCTGTGACCAGGAAAGCAGCACAGCACTGAAGCTTATATACGAGAAACCAAACTCATTTCCCAAACTCCAACTTAAAACAAACAAAAATGCTGAATGTACTTAGAAATCCTAACCTGACCCTTGTCGTTTTGATTTGCTTTGTCTTGATAGCTTCAAAGCTATGTTCCGTCAATTCCTCTGTGTATGACCCACACAAAACCCTGAAGCAGCGGTTCGAGAAGTGGCTTAAAACCCACAGCAAACTATATGGAGGAAGGGATGAGTGGATGCTACGGTTTGGGATATACCAGTCTAACGTCCAGTTGATTGACTACATCAACTCCCTCCACTTGCCCTTTAAGCTAACGGATAACAGATTTGCAGATATGACCAATTCTGAGTTTAAGGCCCATTTTCTCGGGTTGAACACGTCTTCCTTGAGGTTACACAAGAAGCAGAGACCAGTTTGTGACCCAGCAGGCAATGTCCCGGACGCTGTGGACTGGAGGACTCAAGGTGCTGTGACTCCTATCAGAAATCAAGGAAAATGCGGTATGAAATTATGTTCTTTCATAATTCATTCTAAACATAAGACTTTGCAAACATTCATAATTCAACTGATGACAATCTGATTATGTTTTGTTTTTCTTGTTGCAGGAGGTTGCTGGGCATTCTCTGCAGTAGCAGCTATTGAAGGCATCAACAAGATTAAAACAGGGAATTTAGTGTCTCTCTCAGAACAACAACTCATAGATTGTGATGTCGGCACTTACAACAAAGGCTGTAGTGGCGGATTAATGGAAACAGCATTTGAATTCATCAAAAGCAATGGTGGACTCACCACCGAGACCGACTACCCATACACAGGCATAGAGGGTACCTGCGATCAAGAAAAAGCCAAAAATAAGGTAGTTACGATACAAGGATACCAAAAGGTAGCTCAGAACGAGGCGAGCCTACAAACCGCTGCAGCTCAACAGCCAGTATCAGTTGGAATCGATGCTGGTGGGTTTATCTTTCAGCTCTACTCTTCTGGTGTTTTCACAAGTTACTGTGGAACAAATCTCAACCATGGAGTGACTGTTGTTGGATATGGAGTAGAAGGCGATCAAAAGTACTGGATCGTAAAGAATTCATGGGGAACTGGCTGGGGTGAAGACGGCTACATACGGATGGAGCGTGGTATAAGTGAAGAGACGGGTAAATGTGGTATTGCTATGCTGGCAAGCTATCCCTTGCAGTGAGTCCATGAATCTCCAGAAGCTTTAGAACCTAACAGAACCTTAATATGACAATGCTCTCTGTATGACTATCTGCAATAACGCAGCTAAAATAATTACGATTGTAAAATAAAGTACTAGAGATAATTGAGAGGCAGGTTATCGTTAACAGGATTCTAAAGCTAAGATGCGATTATAAGAGAAACATGTGTTTACTATAATACCTGCCTAAGCACACGAGGCTCGCTTGAACGATTGGTACTTTCTCCTAGAAGTATCCTGTTTGATAACGCATCTTATAACAGTAGATTTGGCATTGAGTCTAGCGATATTAAACAAACACAAGGGTCTCATGGAAAAGATAATCCTCACAAGTCACAACCTAGGATATAAGCTAATTATGACGATGGGAACAAGTGACAAGAAATAACATCCACATAAGTCCACAAAAAAAATTCATCATCAGCTTCCAATGGTTTCACTATACCATCACATTCTGGCCTCACTATTATTACATGCTTACCCGACACTACAAATGCACCACAACAGCTTGCAGAGCAGATGGAGTGCAGAATATATACAAGATATGGGCACAAACGGAACACTGCTATAAAAAGATATATGTTTAACCAGAAAAGCAACAAAAATATTCCCAAGTTCGGGTTGTGAGTTTCATTCCAGGATCGTAACTGCAGCTATTCTTACATAACATGTCGTTTACTGGTTTGTTTTATTGTCGAAATGTTGTTAACATTCAAATACAAATTCGTAGAAAGCATGTTATTGACATATAATATAAAATGTATATATCAAACTATAAGCTATGGTTAAAAATTGGTTGTGGTTGTGACTTAACTTTATAAACTAAAATATGGTTGGTAAAGCATGTTTGCTTAAATCTCATGTGATACATGCATTGGATATATTTCTGAAATCTATGGAAATGTTTGATATATATTTTCTTGTAAGATTTATTATATAAGAGTTTGCCGCTAGAAGTAGAACAACACCATGGGCCATGTACTCTTCTTCTTCTTCTTCTTCAGTAACTACGTTTCTTGCGCTTATTCTACGATGTTTTAGTTTTCATTAAGAAAACCCCAAAACGATAAAAATTAGAGATCTCAACGTTGTCAGATGTTAAAACTTTACCTTTGGTTGCTTCCTCAACATGGTAGTAGAATTCTTCGGATGAGAATCAAGGGGAGACTCAACTCCCGCTTCAACAGCCTCCTCCTGGTCTTCCTCATCATGAGACTCACTTGGTGCTGAATGCTGTTGCTTCTCAGGGAACCAGTTGAACACCTGCTTGAAACCAAATGAACAAAAATTTAGGCCAAAAAAAACTACAAGTGAGAAAGGGATACTTGTAATAAGAGGGTGTTGATTTAGAAAGTTATGTATTGATACAACAAGTCAGGCCGGTTTGGGCTAGGATGCTTAATTACCTTAAGTTCATGTTTTCGACTAGAGAGATGGCTTTTGAATTCATCATAGCCTTGGCCATCAACATCTTCGCATACTGAGCAAACCCAGGGGACAGATTCACTCTTTCCACTGCACTTATCCTCCCCAAGTGCCTCTGTATCTGTGGAGAAATAAGAAGAAAAAAAGGTATATAGTTCAGTAGCAACAGATTTGCTGGTTATTTCAATAAAACACTGTGAGAGAGGAGGACAAACACAACACACACCTGCCAGAAGTAAACACACACCTGCGAGGAGAAAGTTACTCCAGAGGATTTCTGCATTAGTAGAGGGGAAGGCAAGAGGATCATATCCAAACGGCCGAAGAATGTTGTATCCCTCCAAGGATAGCTCACCGACAGTTCTATCGAAGGCTGTGGATATGACCATTAAATTGGCTGGAGGTGGATTGCTATCGGTCCAGTTATATATAACTGTCACAATGCTCTTGTAATCTGTTTCAGAAACTAAAGAATTAAGTCTCTCTCTATTCATCAGGGAAAATATCCATTACCGCATAAGGTTAAGAAGATACTCTAACCGTAGGGGACGTGATCAAGAGTGACTCCAGTGGAAGTGATGGCTCGCAGAAAGTCATCAGAGACGTCTGTTAGAATGCCAACGGCAGTGATGGTGAGAGGACCAGTGTAGCCTAAATTCTCCAATAACCGTCTGATACACGGACCGACCCGACGAGCATCAAAGCCAGTGGGAACCGGACACCTCTTGATGTCCCAAATGACCCCAGTAACAGCCTCATACTTGGCATCATCCTTGTTGTTCATCATTCAAGACTTTAAACCTAACGAAGAAAATCAAATTGTCAAAATTGGGAAAGCCAATCTAGAACGGAAATCAAACATCATAACTCGTACGAGATAGATTGACACGGTTAAATCACCTTCCTCGCTTATCGTCCAATCAGCGGAAACGAAGGGGGGAGAGAGAGAGGAGGAACACGGCCCATTAGTTGTATTGTGGCTATGAATCCGTGATACTATTTACGTTGCATTAGTATTTACGTTGCATTTATAAAAACTTCAAAAAAGAATAAAACTATGATGACATATATATATATCACCAATCAGAACGATAGAAATATCATAATCATAAATTTTTATTATGTACCAACCTTAGTTATCAAGCAGGCCTTGCCATTTGTTTTGGCCACTTAGCACCTTCCATCTCTTTGGTATGCCCTCCACCATGTTAGCCTTAGGGTTTTTTCACAAATGTTTTTCTTCTTGTTTTTGATGTTTGGAGAGTAACATTGCTCCTTGTGTGAAAGAATAGGAGAACGCGTGAAGGAAACGGTCCTTAATGCATGGCTCTTCACATAATTGCAGATCCGTTTGGCCATTTTTTTTCACTATACCATCACATTCTGGCCACACTATATTACATGCTTACTCGACACTACAAATACACCACAACAGCTTGCAGATGGAGTGCACAATATATATACAAGATATGGGGACAAAGGGATCACTTCACTGCTATATAAAGATATATGTTTAACCAGAAAGAAGCAACAAAAATATTCCCAAGTTCGGGTTGTGAGTTTCATTCCAGGATCGTAACTGCAGCTATTCTTACAAAATCTTAACACTTATCTGAGAAATACCTAAGACCTCAGTTCCGAAAGCCTTTGTCTAACAGTACAAGCAAGCTTCCATTCACCGATGCTAATCAGACGCTCGACCACTTTTTGCCTAACCTTGATATATGGTATGAACCCTCTATCAGTCATTCTCATCACATCTTCCCTGCCAAAATGTATTCCCTAACCTCCAGGCAACCCTCGACTACCACCTCATAACTCTCAAACTCCACAGGGTAATCCCGACTTTCTACAAACTCGATCATCTCAATGGCTTTCCAAATTTCCCTGTTGGCTCTCAGAGCTGCTGCTACTTTTGTCAGCATCCCTTTCCGTGGAGAAATTCCAGCTTTGCTCACCATCTCTTTGACAATCTTCACCACATCATTAGTCTTTCTAGCCAAACACAATGAATTAATCACCGCCCCATAACTTTCCACATCAGGAATACAGCCAGCTGCACTCATTTCCTCCACAACTTTAATCGCCTCATCCAACTTATCAACAGCACACAGAGAGGACACTAAATAATTGCAGGTTCCAGTATCAGGACTGTATCCAATCAATTTCATCTCGTTAATAATGTCTGCAACAGACTGGGATCCTCGTCGTCGTTCAAGCCAAGCATCAGAGAGAAGGAGATGAGTCTGAGGGTTAGGAAGACAGCCAGAACGAAGAGTGCGTTGGAGGATTGCGAAAGACAAAGGAAGAGGATCAGAACTCTGAAGGCAATAAGTAAGAAGGCTGGAGTAGACAATCTTGGGCAGTGAACGAGGTCGCACGGGAACAAAACTTTGGAGGATTTCGTCAATGACTCGGATTCTATGCTGATGTTGGAAAGCAGAGAGAAAAGAGAATAACATTGAGTTTTGGTAGGGCTCTTTCAGTGACACAACAAGTTCAGGGATTCTAAGATACTCCTTTGTCTCAACAGCACATTTAATCGCCTTTTCAACCGCTTCAAAGGAAGAGATTGACCGAAAAAACGGAATGCAGACATCAAAGGACCGAGAATAAGCCAGAGATTTTCGCAGATGTGTCAAGCGAAGTGCCATTTCCTATTCCCAGAGACCTGATCGACTATAAATTCATTAACTTGGCATCTGAAAAAAAAGCCTCTTCTCCTATCGTAAACCTGGAAAGTAAAACCTAGAATCATTCGACTAATCAATACAATGTTCTCAACTAATGTCAATGATGGTGATTGAAAGACTAATGTTCAATTAACTCAATAAAAGGATCTTCTTTTTTGCCCAAAAAAAAAAGAGGATCTTTTTAAGTAGCAAAGATATATCTTTTGAAAATCGAGAGTTGGGAAAATCATATAAAGTTATACCTGAATGCGTTTAAGACAAATTCAAGCTAAACCCATCCGGTAACTGGAGAGGGAGCTGGGAAGAACGAGATTTTGCTTCACAGAGGAATATCATCGAACGACTGGACGGCAAGATGTGGAGAATTCAAATGAATAGGCAATGACCTGAGGTTTGGAAAATCGGATCAAACCGAGTATTCCGAAACACCCATGAGCTTCGATCGAATACGTTCTTCACAGATTTGATATGTAGCAGACTCGTGTGATTTGAAGAAAGAAGGAATCTTCAGACCTTAGAGTAAGAGTTGCGTTTTGATTCAAACGAAATTACCAGCCTCTGTTGTGTTTCGACGTTTCACGTGTTTTTCAACCTAACCGGATAAATCCAAAAGGTTTACGTTTAACCGGAAATTGGTCGGTTCAGCCACTTTTATTTCAGATTTTTGGACCTACAAATCCCTACAAAGTTCTGGTTTTTCAGGAGACATGAAAAATGTCAAATTTCATAGGCACCAATTATTCATTATAGAACTATCTAACACCATTAAACGTCCATTACATAATGCATTCTCTAAAACATTACGAAAATATAAAACTAGCTCTGTATAGTTCAAAGGAAAAAAAACCATTAACGTAATCTTATAATTTCTTTGCCAATTCCAAATAATAGTGTATTATGAGATTTTACTTTCGCAAGATATGGCCGTACAATATGACTGAATTACCGTACGTACAAGTCATATTAAACATCATAGTTACTTAGAGTGGGACATAGTGTTGTTTGAAACCATTAATCACTGCATAACATTGTTGCCTTTGATCTTGCTTCAAATTTTCCCAGCCACCTTGCAAATTCCTTGGTGTATATCCTGCGTTGACAATCTCCCGATTCACACCAACACCGTTGTTGTTAACACTTAACCCTCCCGATCCACTCGAATTCATCGCTAACCCGTTCTTGTTGTTACTATTATTGCTGAACACTCGTTGATTATTATCCCAACCAATGAGAGGTTGGTTATGAACCAAGCTTTTGTATAACTTGAGCTCTTCACAAATCCTCCTATACTCTCCATAGGAGCCAAGGACCGGATCTTTCTGTCTCCAGAGAGCTTCCCATGTCAAAGAATCAGAGAGTTTGGTACGGTCCTCTTCACGTACGGTCCGTACCATTTTTTGTACGTTACTGACACCGAAGACCTTGTGCACGGCCTGAAACTCTTTGGTCTTGCGGGCTGGGAAATACGGCGATAGAATACATTCATTGTTGCATTTCTTCCTTTGATGTTTGCATGAAGCACAAGCTTGATGCGACGATGAGTTACTGGAGATGCTTGTGGTGGTGGTGGGGTTGTTAGAGTTCCTTTGCATCATGTCATGTCCCTAGTAACAAAAACTTCGAATTATAATACAAATATAAATGTTAGTGATCGATCCGGTTCTTATATTAGCTCAAAAAGTCAAAAAGTGATCGATAGATCTTAGTTAGGGTTGATAAGTTTTTATAAACCTATTAACTAATCTCATGATGTAGATTTTTTTTTCTTTCCAACAATTTGATGTAGATTCTAATGTAATTTTTTGGAAATTAGTATTCACATGGTATAGAAGAAGTTTACACTTTTATTTTGTTTTAAAAAGTTTACACTATAAATTTAGATAAATGTTCGATTGGTAACCTTTTTCTAAATATTGATGGTAAAGCCGATTTTTGGATTTAGCCGGAAAGCTAACATGTCCAGTACTTTAAGATCTAGCCTTCATTCTACAATTTTTTAAAAAATATACATTATCATGTAATAGATATGCGGTTTTGAAATCAAGTGTGATACAACGATATTAATTAACACAAAATACTAAACTACAATCTTTTCTTCTACAATTGTTTACTTGAATAAAGTATTATTATCATAATTTATGTTTTTTTAAAAAAAAACGAAATCGTTTGTATAATAATCTAGTTTCTAAATTTTAAATAATTAGTGGGTCAATGACTTATAATATATGAAGCTAATTCGAAAAAAGAACATTTTCATATCGGATCAAAAAATATAAAAAAACATGGCAGATTAATTTATCGAAAGCTAATATTATAATCATAAAAATGTGTTTCTACATGTACATGAATATGCAATATGGTCTTCAACCAGTCAGTCCTGATATATTAAGAGAGACCAATATATATAACGTACTAAAAATTTGGGAAGTATGACAAAAATTTCATATTAGTGCTATATATAAATTTATGGGAATCACAACTATGTATGAATACATGCATGGATCTGGTAGACTAATTGAAACATTATAAAATCTCCACAAAGGAAACAAGAGGAAACATATATCTCAGAGAAGAATAAAAGTTTGAACATAATGTCGAGAAGGGTCATACAAACCTCTTGCCTCTTTTATTTTCCTTCATTTGTGGGTTAATGCAATTGGAGTTATGGATTTATATTAATAATTGAGGATAGATATTGGTTGATGAGTATTATATATTATTTGTTATATTTGGGAAAAAGAAAGAAGAATAATGGTGCACAAAGAGTTTGTCTAATGAACATGAAAAGATTGTTTGGTTAATGAAAGAAAAAGGTGTTTGGATGAAGGTTCGATTATGAGTTTTTTAGGTTGCTCATGTCAAAGGACAATAACAACTAGGAAATCAATAAACAAAACGAAATTTTGCTTTTTATTGGATTTTTTTTTTTATAATGGGAAAATATGATTTCACTCAGTAAGTTATTATCTCAGATTGTCTTATGCAAGAGTCATGATACTATTTACGTTATTTTATAAAGATTTTTTTAAGAAAATTAAACTATGATGACATATACTCCCAATAAGACCGATAGAAATATCAAAATCAGAAAATTTTAATTGTGTACCAAACTTAATTATGCAATCGATGTGTCGGAACTTTTATAGAAATTGATGTGTGGACACAACGATTGATTCAAGGGCAACGATTGATTCTTGGTTCTTTGGTAGTTGACCGGTGGATTAGATTGCCGATCCATGAATGGTAGTTGACCGGTGGATTAGATTGCCGATCCATGAATAAACGAAATCTACGGCTGAGATTGAACGGCGATAACGATAACGACCTTATCCCAATTAATATCCCTTTGTACTTCCCAAGGAGAAGGGTCATGGTCTCGATACCAAGTTGTTTTTTTTGATTAAAGGGTATTTATGTAATCTCACAACCGTTACCAATTTTATAAAAAAATAGGAAACTATCGTTGAAACTTTTTCATCTTCCTTATAACAACCACAACGTCACTTTCTCGGAAAAAAATCTTCCCGGAAAATTGATATTGGTGAACGGAATCCCTAGAAATGTCGGATAATCGCGCACTCCGGCGAGCTCATGTTCTCGCCAACCACATACTTCAATCAACTCCTCCGTCATCGAACCTCTCCCTAACGCGCGAGGTATGTTTGCAGTACTCTCCACCGGAGCTCAACGAGAGCTATGGATTCGATGTCAAGGAGATGAGGAAATTACTCGACGGACACAACGTCGTGGATCGGGACTGGATTTATGGACTCATGATGCAGAGCAATCTGTTTAATCGCAAGGAGAGAGGAGGTAAGATTTTCGTGTCGCCGGATTACAATCAGACGATGGAGCAGCAGCGTGAGATCACTATGAAGCGGATCTGGTACTTGCTCGAGAATGGGGTTTTCAAAGGATGGTTGACCGAGACAGGTCCTGAGGCCGAGCTCAGGAAATTAGCTCTGCTTGAGGTTTGTGGGATTTATGATCACTCCGTCTCCATCAAAGTTGGTGTTCATTTCTTCCTGTGGTATGTTCGAAATTACAATTTCATTCACATATATCTCTAATTCACGTCAAGCTATGAATTTTCTCATTGTTGAGATGTGCTCTTCTCGGTATAATCCTAATCTGAGATTGAAAAGTTCATATGAAATGAGTAATTTGTGCTTTGGTCAACGAAATGTGGTTATAGAATTTTTAAGTTATTTAGCGTTCTAGGGAGACAGAGAACAGTGTTAGGCTTATAAGCTGTAAGTTTTTCTCTGTGATACTCAGGGGTAATGCTGTAAAGTTCTTTGGAACAAAGCGTCACCATGAAAAGTGGCTGAAGAACACCGAAGATTATCTTGTCAAGGGATGTTTTGCAATGACTGAGCTAGGCCATGGAAGTAATGTAGGCATATTTTAGTTGCCATTTTTTTTACATAGGCATACTCTTATGTCTTGGTGATCTTCAACACCTATATTGAGTTCTATTTATTTCTTTTGATATAGGTACGGGGAATTGAGACAGTGACTACTTATGACCCAACAACTGAAGAGTTTGTGATAAATACTCCTTGTGAATCTGCTCAGAAGTATTGGATCGGTGGGGCAGCTAATGTAAGTAGTCATTATACCTATCCTGAGTGTACCAAAATACTCGTTTCTATTTAGTTCTCCCCCTGATTTGTCATATACTAATTTTGTGATATTCTTTTGGTTGTTCAGCATGCAACACACACAATTGTGTTTTCACAGCTTCATATTAACGGAACCAACCAGGGGGTCCATGCCTTTATCGCCCAAATCAGGGATCAAGATGGCAACATATGTCCAAACATCCGCATTGCTGACTGTGGACACAAAATTGGTCTAAATGGTGTTGACAATGGCCGGATCTGGTATAACGCACAGCTCCGTTCAGTTTAATTTAACCTTATACTAAGGTGTGTACTTCAATGGAAGATTGCACTATGATTGCAGGTTTGATAATCTTCGAATTCCAAGAGAGAATTTGTTGAACGCAGTTGCTGATGTTTCGTCTGATGGGAAGTATGTTAGCTCAATTAAAGATCCTGATCAGGTAAAATGCTACACCCTGGAACCAATTTTAGGATAAACTTTACTATACTTGCCGAGTTGCAGTGGCAATGTTTTTAATTTTATTTTCAGAGATTTGGAGCATTCATGGCCCCTTTGACTTCTGGCCGAGTCACAATTGCATCAAGTGCAATTTATTCTGCAAAGGTACAGATTTCAGTAGTTTTATTTTGATCTCTTACATACGTCTTTCGTAAGATATGAACCTGACTGTTTCAGGAATCAATGTAGTTGATTAAGATTTTTACTGTGGCAGGTCGGATTAGCTATTGCTATAAGGTACTCATTATCGAGAAGAGCCTTCTCTGTTACAGCTAATGGTCCTGAAGTCCTCCTCCTAGATTACCCAAGCCATCAAAGGCGACTGTTACCACTCCTAGCAAAGACGTAAGGATCTTTACAAACATTATAGCCATCAAATTTTGAAGCGAATTCCCGAAAGAAGTGAAAAGCATGGCCTGAGAATTTGTCCCAACTTTTTAGAGATGAGTTGTTTTCTTTAATTATTTCTCATTTATCACAGATATGCTATGAGTTTTGCTGCAAATGAATTGAAGATGATTTACGTAAAGAGAACACCGGAGACCAACAAAGCCATCCACGTTGTTTCAAGTGGGTTCAAAGCTGTTCTCACCTGGCACAATATGCACACACTTCAGGTTAAAACCAATACATTATACTTATTGTTATCTGAGAAAGCTCCTATGAGTCACACTGAGGTTATTTTTTTCTATTATTTTTAAGGAATGTCGTGAAGCTGTAGGAGGGCAAGGTGTGAAAACAGAAAATCTAGTTGGTCAGTTGAAAGGTGAATTTGATGTGCAGACTACATTTGAGGGTGACAATAATGTATTGATGCAGCAGGTAAGCGGGCACATTATTGTGATTTCTGAACATGAGCAATACTGTAAATTTTCTTGTTTTGACCATACAATTTTATTTAGGTGAGCAAGGCCCTTTTTGCTGAATATGTATCGTGTAAGAAGAGAAATAAACCTTTCAAAGGATTAGGATTGGAGCACATGAACAGTCCACGTCCTGTATTGCCGACTCAACTCACATCGTCTACCCTCAGATGCAGCCAGTTCCAGGTCATATGCCTCATAAATATTGTCCTTCTTATCATTTATTTAGATGATTTTCAACTTTTTGCTAAACATATTCTTGTATTTTGTCCCTAACAGACAAATGTGTTCTGCTTAAGAGAGCGAGATCTTCTGGAACGATTTACTTCTGAAGTTGCACAGCTTCAAGGTAGAGGAGAAAGTCGAGAGTTCTCTTTCCTCCTGGTAAGCATTTTTCTCACCTAAAATTTACTTTCCTTTTCTGTTCACCAACCTTCAGGATTCAGTAATGGTTTTCTTCTCCTTCCCATCCGTACTTGCAGAGTCATCAACTTGCTGAAGACTTGGGTAAAGCTTTCACAGAGAAGGCAATACTGCAAACCATTTTGGATGCTGAAGCCAAAATACCTGCTGGCTCAGTAAAGGTAGGTCAAACGGATAATTATATGTGACGTTTTGAACCTATTTAGTTCTATCATGGTTGTTTTGCTAGCTAGGGCACGTATGGTACCTCAGGCTTCCATGTCATATGATTAACGTGCAGAGTAGTTGATTTTAAACAATGGTTTATTGCTCGATTGATTGGAAAAAGCTGTTAAACTAGTGGGATGTTTTGGTTCTCTATGTAGTTCATCAGCTTTTAGTCACGATAAGGAAAAGCAGAGCTTTGTTCTTTGTATAGTTTTTTCTGTAGACTATCACTAGCAGAGGAACTAATCTAAGCTAACTACCTCCATGTATTTGATAACAGGATGTGTTGGGTCTTGTAAGATCAATGTACGCATTGATCAGCTTGGAAGAAGATCCGTCGTTGCTGCGATATGGTTACCTTTCTCAGGATAATGTTGGAGATGTGAGGAGAGAAGTTTCAAAGCTCTGTGGAGAGCTTAGACCTCACGCGCTTGCACTCGTCACTTCATTTGGCATTCCAGATGCGTTCTTGAGTCCAATTGCATTCAATTGGGTCGAAGCCAACGCTTGGTCTTCAGTTTAGTTACTTGCTAGTAATAATCTCTTCCATAATTCCCACAGCTCTTAAAAGTTATGTTTTCACAATATCTACAGAAACTGTTGTAAGCTCTTCATAATAAAAGGGGTATGTGATATGTATCCAGGGTTTATTCTTTACTTAACTGGTCCAAACAAAAAGGTTTGGTAATCATTTTCAAATTCTTATAAATAATTGTTGTTATGATTCTTAATTGGTGTATGAGTTGTGGATAAAATAATCTTTGAATACTTAATTTGTAATTCATTCAAGTTTCATTAGACATGTTTATATCTAAATTTCTTTTTTAAGTTTGTCAGATTAGGGGTTTTGATCATTTTCCTTTCCTTTTTATTCCTTTTCATTCCTTTTTTTTTCTTGTTCCTATTGTTCTTTTTTTTGTCACCAATCGGAGCCTAATTAAGGAAACACGAATGACTTGCATTAGGAGTGAAAACAAATTGAACTTGTACATCTCTAACGATCAATTGACTACTCAAACGACAGGAGTCCGTATTCGGTTAGTTTTCACAATTATTAGAATCATGCGTTTTATCAATTAATCTGGCAAACTAAATTCTTAATTGGCTTAGGTTGTGGATGACTAGTTAATTTGTAAATCTTTCAAGTTCATTAAACATATTTATTAATGTATATTTTAGTTGGTTAGATTAATTAAGAAAACGCGAATAGTTTATGTTAAGTGTAAAAACAAATTGAATGTATGGCATCTCTAACGATCAATGACTAATCAAATGACAGGAGCCTACACTCGGTTAGTTTTCACAATTGTATAAACCATTCGCGTTTCTGTAATAAATATGACAAGCTAAAGTTGTTTATTGGTTTAGGTTGTGGAGTTTTTAGTTGTAAAAAGTTTTTTTTTTTTTAAAGAAAGAACAAGAAACTAACCTTTCTTGATCTCCGTCGTTTCGCAATGCATATGAACCTCCAAATCCATCATCATCAGTTCATCACCATCAAAAATTGATTCAACATATCTTTGACACAAAGTCTCGTTCATCGACCTCACTGTTGTTGTTGTCAATAACAAACAGGGTGGAATTTAAGTCCAGTTGAATTTGAATGCCCTGCAACGCAAGAAATAAGATTAGGCCTCAATGTTTTTGTCAATAAAGCAAACAGTGCGAACACTGGAGTTGTAAAAATTTACTCAAAAACGAAAAGAGTGCGAAGAAAACCTAACCTGAGGAGGACTCGTCAATGACTTGTTGCTCCAGATTGATCTCTCGACCCAAAACAGTAGATGGATACAACAATAATGGATCGAGAATCTAAACAAAATCTCGCGCAGATGAGCGAGCGAGTGACCCAATAAATAGTCACCACCGCCAATTTCTCTCCTTCTCCTCTACAGGCGACACTTTGGAGATCGCTCGTCTTACTCTGTTTTTCATTTGTTTAAGTTCTAAACGAAGACGACGTAATATTTAAAGGAAACAAAGAAAGGATCCAAAAAAAAAGGAAACAAAAGGATGCCCAGGAAAAAAAAGGAAACAAGGATGCAAAAAAAAAAAGGAAATTTGCTTAACGGGAAAAAAATCATAATATGCCGCTTGAACACGTTTATAAAAATTTTAAATGGGCTAATCTTGTGAAGTTGAAAACGGGCCTAACTGGGCCTATTTTAAGCAAGTCTACAAAGATTTCATTAGAGAGAACAAAAATATTCCTTTATTCAAGGCTCTTAATTTCGTCTGTGCTCATACTATTAATTATTATGTTTGTCGGGTAAAGGGAACAAATTATCTTGGACTCATGAAAGGAATCAATTACCAAAAATTCAAAATTTGTTTTCACTCCCTCTCTTTCTCAAGGAACATCGAAATTGATGCTGCTGTGAAACTGAAACCCCGATCCCTAAAAATGTCGGAATATCGTGGACTCCGGCGAGCCCACATTCTCGCCAATCACATACTCCGATCACCTCCTCCGTCCTCGAATCTCTCCCTCACGCCGGAAGTATGTTTGCAGTATTCTCCGCCGGAGCTCAACGAGAGCTATGGATTCGATATCAAGGAGATGAGGAAATTACTCGACGGACACAACTTGGAGGACAGAGACTGGCTTTATGGGCTCATGATGCAGAGCAATCTGTTTAACCGGAAAGAGATAGGAGGTAAGGTTTTCGTCTCGCCGGATTACAATCAGACGATGGAGCAACAGCGCCAGATAAGTATGAAGCGGATCTTGTACTTGCTCGAGAATGGGGTCTTTCAAGGATGGTTGACGGAGACAGGTCCTGAGGCTGAGCTCAACAAGTTTGCTCTTTACGAAGTTTGCGGGATTTATGATTACTCTCTCTCCGCCAAACTCGGTGTTCATTTCTTGTTGTGGTAATGTTTCAAAATTACATCTTGATTTTGAGATAAGAGAGATGTTGTTCTAATCAAAATGATAAATTTGGGAACTTCAGGGGTAATGCTGTTAAATTCTTTGGGACAAAGCGTCACCATGAAAAGTGGCTGAAAGACACCGAGGATTATGTTGTTAAGGGCTGCTTTGCAATGACTGAGCTAGGCCATGGAACTAATGTAGGCATATTTCAGTGTTATTTTGTACTTATCCTAACTATTATGTATTATTGGTGATCTTTGATTTGATGACTTTCAGGTTCGGGGAATTGAAACAGTGACTACTTATGACCCAACAACTGAAGAGTTTGTGATAAGTACTCCTTGTGAATCTGCTCAGAAGTATTGGATCGGTGAGGCAGCTAACGTAAGTAGTCACTATGCTTAACTCCCCCCACATTCATCAACCATATACTGACTTTTTGATATACTTTGGTGGTTCAGCATGCAAACCATGCAATTGTGATTTCACAGCTTAGTATAAACGGAACCAACCAGGGGGTTCATGTCTTTATTGCTCAAATCAGAGATCAAGATGGTAATATATGTCCTAACGTCCGCATAGCCGACTGTGGACACAAAATTGGTTTGAATGGTGTTGACAATGGCCGGATATGGTATTTGCACACAACTCAATGTTATGTAGCTTTATCTTATACTAAGGGTGAGTACTTCATGGAAGATTTCACTATGTTTATAGGTTTGACAATCTTCGAATTCCAAGAGAGAATTTATTGAACTCAGTTGCTGATGTTTTATCTGATGGGAAGTATGTTAGCTCAATTAAAGATCCTGATCAGGTAAATGCTATACCTTGGAAGTTGGAACAAATTTTTAGGATAAACTTTATAATGTATTCAATTTATTTCAGAGATTTGGAGCATTCTTGGCCCCTTTGACATCAGGTCGTGTCACAATTGCTTCAAGTGCAATTTATTCTGCAAAGGTACACCTTTTCGGTATTTCTGTATTCTTCTCCTTACACACATCTTTTGTCAGATATCAACTTGATTGTCTCTGGACTAAATGTTATTGATTAAGATTGTTACTATGACAGCTCGGATTAGCTGTTGCTATAAGATACTCACTATCGAGAAGAGCCTTCTCGGTTGCAGCCAATGGTCCTGAAGTTCTCCTTCTTGATTATCCAAGCCATCAAAGACGACTTTTACCACTCCTAGCAAAGACGTAAGGATCTTTCTGAAAATTATGTTTTCCCTCTCGGAAATATATAGGTGCTAAATCCTTACCATTAAAATAATACACTCAGCAGCTTGATGTTTCCTCCATGCTGTCTTATTTCTGTCAAAATTGTGGCTAAGGCTCAAATAGAACACCTAAACTTACGGAGAGAAGTGAAAAACATTTCATGGCTTGAGTGTGGGGATTTTCGGAGGGATTATCATTTTTAACCGAATCTTATGTACCCCCTAGATATGCTATGAGTTTTGCTGTAAATGACTTGAAGATGATTTATGTGAAGAGGACACCTGAGACTAACAAAGCCATCCATGTCGTTTCAAGTGGGTTCAAAGCTGTTCTCACTTGGCACAATATGCGAACGCTTCAGGTAAGAAGCAGTACTTTATAAGCATTAATGTGTGAGAAAACTTCTATGAGCCAGACTGATGTTGTCGTTTTTCTTGGTTCTTTCTTTCTGGTTCTTTCTTTCTAAGGAATGTCGTGAAGCTATTGGAGGCCAAGGTTTGAAAACAGAAAACCGAGTTGGTCATTTAAAAGGTGAATATGATGTGCAGACTACATTTGAGGGTGACAATAATGTACTCATGCAACTGGTAGGCTAAGGAACATAATCAATGCTGTAACTTTCTTTGTTTTGACAATAAAATTGACTTATCCATTCTTATGGGGAACTTAGGTGAGCAAGGCACTTTTTGCTGAATATGTATCGTGTAAGAAGAGAAATAAACCTTTCAAAGGATTGGGATTGGAGCACATGAACAGTCCACGTCCTGTATTGCCGACTCAACTCACATCATCTACCCTCAGATGCAGCCAGTTCCAGGTCAGAATTACTTTCCCTATCAATTGTTTATTTTAGATGAGCTTAACTTTTTGTTGAACATCTCTTGTATATTGTCCCTGCCAGAAAAATGTGTTTTGCTTAAGAGAGCGAGATCTTCTAGAACGGTTTACATCTGAAGTTGCAGAGCTTCAAGGGAGAGGAGAAAGCAGAGAGTTCTCCTTCCTTTTGGTTAGCATCTGTTCTCACATAACCTTTGTTTCCGTTTCCCGTATAGTAATGGTTTTTTTGCTTCTCCTCTACATCTCCTCCAGAATCATCAACTTTCTGAAGACTTAAGTAAAGCTTTCACAGAAAAAGCAATACTGCAAACCGTTTTGGATGCTGAGGCCAAATTGCCTCCTGGCTCAGTTAAGGTAAATATGATTACTGTCAATTAGTTGAATGATGGTTGTTTTCTCTTCTTGTTTCCATATCACGTGATTCACTTTTGGAATGATTGATTATAGTCAAGAAAATGTAGCAAATGTTTCCTATTTCTTCATGAGAGCTTTAAATCCAGGACAACACAATGTGATTGAAAGAAAACCTGCTGTCATCTTTCTTTACAGGGCTGATTTGTAGACTCTAAGAGTGAAAACTACAAGAGGAGCTAAACTAATCTGATAACCTCCATGTATTTTGATGACAGGAACTGTTGGGTCTTGTAAGATCAATGTATGCATTGATCAGCTTGGAAGAAGATCCATCACTGCTAAGATATGGTCACCTCTCAAGGGATAATGTTGGAGATGTGAGGAGAGAAGTATGTAAGCTCTGTGGGGAGCTTAGACCTCACGCGCTTGCACTTGTGGCTTCATTCGGGATTCCAGATGCGTTCTTGAGTCCAATTGCATTCAACTGGGTCGAAGCTAACGCTTGGTCTTCACTTTAGTTACTTGCTAGTAATAATCTCTTCCATAAATCATAATCCCAAGATTTATTTTTGTAAGATCAAAATTTTGTGATGAATCTCAACTTTTGATAGTTCACGACACAAGATTTGGAGACTATGGATAAATGATCCTTCCTTGATGTGATTCGTTTTACAAGCCACACTGGGTGGGTGACATAACTTGCTAAAACAAGCCTTGTTGCTTTCTGGAATCCGAAAATATGGACTACAATGAGGGGTAATTCCGTCTTTTTGATACGGCTAACAAACTTTTCTTTTTCTTATATAGCTGATTTTGAACTTTTTGCATAAATATCAGTCAGTATCACACACCACTGCTAAACAAACATCTCAGAGCAGAGAGGAAAAATGAAAATGACGTATGGAGGAGAGAAGAAGATAACTGTGGAAGAATACGTTGATTTCTTCACCTCTGGGAATTCCCGCAACTTCACCATCTCTTACCTCAATCAGGTTTTCTCTATCGATTCTCCTTTCTCTCATACTATTCCGATTCTCCTCCTCACTTTCTCTCTAATCTTCGACTCGCGATTTCTCTGCAGATCCTTCATATGCATGGTTTCCGAAAGCTTCACAAATTGCAGAAGGTAACCACCACCGATCATCATCATCTCTTCAAATTTCTTATATAATCTGTTCAAAATTTCGGTATATCTTTTGGGATGAATTTTTTGGTTGAATCGATTTTTTGAAACTTGAAATTCGATTTCATCAATCGATTGGGCAGAAAATTGTTGGCGAAGCCGTTGATACACTGGATCTTCTAGATCTCTCTCGCTCAACTCTGAAAGAAGCCACAGTCTCGTCGCCGTCATCGTCTTCCCTAACTCTCGACGAAGTCATAAGCGACATCGAAGCTCTGAAATGGCAGGAATGCTGCTTAACCTCGCTCCAGATCATCAATTCCCAGGAAATTACTGGATCAGTGCCCAAACCCAAACAGAAGAAATCCAACAAGAGAAAGAAAGCTACTATGAAGAAATCGCTCAACGCTAATTTCGGAGATGAGAATGAAAACACAATAATGATGATGATCCCAGCTATTCCGAGAAAGATGAGAAACAAAAAGACGAAGAAGAACCTCAAAAGCATCACCACATTAGTCAATGACGCTGCATCAGCATCGAAACCACTCTCTGACTACAATTTCTCGTCAAGGTTTACTTCTATTCCTTGATCTCACATTTCCAAATTCAAACTCTGTGTTTTTTCTGCTTTTAATGTTCTTGACAAGTTGGTGAATTTTAGATTCATTGGGTTGGTGAATTTTAGATTCATTGCTTATGAATAGATTACTATGCATTATACAAGCAAATTTTCTTTAGGAGTAACACAATTCATGAGCGTTGAAGCAACAAATACATAATTTTTTTGGCTTGTTAACTTATGATTACATACTCAAGTTTCATACATATATGAAAATAGTAAAGAATAATTAAGAAATCACATTATAGAACAGGCGTTAGGATTCTCGTCACTAAACTTAGAACCAGTTTGGTGGCTGAAGATAGAGGCATGAACAGGGTGGTGGCGGTAAGACGAATAGTCATTGCTATCGTAACCGTGCTTGTAGTAATTGTAAGATGAAGTCGGGACTGGTGCGGCGTGGTTGATTGGGCCGTTGCAGCCATGAGGGTTGTAGAAGTAGCCCCCGTTGCTGCTGCTTCCGCCCATGTGGTCAGGGTTATAAGGAAGCTGCCATAGCTCAGCTCGTCGACCGGTTTTCCTCACTTTCTTCAGAACCTTCTTCTGATCGGCGTAGCCAGTCACCGTCACTTTCTGCTGCACCATGTCGATTTCTACCTCATCCACCCCTGTTTTCATTAATACAACAGAGATTAGAGATATAGTCAGATATGCTATGTAGGTTTATGATTTACACAAAATGTATAAAGCAATATGCTAGAGATCAAAGATCTTTCTTTCACCTCTCATCTTTTGAAGGGCATTTTTAACTCTGCTTTCGCATCCCGCACAATCCATGTGAACTCTCATCTCAATAGTCTGAAGATGAATAAGAGATTGTTAAATTCAAGTACAAGAAAAGCTAAAACATTATCCATGCAAGAAATATGAATTTGAAAGATTTGACATCTTTTAAACAAAACCAAAAAAGAAAAAAATTCTTACCGTCATCTTGAACTTCTGCTGATGATTTTGGAATATAGTAGTCAGATCAATATTTTGAAGTTTACGATGAATATTGATAAATGGATGGGATTGGCATGTGAGATATATATAGTGTTCCTTGCTCTTCAAGCTTACGAACCCCTTTCTTGCCTAAAATTATAAGTTTTCTACATGAAAACCATTTAATAATTTGGGGACCATTTAAGAAATAAGAAATTATTTTTGCACCGACTTTTTTCATTTGTAAAGCGTGTAGAGATGAGTTGGGAAGAGGTTGCTTGAGATGGGCATCCACAACGGAAACTTATTGTAGTTTCAATGTTTTTCTTTATCACATTGCATGTAGCTAGCTTCAAAATTCAATATATTGAATTTATCACATTCGAAAGTTGACACAAAGATGATTCAAACATATATATTTTTGTTATCATTATGCTTAGATTGCGAAAGAAAATTAAGGTTTTTCGTGAGGTAATTTTATTTGTGCGGGGTGTTTGATCGTTGAGTGGTCTTATTGGAACGTCATAAGTTTAATGTGAATTAAGTTTATTGGATCGTTGATGGTTGACCTTTATTGGTTGTAAATGTGAGTTAAGGATGAGAGTGTAGAGTTGACTTATGGAATCAATTGAATGTAAGCTTAGGAGCAAAGCATGGACGAACGATACTTAGTGCCAGCGAGCGAAACTGACGGATCTTGTCCATATTATTAGCCGACCAATTATTGTTCATAATCAAATTAATTAGTGCTTAATCAAACCATTGCTATATCTTAAACCGGTTTAGAGGGGTTCAAGTTCTGGTTATATGTGGCTTTCAAGTTCGAGGTCAGGATTGAGATGTGAGGAGTAGTGTTATAGTGTAGTACACTGAAAAATATGCTTTTCTTCTACTCCGATCGTTACAGTCCCTGGAGTGTTTTATTGTCCTTTTGTTTACGTAAGAAATTAGGCAACGGTTTTAGGTTCGTACGAGGATGAAGATGCTCTAAAATTAATCTTTGGTTTTAGATTTTGTTATCACAAGATATAAGAGTGGTTTGGTCATTGGTGTATTACAGTGAGTGTGCAAGTGATAGAACTGGCCTTGCATTTTGGTGAAGCCCAAACCTATTGGGGCCTTCATGTATCTATTCATTAAAGCCTTAATTCTTTTCTTTTTTGGGGGCCAAAATTAAAGCCCTAAATCTATAAGCTTTTTTCTTGCAAAAACAAAACAGTATCAAACTGTGATAAGATTTGTTTTTTTTGATAAGATTTGTTAATTCACTCTCCAAACAATTATCCCTTATTTAACCAAAAATAAATTTATAAATAATTATCCCTTAGTGCTTGGCAGTCACGCTACCTAATTTAAGCGAGAAACCAAAAAGAAACAGAGCAACAGCATCTCTGAAAACCAAACCCTAGAATTTTAAAGAGCACAATAAGAAACATTGCAAGAATAAAAAAGAATAACGATGATAGAATAGAACCCTAATTTAAGAACGTTATTATTGCCTTCTTGCAGAAGAAACCCAGTCTCCGTTAACCCATTCGAGATGCCTTCTCAGAGAGTAAAGCGGGTACTGGAGCTCCTCGCCGGTCGTCGAAAAGTAAACAGAGTACATGTTGCCTCTCACAGCGGTGACCTCTCCGACCCACCATCCGTCTTTGTCTAAAGCATCGACCTTTTCTTGGTAGCGAAACATTACGGGGAGAGATTTGGGAGGCATCGGACGGAGTTCGTCGGCTGAGATGACTTCTATTAACGGCTTAGATTGATCCTTCTCCGACACAAGATTCTTGTACTTAACCTTGTAGTAAGATCCCTCCGGAGTCTTCGACAGTACTGTGGCACCGAAGTAAGACCCCAAGAAGCCGTCTTCTTTGCTGCAGACTTCAACTTGATCTCCTTTCACGAACTCCATTGTTAAGGATTTAAGTATGATCAAACGTTATCTTGATTTGATATTTTTGTGAAGGGACGCAGAGAAGGGAATTGGTGTATATATAAAAGATTTGTTTCCCTTTTTTCGCGTTTTACTTCTTTTTAACTCTTTCCTCTTTTTTTGTTCGGACTTTTGTTTTTTTGTTTTTTTTTTTTATTTTTCCTTTTTCTTTATTTAATGGGAACTAGATCATATGATTAGATTAGCCAATGAGGAAGCTTATTAAATATTAGTAGTCTGATTTTACATTTTCGGGATATACTTTACACGATATTCAGTTTTCAACTAAGTATTGAGGGGGAATTGTATTATTATTATTGCATTTGTCACACTATCTTCGATCGGACAAAAATATCTTGTTCTCACGGGTCTCATAAATTAGTTTGTATTTGCGTTTGAGAATTTCCTCTTATAAAAGTCTTAGTACTATATATACTTTATTAACGTTGAGAAAAGCGAATGTTTAAAATTGAAGGGACACCAGCAAATTTTTCGGTGATCCAAGGACAATGTATTATATGGTTTCGCATCAGACCATTAAGTTGGTGTTATTAACACCCTCTAATGCACCTACTAAATGTCTGTTCTGTCTTCTCATCAGTCATCATAGTACTGCTACAAATTTGTGCAGTTTTCTGGTAGCTAGCGGTCGGCAAGGTGGTAGGCCGTTTTCATTCATTTATCTTACCAACTTAATTAAATTAACATATATATAGAAGTCCTTCACTACATAATATCATAATACGTACGACATATATATGTTGCTAAAATGCTAACCACGTGAAAGAAGATGGAGGAGGACACCAACCTTACAATGTCATCCACACAAGCTCTGGTGTCATCTATCACACTAATATTAATACTTCGGCTTTTACGTTTACGACGTAGATTCATACTGCTTGTTTTAATGGGGAAAAAAAAAATATATTGCACAGATCAATATAATCTGAGAGATAGATATAAGCTTCAAATTTTAGTGTATATATAATTTGAAAATTTTTGTTGTCAGATTAGTCACATACAAAGCGACCAAAGATTACAAAACAATAAAATTTATATTAATTGGACTTTATATTTTTTCGAAGTGTACATTCTTTTGTTTTAATATACATAATTTTAATGAAAATATCTGTATTAATGCATCTATATTATTAATTGGGAATCACTAGATATTAAAAAACCTTTAAGTTGTAAAATATTACATGAAATGCCATTACAATTATTGAATTAAAAAAATAAAAAAGGAAAAAAAAACAACAATATAGATATTCATTTTGTTGGAGCACTAAAAGTAAAGATATTCAGAAAGATTTCCACGTATATTCTATCCAAAATTAAAAAAAAAAAACACTTAAGTTATTGTTATGATTTAATAAGGGCCTGATTGGTTACGGCTGTAGCTTTAGATTTTTTGCTGTAGATTTTAGACTGTGGATTTTCTTGCTGTAGCTGTAGAATTGTAGCTGTGAGTTTTAAAATAAAAGTATGATTGGTAAATAAATTTTTTGGAAATAAATAAATATTAGAAATATATTATAACCAAAAAAAAAGCGAGAAAGCAGAAGAAGGAAAGAACAGTAGAGAGAAGAAAGAGAAAATATCTCACAGCTCATTTTTGGGTGCTGTAGAAAATTTGATTTACAAAGCCCATATATTTCCTTTTTTTATTTTGTGTGCTGTAGCTTTTTTTTTGAAGTAAAAGAATGATTGGTTTGCTATTTGGCTTTAGAAAGAAAAGTTGGCTTTCTACAGCATCTAAAGCTCCTTCCAATCAGGCCCTAAGGTTTCCATAACAATCGACTATTTTTTTTTTTGACATCAACAATCGACTATATTAAATTCGAAATAACTAAAATGGAAATGCAATTGTTTACGAAATATAAATCAAATCTCAAATTAGTTTAAGAAATCATATTAAAACAGTTATTACTTGCCAAATATAATTTTAGTTATAGATTTTAATTTTTTTTTTTTTAAATCAAGCATATACCTCGAATCTATATTTAATACTCTCTTTTTTTCGCCACCTATATGTAATATTTTGATTTGCAAATATATTGTTAAGATTATAACAATGTTAACCCTAAATATTGAAGTCAGCTTGCTTTATCCTATATATATAGAAGTCGATTTTTTACTACTTACTAATCATTCAAAATTTTCTATTTTTATTGATATTTTATACTTAAGTTTAAACAATGGCTGCAAATCTTGGTTTCACAAATCTTGCTGCAAAATCTTGGTTTCAAACAGGATATACGTGTTTCATAAAAGGTACTTCAATGAAACACATGGCAAAATTTCTTGAATCTTTTTCTTTAATAAATAATAGCAATGAGTTGTTCATATGTGAATTTGTTGGTTTTTTATATCAAGACCAATAATTTTTTCTTTTGTCATGATTTTTTGACATATTGTGTTTAACTTGGATACAAATCTGAACGTATACAAAAATAATTGGGAGACAGTCAAAATATTACAAATCTGAATGTAGCCTTTTGTTTTTCAATTTGACAGGTAAACACCTTTCACTACGATATGTTTTCTGAAGACAAAGTTCCCTTGACACACATTTTTCAAATGTTTGGATTCTTCGGTGTGCAATCTAAGAACAGATTTGGTGTAGAACAATCTAATAGATCGATGATTGGAGCTTCTTTTGCAGGAAAGGAAACAAGTTGGCTGAGATAAATTGTTGCTAGATGGGAGAAACTTGGCTCCATTCCGTCAGGCGGTATTTTTTGTGTAATTTGGTTTCTTTAATCTTTTTGGTATTATGACCCGATTATTGTACTAGGTATTACGGATCGGCCATCTTCTGCAAGGGAAATTGAATTCGTGTGGTTTGGATTTTATGTGTTTAGTTCTCGGTTTGAGTTGTATTATTGTGTAATTTTTTTTTTTGTTCTAACATATACATATATACAACATATAAACTACACATTAATTTAAAAAATAACTCCATAATTTACTGTGTGGTTGATAAAAAAAAATGTATATTTTAGTCCAACTGATAAGGAAATTCTAGGATTTGGATGGAATATCTGTATTTCCTGTATTTTTTTGTTTAAGTATTTAATTTTTACAAAACAAGTAAATTATTTTAAAAGAAACAATTATGTGATATAAAATTCCTGGTAGATATGTGACCGGATTGGTTTTATGTCCCAAAATCGATATGCTTATATTCTCTTATTTCCTTTATTTTTTTTAGTTGTCTTTACTAATACCAAGAACAAATCAGATTAATTTTTTTTTCTAAACTAAATTGAAACCAAATCAAATACCAAACTGATATGAGTTCGGATTATGAATGCTATACAAAATAAATCTTTCTACAAACATAACCCCGCACGAACGTGCGGGTCCGAATCTAGTATTCATTTAATTTTGGAGTTGATAAATATCGAAAATAAAGTTGATCGGGACAAAACAGAGTAAATCACACATTCGTTTTGTGTTAAACCACGGATATTCGTTTTGTGTCTAGTACCCCTACTACACTAAGTACTCATCTACTAACATATACACATTGAAGAAAAAAAAAATATATGTTAGTTTAAGACCATAGATGAACAAAAATGAACTTGAAATTGCTTTAGAAAGAGAGAGGAAAATGTCGATCTACTTGCCACTTGGTATAGTTTAGTATTAATGCAGTGGTCATTTCTGCCAACCTGAGAAATAATGTCCATTGTCCAGAACAAATTACTGCGTCTTTTTATTTTTTTGGTCACATTTTAAGAATCCTATTATAAATAAGAGCTGTTCTATGTAGAGATTGCTAAACAAAGCACAAAAAGAAAACAAAGACAGGTACCGAGGTACGTACACAGATAAATAATGTCAACTGTCAAAACCGGACAATGCATTTAATTTCACAGATATATAATTGGGCTGATTAATAGTAATAATTAATGTATGACAAAGACAAATATGTACGACGTTAGACGAATCACAAAGACGATCGATCTCCATGAAATGAAAAAAGGGGTTCACGTGACTAAATATATAATTAAGCATTATTCAAAAAGAAAAAAGACATTTAAGCCATTAAAAACATACATTTATAATGGAAAACAATCATAATCTCGAAGCCGATCAAGAAACTGAAGAATAACAACTATATAGTGTCTCATTAAGTAGTGCATAAATAGCTTCTTAGTATCTCATACCGAATGTTTTTAGAGATATTTAGATCTCAAAATAAATATTAACGAACGATAGCCATCTTCTGTTTCTGGAATTCCGAGGGTAATTTCACATCAGTGGCTAATCCAAGAACTTCAAATAGTCGAATGAGGTACCAAGTTATGTCTATCTGCCACCATTCCAATCCTTGCCTCGCCGATGACTCAAACGCGTGGTGGTTGTTGTGCCAACTCTCTCCCATCGTAAACAAACTTAACCACCTGAATATGTTCACAAGATCGTCAAATATCTCTTTTCTATATAATACTAATTTGAATATAGATTCTTATATATATAGTATTATCATATTACCAAACGTTACGAGATGTGTCTTTAGTCTTCCACGACCTTGAACCCCAAATATGGCATGCCGAGTTTACGAGAAAGGTCACGTGATACCCTATCACACCTCCAACACCCTGTGATTTTCATTTGGATACATAGAAATTATTTTGTGCGATATTGAAAAATAGATAATAATTAATATATAACAATCCAAAAAAAATAAAAATTACCCCGCCGCATGTAAGGTAAGGTAAACCACCGTAGAGATAGAGGACAGTCCAAAACATTACGATGTGGAGAAAAATAGTCCTTCGTAGAAACTTATAGAACCATTGCTTCTTCAAGTCCTTCACGTTGTCACGTCCTCCACACTGTTACATTACTTTTTATTATTACAACAACGTCATGAAACATAAAAGAAGAAGATGAGAGATATTTTTACGTTACATTACCTTGTATTTGATGTATTGGGTGTCAAATATCCACATTATATGGCTGAACCATAATCCTTCTTTAGGGCTATGTGGGTCGCGGTCTGAATCTGTGAACTGGTGATGGAACCTATGTATGCTCACCCAATCCATTGGATCGCCCTGAAAATATATGTATATATTTTTTCTCTAAGCATACTTGTAAAAAAGAAAGAAAAATATTTGAAATAGTAAACTTAGTTAGATTCACTTCTCAATACACCGGTTTTAATTAACCTGGAGAGCGAAAACAGCAGAATAAGCAAAAGGATATTCGATCCATTTCGGGATCTTGAAGCTCCGGTGAGCCAAGTTCCTATGGTATGAGAAGGTGATGCTGAGTGTTGTTATCACGAAGAGCACCAAACCGAACCGCAAAGCTTCCCATTGATAATTAAACGGCGCCAAGAGACACAAAAAGTGCACTATCACAACGATTAATGCTCTTACAACATCGACCAAGGGCCATTTTCTCTGAATATACGCCCTTTTTTCTATACTCACCGCTCTGCTTTGGCTGGAGACATCGTCTCTAGTGGGATCACACATATCGGAGTTTGAGTTATAAGTTGTATGAACATAAGAGACTAGGTATATATATATATATATATATGGGCTGATATTGTTGCGTCGAAGTCCGGATCGTTAAATGCAATTCACCACTCTCCTTAATTAATGCTTTGTCTGCCTCTTCCATTTTAATCTTTAATATACCGGCAGTAGCACATGTTTTCCCCAGAATTCAACCAAGTTTTTCTTGTAGCCTCTTTTCGTTACCATCATATCATAAAAGTTTTTTTCTTAAAATTATTAATACTTCGGTGTATACAAGTAGTACTATGCATCTCTACTTACCAACTAACACTTAATTAACTAGTATGGATTTGACGAAAATAGTCCCAACGGCCAACGCCATTTCTACTGCAAAATTTCGTTAAGATATTTACTAATTAAATGCGTAGCTAGTCCAATAATATACTATAAGCTAGATTCACGCGGGTGACGACTTACGTCCTATCAGTCTCATGCGCTGCTTATAAGCTAGATTTTCTGAATCTCTTTAATATATAGCATCGAAGCCTTCTACATTATAATGACCTTTTTTCGCCGGAGTATAGTTCAAATTTTGTTTTGTTGTTCATTAATGTGAAATTTACTTTTAATGTACTACCCTTTTTTCCTGATTCATTCTGATATATTTACTTGGTTTGAACTGTCTATTGGAGTCTATTTTTGTTGGAAACTAGTAGCTTTTCAATCTTAACGTGGAGCTTGTTTTGGTGTCATCATATGGGAAATTCTTTTGAATTCTGTCTGTAATGGTTGTGTCTTACAATAATGTCTCTGAAAAGCAAACCGAGGCATGAATCGTATATCCGAACAAGTCTTTTCTTTTTCGATTTATGAAGCCATATCACGACTTCTTCCATACCTAATTGGTTAAAATCTTTTGTAGAGGCTGAAAATCCCAAGATTTTTACTCATTATTTATGTGAAGTAATCTAGTTGAGGAAAAAAATATTGCCGTATAAATTGAAGAAGTAAATAAAACTCATCTTATGATTGAATAAAGATATTTATATTTTCATTAATATGTAAAGGTTAGTAAATGTGTACGTAGTGTAGTATAACTGACATTTAATTATTTAAATAACATTTACAATTTTCGTTAATACTATTAACGAATTTTTTTACCAAGTTAGAACGACAGTTCCCTTATTTTACCAACTTAGGATGACTTTAAAAAGAAAAAGAAAAACTAATAATATTAAGGAACTAATTATGGTAAGATATGCATAGTAAAAAGTTACGAGTCTCTTTTCAAATAGTAAGAATCTTGCTGTTAATTATAAGATTTGTTCTATAAAGAGATATTACCGAACAACTGAACTGGGCACCAAAATAGAACAATGACAGGTAATAATGTCACTAACATGGTCTGAGAACCTATTGAATGTGAGATATATATAGATAAGTGATGGGTTGTTCGATAATTTATTTCAAATTCATACGACTTTAGGCGCCGGACCACAGACTAAGAGAATCTCCACTAATGAGTAACAGGACTCACGTGACTACGTGAGACGACACACCCACACGCATCTTAATGATCTTAAAGATCTTATGAATATATCTCCTTCATAACTCAACTTTTTTGTATATTTTTTTCGATTTCAAAACTTAATTCTTCTTCTTAGATTGAACATTAATAAAAGTACATATATATATATATGCGCATATTCATTTAAAAATAAATATTAAAATATAATGATTGATCATACAACATATATAGTTAACGTACATCTTAGAAAATAAATGGACTCTTTTTTTGTCGCCATTTAAATCTACTCCCAGGACAGGAAAACAATAATTTATAACGGAAAATATCCATACCATAATCTCTCATTTATATTATGCTCTTATAGTGACTTGGATTACTTTTAAAAAACTATAAAATACTGAGAAATCTCTCATGCAGATGATATATCAACGAATCAGAGCCAATTTCCGTTTCTGAAATTCCGAGGGCAATTTCACATCAGTGGCTAATCCGAGAACCTCAAATAGTCGAATGAGATACCAAGTGATATCTATTTGCCACCACTCCAATCCTTGCCTCGCCGATGACTCAAACGCGTGGTGATTATTATGCCAACTCTCTCCCATTGTAAATAAGCTTAGCCACCTTCAACATATACATACATTCACAACATCGTCAAATCTTTTTTCAAGTCTAAATAAGATATATAATATGCATCGGCGCCTTGATATTAAGATTACCAAACGTTACGAGATGTGTCTTTAGTCTTCCATGACCTCGAACCCCAAATATGGCATGCCGAGTTTACGAGCCATGTCACGTGGTACCCAATCACACCTCCAACGCCCTGTTATAATGTATACCATTTTTCATATGGACGCATGCAAAATATTTTGTGTATATATATAATTTATAGAAATAAATAGATTTACCCCGCCGCATGTAAGGTAAGGTAAACCACCATAGAGATAGAGGACAGTCCAAAACATTAAGACGTGGAAACCAATTGTCATTCGTAGAAATCTGTAGAACCATTGCTGCTTCAAGTCCATCACGTTGTTACGTCCTCCACACTGTTACATGCATTATTAAAACATCATATATATAAGTCATACAAGAAGAAAAACATTTATTCGTTAGTACGTTACCTTATATTTGATATAACGAGTGTCACATATCCACCACACATGACTGAACCAAAATCCTTCGATAGGGCTATGTGGGTCACGGTCAGAATCAGTGAACTGGTGATGGAACCTATGTATGCTCACCCAATCCAACGGATCACCCTGAAAATAGTATATTTTCTAATCATACTCTAAAACGGAAAAGAAAAAGATTTGACATAGAGGTTATCAGTTAAACGGTTATAACCTGAAGAGCAAAAACAGCAAAATAAGCTAAAGGATATTCAAGCCATTTCGGAAGCTTGAAGCTCCGGTGAGCCAAGTTCCTATGGTATGAGAATGTAATGCTGAGTGAAGTCAATGCGTAGAGCACCAAACCGAACCGTAAAGCTTCCCATTTGTAGTTTAACGGTGCCAAGAGACACAAAAAGTGCACAACCATAACGGTTAACGCTCTTATTATATCGGCCCACGACCATTCTCTATGAATATACGGCCTTTTTTCCTTACTCAAGGCGCCTCTTTGGCTAGAGCCATCTTCTCTAATGGGATCACACATCGACCGTTACGTTGAGGACTTGTTTTTGTTTGAGTTATGAGTTGTATGAACATTTTAAGACTGAACAACGTATGGGTATATATGGGCTATTGTTGTTGCGTACGTACATCGACGTGTCCAAGTTGTTAAATGCAATTGACCACTCATCGTAAATGCTCTATCTACTTCTTCCATTGGCATCTTTAATACTCTGGCATCAGCACATGTTTTCACTCACCAACATTGAAAATAAGTTTTATCAATTAAAAAAAAAAAAAAACTTGAAAATAAGTCTGTTTACAGCCTTTATATATATATACCATTATCTAAAAAGAAAACATTACTACTATTCATCTACACTCACCAGCTAACACTTAATTGGTATATATATCTCTGGATGAGGATTTTGATAAAAATTTCAACGGCCGAAGATAAAACTTTACTCGAAATGCAACTATATACTCTCACGTCACGCATTTTGATGCCATCCGATTTCATGCAGTGCTTTTAAGCTAGATTTTCTACGTCACTCTAATATATAGCCTTCGAGGCCTTCTACAATATCCCAAAATCTATGTTTTGTGGGTTTTTCACTTTTTTACAGTGATTTGACTTTTTTCTTCTATTTTTCATTTTTTTTTTTAATACAAAATCTAAAAATCATAAACCAAAAACTATAATCCAAAAGCCATTTAAAAACTTGCAAACATTCATGGCCTTAATCGGAAACTAGGGATTTTTTCAAAAAGGGCAGCTTCTGATATTTTGGCGTGACATGAGAAATGCATTTAAATTCAGTCTGTTGTGGTTTTGTCTTAAAATGTCTCTTAAAGCTTCTATAAATAGTAGTAATATTAGAGATAGTAGAGAAGAAAAAGTAGAACCACAAGTATTCTTAAAATATAACATTTTCCATATATATATATATATATATATATCAACGTCAATTAAAGAAGTATATATTAGTAAACACATGGCTCACCAAAAAAAAAAATTCGTAAACACATAATCTAATTTTAGTAATTACCTCTAATTCTGAGATTTGTATAAGATTGAGTTTACAAGTGTCAAAAGAAGTTTACAGTACAATATTAGAGTTTTCATCACTCGTTTTACTAGTTAAATTTCAAATACCAACTTCCTCCATTCAAAGAAAAAAAGTAAGTGTAGTTAACCATGGAGTATAGACTGTATGTATAGTGTTTTTTTTTTTTCATTCCTTGAATTCAAAAAGATATGACTATTAAATATTAATATAATGAAACTTTGAAAAAAGATGTTGTGGGACATTATTTGAACCTGTGTGACCTCAGGTTATGAGTCTTGCCAACTACCCAAACTGCTCTACCCGCATTGAAATAAGAATTGAATGCGCATCTATATAAAAAGACTAGTTTACGCGGCATTCAAAATGCTTTGGCGTTCTACAGATCCGATAATATCAAAATAAACATATACTAATATACAACGTAACAAACTATAAACTATTTACAAAATTTCCAGCAATACGTCAATCTACAAGAAACTAGCCAGTAGCCAATCCCACAAAAAAATATTATCTGCAGGACTCTATACCTTAGTTTTCTGTCTGATGAATCGATAGTTATGTCATCATATAGCGTTGTTAAATCTTATTGGGGTTGCAAGTAAGTACATACATTTGACTGATATATCATAATCATGCAGTATCTCATATTGCTAATGAGATCTAGCAATATCGTGAAATATAAAAAACATGGGTTAATATATAAATATTGTCAATTAGTAATAGTACTAGTAAGTCCAAACTCACAAACTAGTATATACAGTATGTAAAAGAAAAGGATATATAAGTGAGACCTACATTGAAACAACAAATCTTTTAACATTGATTGTACGTAGCCAGAGAAATTAAATGTGGGAACTACCTTTCTTATCTTTTTTGGGTGGTAGACAACTTAATTTCCTTGTGGGCATCAATCCCTAAGGAAAACCAGACATGGATGAAAAATTCAACAAAAGTTCCAAACTTGACTTTTTTTTTTTTTGAGTTCTGATGTCGAAACTTTGAAGGGGTACTGTAAAACTGATACTCGAATATTTGTGTGGTTCATTAATTAAACATGTCAAAACTGTGTGGTTTTAAGAGTTGAAATCATAGTATGTTTTTTTGTCTGGTTTTACCCAAATATATAAAGATCCGAGTTTTTCCTAAATAAAGTCGATTTATATTACTAGCTGGCCACGTTATCGGTCCAGCCTAAAACATTTTTTGCTCAAGAGGATTGGAGATATCGACCACACTTGAAAAACCTAATCGATATTCTTACATGTTTCTTTTGTCAATAATTATTTTGTAAACCAAAATTAATACATTCGTGTGGTTCATACAGAATAGGCAAAAAAGAAAAAAAACTAAAGGATACATAAACCTAGTCAGTATATTTTTTTTTAGCATAGATGACTACTGAGGATTGAAGTTTTTGATCAACCTTAAAATGTGTCGAAAAAACTTTTGACCTGTTTCATCGCAAACAAAACAGATTTTAGTTCACTGATGCAGATAAACAAATAACATCAGAGTTTGGGAAAAAAAAAACTGTGTTCTTGTTTTCAACTTGCGTCTTTGAAGGAATATTGGATCATAAAATCTCAGAGTTTTGTTGCTTCTGATGCAAACAATACAATGTGACTAGGCAGTGCTGACCAGTTTCTAGCTAACTTTGATGCAAATCCTATAAGGTCCATTAAGAATTGGCCTGACTCATCAAATTCTTCTCTCTCTTCACTGTTTCAAAAGAAGAAGAATGATCCTTACGAATCACATAGAAGCAAAGACTGTGACTCGGCGTGATCCTTTACCTTGGCGCGTAGTCGAGAAATTGCATTGGGATGTTACTATGGAGAGTGGAATAATAAGGAGTAGAATGGCTTGGCATGAGAAAGAGAATGCTGTTTGCTTTTTCCTATAAGTAGTTCATCACATCTTTGGTTCAGAACGAGAAAGTAACTCACAAACTAGAGTGTTTAATTTTTCACCTGATGGAATAATAAACTCATGTATAGTGCCATGGGGATATTGGTAGCAAGCAAAAAGAAGACTGAAAGTCTTAGTTTGGGAAACCACTTGATGATATGGTTCTTTCGAGGGACTTGTGAATCAGATGATTATGAATGATTGATGATGAAACAGATGATTATGAATGATTGATGATGAATCAGATGCTTCCATTTGAGCAAATGTATAGCCAGAAAATATTAAAGCTATGGGTAGCACAGGCAGCAAAAACCAAACATTCATAATCAAAGTAAACGACATGGAAAACATAATTCACGATGAAAAGTTGTTCCCCTGTGAAGTTTTCATTTATGAAAGTACATCCACATAAGTTTAACATTAAACCAAAAAAAAAAGAAAGTACATCCATATTACCTGAATTCCTTGTGGGCGATTATGCTGTATATAGCTACTAAGATCCATAGAGCTTTTGATTCTTAGACTTGATAATTCCCGCAATGGAAAAAAGTGTGAAAGTGAAAAGCATGAGAGGAAATCCCTGGGTGAGTTCCGTAATAGTATCCACCGGATGAGAGGAAGTTGAACTTGAGAAGATTGAGAGGCAAAATGACCCATGAGCCGTATATCAGACGGTCCAATGAAAGCGAGGAGGACCAAAGAGCTAACAGCAGAAGCTAGTAAGGGCAATGAAATCTTCAAAAGAAAACATTAAAACAAAACATTCAAGAATAGAGCTACAGAGTTAAAATGCAAACACATTGTTTATACCACAATACAAAAATTAACAAGATATCTTGTAAAAATAATGAAGAGTTATACTGACCATTACGTAGGGAGTATACAAGAATGTGAATACAATGGGATGCAAATAGCTTCGTATTCCTCTCTTCCATTCTCATGTCAAATGACTAGGAAACAGTATTAAAACGGCAATCATAGCTGAAATCGCTGACTCTTACGCATTAGTCACAATTCTGGCTTCTACTATGTGATAAATTTAATAACAAACGATGACTCATCGAGTCAAATTTGATGACAAAACTAATAACACTCAGCAGCATAGAATCCACAATAATCCCCACGAATCAAACTACGAATGGCAACTATTATTACCCGAACACGGTGCGGTGAGCTACTTCGAGGGATTGCCAATGTTCGTCTGGGATTGAGATTAATTCTGAATCAACAAAGCAGAACAAGAATATCTACCTCGGAGATCGAATTTGATCTGATTTAGCAGAATACTACACGAATCAGCGTTCTTCCACTTCCTTGTTGCCCATTGAAGAAGAAGACGCAGCCTAAAATTAGTTTCGCCGGCGGTCTGCCAGAGAAAACGTTTGACAATTCTTAAAAAAAAAAAGGAAAAGGGCGCATAATAGTAAAACGACTATATTTTTTGAGTTTTACAAAAAAAAAGAAAAAAAAAAAAAAACGCATATAATATCGAAAGTAAAAAAAAAAAAAAAAAAGGAGGAAAACGCAAAAATAATCCTAAACCCTTTTTTTTGTGCTCAGAACCCTAATTCCGCAAACGCAACCTGTCTTCTTTGCGCCGTCTTCTCACCGGAGAATGAGTACAACTACGGCTGCTATTCCGCCGCGACACCAGTCGAAGGTTGATCCGAATAACGTTAACAGAGCCGTGAAGTCTCTGCTAAAATGGTGGGACTCCAAATCCAAGACCGAGAACTCGGAATCGCTCGAGAACGACGGTTTCGTCTATCTAACCGTGACACTTAAGAGAATCCCCCAGTTGGATCGTACGAACCCTTTGATGATCCCTCTTCCTCATCCTCTCATCGATCTGACCGCCGAAGATTCACCGGAGCTCTGTTTGATTATCGACGACAAACACAAGAACAAAATCACAAAGGAAGCTGCTTTGAAGAAGATCGAAGCAGAGAAGATTCCAATCACAAGCGTGATTAAAGTCTCTAAATTGAAATCCGATTTACGCAAGTTAGAGGAGGAGAAGCGATTCGAGTTGTATTTCGCGGAGAGGAGGCTAATGGCGATTTTGCCGAAGCTGTTGGGGAAAGAGTTTGTTAAGAAGAAGAAGAATCCGATTGCGATTAACTTAAGACACGGTAATTGGAAAGAGCAGATCGAAAAAGCTTGTGAATCGGCTTTGTTCTTCGTTGGTATAGGTACTTGCAGTGTTGTTAAAGTAGCGAAATTGTCAATGGGAAGGAAGGAGATTGCAGAGAATGTTGTAGCGGCCATGAATGAGATTGGTGAATCAGTTCCTGGTAAATGGAAGAATGTTAAATTGTTTCATCTCAAGTTGCTTGAGAGCTTGGCATTGCCTGTTTATCAATCAGTTGCTTGATGAAAATGTTTAAAGAAGGTGATGGCTGATCTGGTTCCTCCAATTAGTCACAAGTTTTGGGTTTTATTTTTAGTGGAATTTTTCTCTTATGTGATGCATGTAATGTTTAGATTATGTCTAGAGTGAACAAAACTGTTTTGAATGATTACATTGCAACAGATGGTTTTAATACAAATTTCCATGAGTGGGTCTTATGAATTTACTGGTAACTTTGGCTTCTTTTGATATGAATATATATAGTCACATGAATTCTCTATCATCTGTTACAAGCAGAATGTTGATGTATGAATATGAGAGGATGGTTTCTGGTGATGTATAAGAAAGAATCTAGATTTCCTACTTTATTGAATTGCTTATTTGCTTTGTTCTTCACAAAGGTAGATTCTATTGATCTTTCTTTGTTCCACAATTGTTCTTGCATAATCTCTTGATGGATTTGAGTTCTTCTTCAAGTTTCAATTTTTGGTGTTTCCAATCTCTTGATGATATATTTGAGACTCTCAGTTGAAATTTCTAAATTCTTGTTCGATATCTTTTTGAAACGGCAAAGATGATTTGATGAACTTTGAAGTGTCCGTTAAAGCCGATCATGGGATACAGTAACGGTTTATATCTTTTCACTTTCCAATTCCTTGTACTCAAATTCTTATTTTTGTATAGCTACGTTCCCGACTAGTTCTTGTTAATCTAAAACTTGAACGCTACATAAACAATTCTTTATCTCAGGTAACGAAGACATACGGTAGTTTTGACCCCTTGGCAACTTAATTTTCATCTTGAATACTACTTATAATTCTTTTGTTGGTTAATTGGTCAGTGTAATGAAAAAGAATCCATAATATCATAGATTGTCTACAAAAACAACAATTGATCAATGATGAAGGCGAAAGGGACGAAGAAAAGATGGTCAAAAAGATTGCAAATATCTTAAGTAAACCTTCATATCTAAATTGGGTAATATGATTGGAACTGATACCATATACATAGAATATTTAATGGAGTTCTAACTTAAGTAGTAACTTAGTTATCATTAAATAAATGCCTAAGGAAGTGTTTTTTTTTTTATCAGAATTTTTGAGTGCTTTATTAATTAAAAAGTAGATTTCTCATTGGAGAGTCTTCCGTGGGTCCTCCTTTGTCTTTTGAACAATTTTCTGAAATTTAGACGCAAAGAGAGGAAAAATAGTCTTTACTCAATTGTTCAGTGGTTGAGAGAGAAAAGAGTAAAAAAGCACATGGCCTCATTACCATTGGGGCCTCAGCCTCATGCTCTTGCTCCCCCTCCGCAGCTTCACGACGGCGACGCTTTGAAACGCCGTCCTGAAATGGATTCTGATAAGGTTTATTTCTCCTCGTAACCCTCTCTGTTTTGTGTATTGCTGTTACGTCTGTGTTTGGTAAACAGTGCATTTGAAATTATCGTTTGGTGGCTCTTCTAGATCTACTCCGATCTAGCTCCTGTTTTTTTTTCTTCTTTGTTTTCTGTCTCAGTACAGTAGAATCGATCTGTATTCTTGTGCTCTTGTGTTTGTTCGTCGCTCGTATTGATCTGAGCTCACCGGAGAGTTTCTTTTTTTCCTCCGGCGAGGCGTTTTGATAGGATAATGTGATTTTGATTTCATTTGTTTGCATGCAGTAGCTAGATTACTCTTGGTATCTTCCAGCTACAACTTCAACCTTCTCTATCGGAGATCTAAGTAGCAGTAATCTTTGAATCTTGTGGAAAATTTAGGTTCAATAATTAGAGATAATTTCTTGCGCTTTGGAAACCTACATTTTCAGTCAGTATCCAACTGATAGCAGGACATCGAAGCATATCAAACTAGCTTGAATTTTGTGTCTTCAAGTTTTTTTTTTTGGATATTTCGATTATTTATTTCAACACTGTTCACTTTCAAGTACAATTTGCTTATTTTGTATATCTCAGATTATTTATTCCTGTTCATTCTTCAAAGTACAGTTTACTTGTAGATCTCTGAATTCACTCTTGGCAGGTTTTGGAGTATTCCTATTGTTATGGTTCTCTTGGCCCATTGCTTCCCTGTATCTCTGCCACCGACATTTATCCTGGACCCTTTTTTTTTTTTTTTTTGGCAGACCAAATCCATTGACGTGTCTGATGTATCTCTAGTTTTTTTGTATGATATCTCATCTCACACACTGTTTGACATCTAAAAAATCGCTATATTCTTGAACCTCCATCACTGCTGTTTAACTTATGCTTTACTTTGTTTTTCTAATTCTTTCTACATCTTGTTTCGGTTGGCTTGACTACTGGTTATTTGGTACATGTTACATGTTTAGCTTCACATTTTCGATAAGATGAAGTTGCTCTGCTCATTTATGTAATAGCAATAACAGCATTCTCATGCATCCATATTTATCCTGAGGTTTGTTGAAATAAGTGAAAGCAGTAAATGCTTACCATCTCTGTTTCACCTTGTAGTTGATCAGAATAGTTTAATGCCTATACTAATATGTGAGGTGGATTGCAGGAAATGTCTGCTGCTGTTATTGAGGGAAATGATGCCGTTACTGGTCATATCATTTCCACTACCATTGGGGGCAAAAATGGTGAACCGAAGCAGGTTGGATTCTAATGTTTGCAAAATCTCTTAACTAAATATCAGTTAATGCTTACGGTACTTCTTTATCCCAAGCTGAAGTAATTCATCACTCTCTTACATTAACTTTATCTTTCTCCTACAGACCATTAGTTACATGGCTGAGCGAGTTGTTGGAACAGGTTCATTCGGAATTGTTTTCCAGGTATATTGTGCTTCTCTGTGCTAGCATTTCCAGGACATAATTGTTCTTTTTCCTTTCTGATCAAGTCTGAAAATTATTATTTTAGGCGAAATGTTTGGAAACTGGAGAATCAGTAGCCATTAAAAAGGTCTTGCAAGATCGACGCTACAAAAACCGTGAGTTGCAACTAATGCGACCAATGGATCACCCAAATGTCATCTCCTTGAAGCACTGTTTCTTCTCTACAACGAGTAGAGATGAGCTCTTCCTCAATCTTGTTATGGAGTATGTACCTGAGACTTTGTACCGGGTTTTGAGGCACTATACTAGTTCAAATCAGAGGATGCCAATTTTCTATGTCAAACTTTACACATATCAAGTATGCACTGTTATTTTCAGTTAGTTCACACATAATATCATTTAATAGAATTGATTCTGAAACTGATTAGAAATATCTATTATGCAGATCTTTAGAGGTTTGGCTTACATCCATACTGTTCCCGGTGTTTGCCACAGAGATGTGAAACCACAAAATCTATTGGTACGTTATCTAGTATGACATGTGTTTTGTAATCTTGACTAGTTTCGGGATCTAACTTTCTGCTGCACACTGTAGGTTGATCCCTTGACCCATCAGGTTAAGCTGTGTGATTTTGGAAGTGCAAAAGTATTGGTAAGGGTGTTATCCTTTCATTAACTTTCTTCCTTTTTCTTTTCTTTTTTGGGTTTTCGGCTTGCTTATGTATCTACGCATGTAGTTCTCTGTTTTGGTTACCCTTTTAAAATGTTTGGTAATTCATATTAGGTCAAAGGTGAAGCAAACATATCATATATCTGCTCCCGTTATTATCGAGCTCCAGAACTCATCTTTGGCGCCACAGAGTATACAGCATCCATAGATATATGGTCCGCTGGTTGTGTTCTGGCAGAGCTTCTTCTTGGCCAGGTTAGTGTGGATTTCTATGTGTTAATTAACTTGTTAAATAAAGTATCTATGCAAAAGGCAAAAAGTGCCCGCCCAATGTTATATTCAGCCACTCTCTCTCTCTCTCTCTCTCTACAGCCGTTATTTCCAGGAGAAAATTCAGTTGATCAGCTTGTGGAGATCATAAAGGTGAAGTCTCCTTTATAAGACTAATGGATGTGTTCTTTTTCTCTTTGGTATTTAAGATAACTAGAATCTAGTAAATATGGTACCATAAGTACACTTGCTGCCTTGTTTAGGTTCTTGGTACTCCAACTCGTGAAGAAATTCGATGTATGAACCCAAACTACACAGACTTTAGGTTCCCACAAATCAAAGCTCACCCTTGGCACAAGGTAGTTCATCTCACCTTTTTTTCTTCTGGTCAAACAATTACTTAACTCATTACTTATTCATAGAAGCAGAGGTTTCTGTTGTTTACAGATGGCTTTCATTTATAACAACAACCATATACTGTTCCCTTGACCTTCAGGTTTTTCATAAGCGGATGCCTCCAGAAGCCATTGACCTTGCATCTCGGCTTCTTCAATATTCACCAAGTCTACGCTGCACTGCGGTCAGTATCTCCTTGTGATAACTTGTTTTGACTTTATAAGTGATGGAGTCATAGAAGCTCGTTTAAATAATCTTCCAAGTGTTGGATACAGCTGAGATTTATTCAGTCATTGTTTCTTTCTTTGTCTATCTAGCTCGAAGCATGTGCCCATCCGTTTTTCGATGAACTCCGAGAGCCAAACGCCCGTCTTCCAAATGGTCGTCCATTACCGCCACTGTTCAATTTCAAACAAGAGGTAAAAAAAAATCAATAGCAAACTTTTTTCGTGGAACTTCGCAACATAACCCAATTGGTTCTTTGGATGTGGAAACAGTTAGGTGGAGCTTCAGTGGAGCTAATAAACCGGCTAATACCTGAGCATGTGAGACGACAGATGAGCACAGGATTACAAAACAGTTAAAAACTGTGCATGTCTGAAGAAAAAGAGGAGAAAGCAGATTTACTACTTCTATTTGATACTAGTTGACAGGTTCAACAATATATTAACCACGACTATTATCAGCTTCTATACCCGTAGTAAAGTCATATTCAGCTTTTGAGAAATCAGATGCTGATAATTGCTTCTATTTTTTTTATTCCTTAGCTTGGAGAGTGCAGAGAGAGACACTGTTCCTCGTGTATTTTTCTGTATATGTTTTTGTCCGTAAAACAATTCTGACAGATCCGTAGAGAAAAAAAAAAAACGAGTTGATAATATTGAACCATGTCATGTCCAAAAGTTAATCTACAGAGTCTTAAAGTCCCGAAGAAATTGGACTAACAATAAAACCTGATATGATTATCCTCTTAAACTAAGAGTCGATAGATTTGTCTTTGAAATGTTACTTAGTCGAAGATTATGCATTTGTTTAGTTTATTACAATTTTACAAGTGGTGGGAGTTTCAAAGACAAATACCAATCATGTACCTTAAAATTTAAGAGCCCTTACAGGCCAAAGTTATCACAGCATAAACATGATCTTAAAGTAATTGTTTCTTATTTCATTTTTGATTGCCATAGCCAAGGAGATTTTCATTTGCTGTCTCACCCCTAACCAAATCAAACCAAATCTACAATCCCCCACTCTAGTTAGAGCAGCAACCCATTCTCTTAAGGACCGATCCGTCTTCTTTAACGTTTATCGTCTCTCCTTTTCCTGGTAATTCAGTCGAATCTCCTCCTCCATCCACACTTCTTTTGCTCACTATCTTATGGATCTGAGTAAGTACTTCCGTGAATGCGTTTTCAACATTGGTTGCGTCTAGAGCTGATGTCTCCATGAAATAGAGGGATTCTCTCTCCGCAAAGGCTTTAGCCTCTTCTGTTTTGACTGCCACTAAGTGACGCAAATCGCACTTGTTCCCTATAAGCATCACCACAATGTTTGGGTCTGTGTGTCCTCTTAGTTCCCTTAGCCATCTTGCTGCATTCTCAAATGTCGCGTGCCTAGTCACGTCATAAATAAGCAAAGCACCTACGGCTCCTCTGTAGTAAGCGCTTGTGATTGCTCGGTATCTATCAAAGCATAAACAAAACCAGCATTTACTCAGATTTTGTTAATAAATATACATACTAGTCACATAACAATTGTTTCAGATGCAACTCAACGTATCTACCAAATGGTTACTTTGTAAAGTAACAACCACATATAGTTAATGAAGAACTATGCTGCAAAATTCAAAATGTATCTCTATGTCTAGTGCAAGCCAAAGAAATGTTGTTTTCACCAAAAACATTGGGCTCACACACGAGCTCAGGCAACTATCTATATGTGAAACGGATGGAACACCACAAAACTAGTAGAGTAACAGAGGTTTAGATAAAAATTGAAACATGTAGTAAGTAAGATTTATAAAAACAACACTTTTACTACGGGAATGGAGCCAGACAGGAGATGATTGCATGAGCTAATCAAGCAGACCAATAAATGAGGGATACAGACAGATCTTGTAAGCACAAGAGACAAACATTAGTAGCCCAAATGTGAAAAAATCCTAAGTATATTCTGAATAAATTGCAGACTTTGAGCAATATTCAACACAAACTGAGACTTGCATACTCTTAGTTGCTCAGTCTAACAGATTTAAAAATTCAGACACAAAAAGTTTCGTTCTGAAAACACAGAAAACCCTAGTTCTGCCACAAATAGTCCTAACTAGTAAAACCAAGAAGGGACAATGAATAAGACACTTTAAAGTTGTGTGATAAAAAACAAGTCTCGATCTTTCAATGTCAAAAATATCCAGATGAGGCTACAGATTCAGATACATAAATCAAACACCATGGTTCTAACTAAAACTTTCATAAACAGCGAATCAATCACGAAAGCAACAACGAAATCCAGCTGACAAACCTAAATTGATGATTTTTTATAACCTTATTATCCAAAGGATTGAAATCAAGTAAGCAGGGGAAAAAAAAACGTAATCGGACCTCTCTTGACCAGCAGTATCCCAAATCTGGGCTTTGACGACTTTGCCTTCGACTTTAGTAGTTTTGGTAGCGAACTCAACACCAATAGTAGACTTGGATTCGAGATTGAACTCGTTCTTGGTGAACCTAGACAGCAGATTCGATTTGCCGACACCAGAGTCGCCGATCAACACCAGCTTGAAGAGGTAATCATACTCTTCATCGGCTCTGTAACTAGCCATCAGAGATCCAATTTTCGGATTAGAGATTTGGGTTTTATTACTGTGTTTGTATATTTGATGATAATGATTCAGATGACGATGAAAGCTTTTTGTCTGGTTGGCTTCTTTTTGTTTTTTGAATTATTTAAAAGATTTTAACAGAAAAAGTTTAAATTTTTTTAAAAAGATGATTCCGCTTAATTAGTTGCACATTTTAGGAAATCTTCTCGAGATATAGGTTTGTTAACAACTTCCACTCACAAAATAATCATTTTTTAAAAATATAGAACGAATACAAATTTTCTATATTTAAACAAATATAACTAAACATATACCTACTTTCGAAATTTTTACTTGAGGTTGAAGATACTATTACTTTCATTTTCTTAAGTTTGGGATAAAAGATTTTTTTTTTAATATAGTTTGGGGTTGAATGAATGTAGCTACTACCTAGCAACTTGGAGAGTTTATAAGATTAGATATATGCATTGATATTGAATAGCTAAGACACTTCTGTTCCATATTGAAAGCCCTGTAATTCAATAACATCATCCTCTGAAATGACTTATTGTATATATTTTGTTTTCTCAATATTTGAAGTCACATATGGTACAATTTTAAATCACAACAACTACAATCTGACATCGCAAAAAATCTTATCGAGGTTGTAACTGCAAGCCTACAACTAATCAATCATTAAAGACAAATTAGACAATGTGCAACCAACAATTAATTTGACCAACTAGTTTCATACAATGTGTATTTTTTTTTTTTTTTTTATATAGAAGAACATAAACCATTAATAAATCTATTCCCATATGCTTCCATTTTTAATTCATTTCTGTTCCACTAACTAATACGATCCAAAAAAAAAGAAAAGAACGTAAGAAACTTGAACACTCTGGTTCACCACACGCTCAAAAGCGTCCCCTGTTTCGACACGTGTCAAACGGTCCAAAACGAGGTCCTAGACACGTTTGGTAAGTCACACTAGCTTATAATAGCCCAAAGTGGTCCACACATCGCATCGCACACGGCATCACGCGTCCTCACGTTCTTTCTCCATATCACGTGTCCGCTCATCCACGCGCTTCCCCTCGCGCGTTGACGAACTCGTTTGGGTGTGTAACTCATGCCAGCTGGCAATAGTGCGAGTCCGGCTGGCTAACTAGCCTTATCCAAATTTTCTAAACGAAGGCAAATGCTATTACCACTGAGGCTGTCACTTCTTTCTACGTCACGGACCAATCCAATTGGTCGTCAAGTACGTTGTTTAATGACATGTACCTGTGGACAGCGAAGCAAAGCAACCACTCGGTGACGGTCGTTCGATTTTAAATGTAATCAGAGTCTGTTAAGCCCCTTCGATTTGACCAGTAAATATCATAATTAAACCAAACCTTATATTATACAGTATAACACAAAAAATCAAAAACATAAAATAATATTCCCTTTGAGATTCATATCCAAGAGACCACACACGATGTACGACTCTTATACGTACGACTTTACGCTTATTTTCACCTTCCCACCTTTATTTCATCAGTTTTTATAATTTGCCCCTATATTTTTATAATGTTATATGAACACCCAATATATATATATATATATTTATATATATATTTTTTGCTAAACTAATTTTACAATTTATTCTGTATGGTTTTTTTTCTTCATACTTAGTTCATGGATGTTTTTTTCCTAATATACCAAATTATTAATTTTTTTGTTATAATTTTAAAAATAAAGTATTTTATAATGATGATATACTAAAGGGAAAAAAACGATGAAATGCTCATAAAAACTATATGAAAATATGATTCAATTCAAATATGTTTTTTCTACTATCACTTGAGAAAAAGGATGTAAAGGCCAACCTATAATTGTTTTTAAATATTAAAGGAAAAGGGTATCTCTTTATGGTAAGAAACTTTTGACTTTTGGAGTATAATATAGTGGTCACAGTAGCTTCATCTATAGAATAGAGGGGCATATTTGATATTATTCCAAAATACACATATGAGGCTGGAAACACAGATTTTTTATTTTTATTTTAGAGTTTTTCCATATAAACCCTAGATTAAATTTCACGTTTCATTTTTTTTTGGGTTAGATAGAGAAGATCAGATTCTTCATTTGCCAAAGGAACAAAAAAGGTGAGTCTCGATTCGTGTCTAATCCAAATTGATTTTATTTCTTTCATTTTCGAGTTCCTCTTCTTTTTTTTTGTGTGTTGCTGAATTGAGGGATCGGGTCGCTCCGATTTAGATTTTCGTTTATATGAAAGGTGAATCTTCCTTCCGTTTTTGATTACCTATCGAGTCTTAGTTTCATGGATCTTGCTTTTAGATGATAGGAATGTATCATTCATTCGATTTCGTCGTAAAGCTCGGTTTTTTTTTGTTCTTAACTCAGTGATAGAAGATGATTACTAAAAATTATTGATTTTTGGATATCTGGGTATTGCTCAAGCTTTCGATTTGGCTTGATGGGTATTCAAATTAGTGGAAATACTGATTTTTTTAAAATTTTTTTATAATTTTGGTATCGTAGATCTTGTTCGTGGAGATTGACCTTACTGCATTTTGGTGTTTCTTCTGATGCAGATTTATTGAACTAGTGTTTAATTTTTGGATTCTTTTGGGGGTTTGGAGACAAGCCAAGATGATTTCTAGGTCGTACACGAATTTGTTAGACTTGGCATCGGGGAATTTCCCTGTCATGGGAAGAGAGCGTAGGCGGCTTCCTAGGGTAATGACTGTTCCTGGTAATGTGTCTGAGTTTGATGAAGATCAAGCGTATAGTGTGTCTTCCGATAATCCTTCTTCCGTTTCCTCTGATCGAATGATCATTGTGGCTAACCGGCTACCGTTGAAGGCAGAGAGACGAAATGGAAGCTGGAGTTTTAGTTGGGATCAAGATTCTCTGTATTTGCAGCTTAAGGACGGTTTGCCTGAGGATATGGAGATTTTATATGTTGGATCTTTGAGTGTTGATGTTGATTCACATGAACAAGACGATGTCGCGCAGATACTGTTGGACAAATTTAAATGTGTTCCTACGTTTTTCCCACCTGATTTGCAATCAAAGTTTTACGACGGTTTTTGCAAGAGGCAGATATGGCCGCTTTTTCACTACATGCTTCCGTTTTCCGCTGATCATGGTGGAAGATTTGATAGGTCTCTTTGGGAGGCTTATGTAGCGACCAATAAGCTCTTCTTCCAGAAAGTAATTGAGGTTATTAACCCAGATGATGATTTTGTCTGGATTCATGACTACCATTTGATGGTCTTACCAACTTTTCTGAGAAGACGGTTTAACCGGATAAGAATGGGATTTTTCCTTCACAGTCCCTTCCCCTCATCTGAGATATACCGGTCTCTCCCTGTTCGGGAGGAGATACTTAAGGCGTTACTAAACAGCGACCTTATTGGCTTTCACACATTCGATTATGCTCGTCACTTCCTTACTTGCTGCAGTCGGATGTTGGGTCTAGAATATCAGTCTAAGAGAGGTTACATTGGGCTGGAGTATTACGGGAGGACTGTGGGAATCAAGATCATGCCAGTGGGGATTAACATGGGTCGGATTCAATCGGTGATGAGATATTCAGAAGAGGAGGGTAAGGTGATGGAACTCAGAAATCGTTTCGAAGGTAAGACAGTGTTGCTTGGTATTGATGACATGGATATTTTCAAGGGTATAAACCTGAAGCTTCTAGCAATGGAACAAATGCTGAGGCAGCACTCGAATTGGAGGGGAAGGGCTGTTCTGGTTCAGATTGTAAATCCCGCTAGGGGTAAAGGTATTGATGTAGAGGAAATACGTGGTGAAATCCAAGAAAGCTGCAGGAGGATCAATGGAGAGTTTGGGAAACCTGGATATCAACCTGTCATATATATTGATACTCCGGTGTCGATCAATGAAATAAATGCTTATTACCATATTGCTGAGTGCGTGGTCGTTACAGCTGTTAGAGATGGTATGAACCTTACTCCCTACGAATATATCGTTTGTAGACAGGGTTTGCTTGGGTCTGAATCAGACTTTAGTGGCCCAAAGAAGAGCATGTTGGTTGCATCAGAGTTTATTGGATGTTCTCCTTCGCTTAGTGGGGCTATACGTGTAAACCCATGGAACGTTGAAGCTACTGGAGAAGCCCTAAATGAGGCCCTCTCAATGAGTGATGCTGAGAAACAGCTGCGACATGAGAAACATTTCCGGTATGTTAGTACTCATGATGTAGCTTATTGGTCAAGAAGTTTCTTGCAAGACCTAGAGAGGATATGTGTGGACCATTTCAAGAAAAGGTGTTGGGGGATGGGGATTAGTTTTGGTTTCAGAGTTGTGGCACTCGATCCCAATTTTAGAAAGCTTTCAATACCATGCATTGTGTCAGACTACAAAAGGGCGAAAAGCAGAGCTATACTGTTGGATTATGATGGCACTCTGATGCCTCAAAACTCCATCAATAAAGCTCCAAGCCAGGAAGTTCTTAACTTCTTGGATGCACTATGCGAGGACAAGAAGAATTCAATTTTCATTGTCAGCGGAAGAGGGAGGGAAAGTTTAGGCAAGTGGTTCACTCCGTGCAAAAACATTGGAATTGCGGCTGAGCATGGATACTTCTTGAAGTACTTTTCTTCTCTACTTTTTATTACCACTTGTTTAAAATTATAAAATTCTCCTCCTTCAGGTTTAGTATCATGCCTGGTGTCTTATTCTTAGGTGGTCAGGCAGTGAAGAATGGGAGACATGTGGGCAGAGCTCTGATTTTGGGTGGATGCAGATCGTGGAACCTGTAATGAAACAGTACACTGAATCTACTGATGGCTCTTCCATTGAAATCAAAGAGAGCGCTTTGGTTTGGCAATATCGGGATGCGGATCCAGGCTTTGGTTCGTTACAAGCAAAGGAAATGCTAGAGCATCTAGAGAGTGTCCTAGCTAATGAGCCAGTGGCAGTCAAAAGTGGTCACTACATCGTAGAAGTCAAGCCTCAGGTAAGTTACTTCTCTTCTGCTCAATTCAAGCATTAACGTTGTCGAAAAATCTAATTCTTGGCGTTTGTGTGAGAATAGGGGGTGAGCAAAGGATCCGTGTCAGAAAAGATATTTTCATCAATGGCCGAAAAGGGGAAACCGGTTGATTTCGTGCTATGTATTGGGGATGACAGATCTGATGAAGACATGTTTGAAGCAATTGGTAATGCGATGTCGAAAAGGTTACTCTGTGATAATGCTCTAGTGTTTGCATGCACAGTTGGGCAAAAGCCAAGCAAGGCTAAATACTACTTGGACGATACTACTGAAGTGACATGCATGCTTGAATCTCTAGCTGAGGCATCAGAGGCTTCAAACTTTTCTATGCGTGAACTTGATGATGCCCTTTGATTAGAAACCCGATCTTTTGCCAGGTTTTACCCTCTATGATCTCAATCAATTCCAGTTCCATTTGCTCACTTTTTGCGACAATCTATGATCTTGTTCTGATAAATACAATGAATGAATGATGTGCATAGATGGCTAAAGAAGAAGTTAGACAGACAAAGACAAGGAAAAGAAGAGACTGGGAGTTTGTTGGTCTGTTTGTGTTTGTGAGATTGAAAGAAAGAAAAGAAGAAAAGGGTAGTGAGAGTAATAATGGTAAAAAGGAAAAAAAAACAAAATGGTGATGTGAAGAGAAGCTTTGTTCTTTTCAGATGTTATTGGCAGAGGAATCAATCAATCAATCAAAGGAGGAGGAAAATAGATGTGTTTGGGTTCATCAGGGATGTGTTTGCAGGATGTTGAAGTTAACAACAAGCAAAAGCTATTCCTGATCTTTTTCTTTTTTATTCATATTATTATTATTGTTATTTGTAATTGGATGATCTTTGAGGATATCAAATTTGGATTCGGCTGTTTATTGGATGTGAACAAAAACGAAACTGTGAAAAAAAATAGTTTGTAAAGATAACGTTGCGAACCGGGCCTTGTGGCCTAGTGGTAAAGGGGTCACAGCTGTGACTTCCGCCACCAGGGTTCGAGGCACGGCCACTGGCAGGTTTACATAGGGGAATTGCCAGCCTCGTGGGATTAGTCCTTGGGCCTAGGAAGCCTTTGGGAGACCCGCGGTTATTCAAAAAAAAAAAAAAAAAAAAAAAAGATAACGTTGCGTTTCTATTGTTGAATTTTTTTCATTTATTTTGTCTTTCTAACGGTGGGGATGTTGATGTATACATTTTAAACGTTCTAATGGTGCAATTAAAAAATAGTGAATGGAAAGCCCAATGGTGCGACAAACTGGTGAGCTAAAATCAGGTTGAGCCCAATGGGCCTTACGGCTTTCTCGCTTACTGTGCTATCGCTTCGAGTCTCACCCCCACTCTTTTCCCTTTTTCCTTTTTTGTTGCATTGATGAGTAAAGTAATAATGTGACTGATGAGCTTTTCTAAGTAAAAAAAAAAAGGATTCAATGGAGGATCATGAGAAGATTGATGGGAAGATGAAGAAGAAGAAGAGTGTGGCTTCGATTCCTGCTAACTACGTCTCCATTCTTCAGCTTCAAGAACGTTGGCTGAAGGAGAAAGAGCAGAAACAAAAGGAAAAAGACTTTGTAGAGAGAGGAGTGAAGCAGCAGGTTGATCATGGACAACGAAGGAGAGCAGAAGAAGAAGATGCAGTGAAGGCCATGGAAACAATAGTGAAACTCGGGGAAAAGGGTATGCAATGTGGTGTGAATCGTTGTAAAAATGAACCAAAAGGCGTTAAGAAAGAGGAAATTGAGGTCTCTGCAATAGTGAGCAGCAAGGACGACGTTGGAGGAGATTCGAGGGAGAAAAAGAAGAAGACTCCGGTGAAAGAGAACACTAGGAGAGCTTTCAAGCCCAAGGGAGAGAATGCTGCTAAGGAAGAAACTCAATTTTTTCAGAATCGCTGGATCAAGAAGAAAGTAGAAGAGGAAGGAGAGACAAGTGAGGTCAAGGAACCTGCGAGATTGAATAGCAAGCAAGGTTATTACCAAAACCAGAGACATGATTGGTCGTCTACACGTGTTATTAGGGCAACAACAAGTACTATGGTGTGGGTGAAGAAGGGTACGAACGACGGAGCTGCCGGTGAAAATGGCGTCTGAATTGTCGCTTAAAGGTTGCAACTTTGGATCATTTGTTTTCTAGGGTCTTAGAGTGATATAATCGAAGCTGAATGATAATGTGTGATTTTATCATGGTCTTCAAGTGTTGTAGGATTATTACAACTTTCCCCATAAGCATTTGGTTGTTGATGTCTAAGGGATGCAAGGTATTAGTTGTGTATGTAAGTAAATGTATATAATCTTGGGTCCATGTATGACTATGCAACAGTGTTGCTGAATCTAAACTTTAAGCCATTATGGTTGAGTTTGATATAAGGTCTCTCGTATATCGAATTTGTATATATATACTCCAACTAGGCAAATTAAGATGTACTTGTTACACAGTATGGGGAAGTATCTCCAGATAATATACACAGAGATTCAAAGGTCTCTTACTCAGACAGACGCTGGTGTTGGTGTTGATGTGGATGTTGAAGAAGCAACACGGTTTTCAGGTGGGATTTCTGTGAATTCAGATAGGACTGCTCGGAATTCATCGCCTGACATTGTCTCTTTCTCAAGAAGTATTTCAACAATCTTGTCCATGGCTTCACGATTGTTTCTAATGTGGCTTAAAGCTATCTCGTATGCTTTGTCTGATAATGTCTTCACCGCTGTATCGATATCATTTGCAAGCTTCTCAGACATTGAGTTTCTTGCCATCATCCTCATAATGACATCGCTTTGAGCCGATGAATCCATTAGCGACCATGGTCCAATTTCAGACATCCCAAATGTTGTCACCATCTGCAAGTAGATGATCATATACTGTCAATTTCATTCACTAGTTTAGGATAACAGAAAAAATACTGAAGCTGGGACTGTAGTAGATACCTGCTTAGCCAAACCGGTGATCTGTTGTAAGTCACTAACTGCACCAGTAGTCACCTCGGGCTCACCAAAGATGACTTCTTCAGCGGCTCTACCACCGAGTCCACCAACAATTCTTGCAAAGAGCTGCTGTTTGGAGATTAAAGTTGGGTCATCTGAGGGAATGAACCAAGTCAGACCTCTTGCCTGGCCTCGTGGTATCAACGTGACCTTTTGGACAGCATCATGTCCTGGAGTCAATGTTCTGCGAGAACGAGTAATAAACTTCAAACTAGGCTCTTGAAAACACACACACACATGCATCTAATCTGATTCTGACTTACCCACATACGGCATGGCCAACTTCATGGTAAGCAACCAAGCTTTTGCTCTTCCCATCTGTCATGACTGTTCCTTCCATGCCAGCTACAATTCTATCAATTGAATCATCGATCTCTTTTGATGATATTGCAGTCTTTCCACGGCGGCCGGCCAATATGGCAGCCTCGTTCAAGAGGTTTGCAAGATCAGCTCCGCTAAATCCGGGCGTTCTCATGGCTATTACTTCAAGTGAAACACCATTTTCAAATTTCTTATTCCCGGAGTGAACCTTGAGTATATCTGTTCTTCCCTTAACGTCTGGAACGTCAACAGATACCTGCATCAACAACAACACACGCTAAGCAACCAGCAATAAAGAAGATCAATGGAAAGTCACAGAGACAGGGCATTCTAATCAAATATATACCTGCCGGTCAAACCGCCCTGGCCTTAGCAAAGCGGAGTCAAGAATGTCTGCTCTGTTGGTTGCAGCCACTACGATAACACCAGTGTTACCCTCAAAACCATCCATCTCAGTCAGGAGCTGATTAAGGGTCTGTTCTCTTTCATCATTACCTCCACCAATTCCAGTTCCTCTTTGCCTACCCACAGCATCTATTTCATCCACGAAAACAATGCATGGAGCATTTTCTTTGGCTTTTTTGAAAAGATCGCGGACTCTTGAGGCACCAACACCGACAAACATCTCAACAAACTCAGAACCCGAAATGGAAAAGAAGGGTACACCGGCTTCGCCAGCAATGGCTTTTGCTAACAGGGTTTTCCCAGTGCCAGGAGGACCAACAAGGAGAACACCTTTGGGGATCCGGGCACCAACCGCAGTGAACCTCTCAGGCTTCTTCAGAAACTCCACCACTTCCATGAAATCCTGCTTGGCTTCATCGACTCCAGCAACATCATCAAAAGTTACACCAGTGTTTGGTTCCATCTGAAACTTTGCTTTCGACTGACCAATTTGGAGTGGGAAGCCAGGACCACCAGGGCCACCCATTCCACCAGAGGACCTTCTCGAGAGAAGAAACAAACCGCCAATCAAAATAACCGGGAATGCAAGATTCCCAATCAAGTTGAGTATCGGAGAACCTTGGTCTTCCTGAGCATTATGTGCTGCAAAATCAATATTCTTCGCCCTCAACTTCTGGAGAAGCTCCTGACTCAATCCAGGTAGCTGCACACGTACACGCTGAATCCGGTTACCCAACTCAGGAGAAACAGCCTCCACAATAGCTATAGTCCCATTCTCATACAAATCTACTTTCTCAACCCTTCCCTTGTCTAAATACTCTAGGAACCTAGAATAAGACATCCTAGAAGAAGAAACCCCTTGTCCTTGTTCGTCTGCATTTGCGTTTCCACTTGCAAGCAAACCCACTCCAGCTGCAGCGTTTCCTAGTAAGAGTTTGAAGAAACCTCTTCTTCCTTCATGTTTCTTCTCATCCAAAGAAGCCTTCACAACTGTAACTTTAGATGTCCTATCAAGCCCAAGCTTTTGAGACCTCTGTTTGGTTGTGTAGACAGATAATCCGTTCCCAATAAGACAAGCTGATGAAGCAGCCATCTGCACAGACGATTACAAGCCATGGCATGAACAAAACAAAAATATATCTGAACGAAGAACAACCAAACAAAACGAGACCTTTAACATGCAAGTTTCTGGTAAGAGTACAATCAACATGAGTGACCATTAGCGACGCATATGAACAAAGATTGGACCTTTTTTATGCTCCAAAAAAAATCTATTGAAATTGCCATTGGATATAACATTAATCTCCGTTTCAACACATGAATCCACCATTATTCGACATTCCTCAAGTCAAATTAAGAAGAAAACAAATAAAGACAAATAGACTTGCTGAACAAAACCCAGGTAGTAAGAATCATGCAACAAGTCAAACGATTTAAGATTACACAGAAGGAGCTAAGAGTGAAACGCACCTGGGGAAATTTGGCAGAAGAAGAGAAAGAGAGAGAAGGAGATTGTGTCTGGAGAAGAGAATGAAGCGTGGTATTTTTGAAGACAAGAGATGTGGCTCCGAACAGCTTACGTGGCTTCCTTTCAATGGCCTCACGCTTTTTATTTTAACTCATTCTTTGTCACATTTTTCCCTAACCATTTTTTTCACAAAAACAATCCTTAAGCATCCTTCAAAAATTATAGTATTTCAATCAATAAATTAACGTTCAAAATTTTTACATTATATAATTTAACTTATAATTAGACCCTTGTGAATGAATGAAAAAGATTGCAAGGTTATATTCCAATTCAACAAAAGAACATTTTATTTTCTATAAAATAAACATGTAAAAGTCAAAAAATATAACAACCAAAAAAAATGAGAGTTTTAGTAGAATAAGGAAAGCCACATGACGCAATTAGCAACCAAGCAAAATCCAAAGAAAGAAGACGTATTGAGTTTGGATACTAGTTTCTAACTTTCTGTCGACATAACCAACAAAATTACATAACAAAGACAGTTTACTACTACATTGGTTTCGTAGACAACTTTTGATCCAAGTACTCACTTATACATCAACTCACTCGCTTTTCCTGCTTACTTATTATCTTGAGCTTTTGCTTGTGAGCAAGACAATTAATCGGAAAATTGGACAAGCACCACAGAAACAATGCTTATCACTGTCTCTTTCCTCAATGGCTATGCAGCTAGAGATGTTCAAGATTACCTGATTCTTGGTGGATCTCATCTCTCTGGTGGATCTCATCACTCAAGTGTCAAGTGTCTCATACACCTCACTGGTTGTGATATGGAAGATTGCATAGCTTAGACTCAATATGAATTCATTCTTGTTCAGACGTACTAGTGTTCCCAGATTCTGATAAAGCAGCATGGCGTCCCAAGAGAACAAGGTCAAGAAGCTTCCTCCTCGCATGGTAAACTGGATTTGGATCTATCAAACGTCCTCTTTCATAAGCCTCTCTGAGAAACACAGTGTGCCTTTTCCCTTTAGTTGACATATAAAACATGCCCGGGTGATCTAAGAACAAATCTCTTATGTTCAAATCAATCCCAAAACATTTTCTGAAATGGCTGATCTTCTCTACCTCCACCATCTTTTCTACAGTCAGACTGAGAAACTCGTGAGTAATCGCAACCGCTCTTTTCTCTATTCCCATCACTCCGGATCTGTTCTTTTTCTTACCAACCATGTCCTCGTATGGCCCTACATAAGGCAGCCTCTGCCATTCCTTAACTTTAGCCTTAAAGGTCTTGCTCAGTCTCATTCCTGGTGGGTAACTATGTTTGAAACTAAACTGGAGTTCACTTCTATCGACACAGCAGTCCTCCTTAGAACACTCAACCACCCTCCATTTCTCAACCGCGGCCTCAAATTCCAGTCTTTTATCTTCTTCTTGAACCAGCTCTAAGATATGGGTATTGGGTTCATGACCATCACTAAGCTTAAAGAGATGAGGGTTCTTTAAGATAACAGAGTCCTCAAAATCATCTGGGAGCCCAAGTTCTCTCCAAACCTTGAAAACCGCACGAAGCGGAATGGACTTTGATATGGACATAGACAAGAGCCTAACCAACCGGTCAACAACAAGAGACAGAGTAGCAGTGATAGCCAAAGCCTCTTGGCGAGAAATCTCCAAGGCTACATCAGTTAACCTGCAAAAGGGCTCAGCTTTCACAGGATCATACAAGACATGAAAGATGTGAGGATATTTTCTTAAAAAAGAAGCAGCGCCACGGTTAAGGTGGAGCTTCTGGGAGAGCCTGGAGAGAAAGTCAATGGATAGAGAGGGAGGATCAGCTGTTGGATTGGCGAGGATAAGGTCTTGTATGGCAATGACCTTGAGAAGGTTCTTGTATTTGTCCATGAGCTTCTCGAAAACAGGGTCTCTTGATCTGGAAGCTACATATTGAGCAGACGTAGTCGTCGATCGGACATTGATGATGGAGCCACCACAAGGGTGAATCAGAATTGATCTCATGAGGAGGAACCTCATACTATCTCAAAGAGTCTATGGAGCTATCTTGGGTTCCCGCGTTCGACAACGATGCTGTAATACCCACCCTCTCTGCGGAATTATATCGAACACCTTACGGGCATCAAGAAAAAAAACGAAACTTCTGACCAATCTAGCCTCTGGTGTCTGGTCTATGGATCGAGACTCAACGAACCGAAAATGAAGTAGAAGAATTATATGGACCTTTGTATAATCATGTCCAAAAACACCTCAATAACTATATAAACCACACATATATAAGCTAAGTGATAAACGAATTAGCAGTTACTCGTACCGCTACAAAATTCATTCAAACTAATATAACACATTTCGATACAATTAATAGTTTAGCCTACTAAATAATAGTTTGATATCATAAATTTTGATAGGATAAATAATAAAGTTAATTTATGAAACTTATTTTTATGTTATGGATATGGAGGTTTTAATGCTATGAATTTTAAAAAAGTTTTTTTTACAAATGCTCGATATTGGATAAGTTTTTGACTTGCAAAGAATTAAAATGGTATGATGCGATTTCTATAATTAGTGTCAAAGCATCTAACAATAAACCATTCAAGTTCTTAGTATTCTTATATCATTTATGATTGTTTGATAAAAAAAATGTTTAAAATCAAAAGTTAATACTAATTGATCTCATTTACAAATCAATCTAATTTTTGTATTGGCAGTTTTGCCATTATCTATTAAATATATACTATAATTTACTTTTTTGGGATGAAAAAGATAATTGCCATTTATGATTTGTTTAAAAAAGAGGATAAAAAAAAGCACGCAAAAAGTAAAAGAGATGTACCCCTTAATTCCCTTTTTTTCCATAAATCAAATTGCCATAAATAAATTGGGGGAAAAAAGGTAAAAACAAGAATTTCCAGACTCTTAACGGAAGAAAAAAAGAAGATAATTTCTAAAATTTAAATTTAACAAAAGTTAAAAAGAAAAATAAAAGCGAATATAAACCGCCGAGATACGATTACACGATCAACACCGCGTTAAAATTAATTGGGGAGCAAGCTATTAGCTTAAGCTTTGTATGTTAAACATCTTAATTAATTAAAACAAAATCCGAGAAAAAAGGAAACTCAGGTACACCGAATTATATTTAAGAAAAGGATAAATACTCTTTTTTTACAAAGAACCCTAATGCTTTCACAATCAATCAAACAAAAGACTTCTCGTATTCATGCCTCTCCCTCCTAAGAATAAAACCCTAATTTTCTTCTGCAGAATTCATCATCATGAACGAGATTCATCAACCGATGGCGAGGAGAGTTTGGAGAAGCAACGTCGATGAAGAGATGGCTCGTATGGCGGAATGTCTCAAGAGATTCCCACTCATCGCTTTCGATACAGAGTACCCTGGCATTATTTTCCGTACTTATTTCGATTCCTCTAGCGACGAATGTTACAGAGCCATGAAAGGTAATGTCGAAAACACCAAACTCATCCAGTGTGGTTTCACTCTTTTCAACGCTAAGGGAGAGATCGGTGGCGTTTGGGAGATTAACTTCTCCAATTTCGGCGACCCATCTGACACACGCAACGAGATTTCGATCGAATTTTTGAGGAGACATGGTTTGGATTTGCAGAAGATTAGAGACGAAGGAGTTGACATGTTCGGCTACGGGTTTTTCCCAAAGCTTATGACTGTGTTTCGCTCTCAGAAACACGTTGAGTTCGTCACCTTTCAAGGAGCTTACGATTTCGCTTACTTCTTGAGCATCCTCAACAATGGGAAGCTACCAGAGACTCACGGAGAGTTTGCAACAGAGGTTGTCAAAGTGTTCGGTCAAGTTTACGACACCAAGGTCATGGCTGGATTCTGTGAAGGCCTTGGTGAACACCTCGGGTTAAGCAAACTAGCCCAGCTGCTTCAGATCACTCGTGTGGGAAGAGCACACCACGCTGGTTCAGACAGCTTAATGACTGCACTTGTCTTCATCAAGCTCAAACTGGTCTATGAAGATTCCAGATTTGCTAGAGGATTGATCTATGGAATTGGGAAAAGAAACCTCGTTGCCGCCCCTGCGCCTGAGCCTGAGCCGCCTGTTCCTTTGATGTGTCAGCAGAATGTAGCTTCATATCCTGTGTTCCATAATGGATATGTCCAAAACTATGAGCAGCCTCAGCTTGTCTCCTACCATCCTTCAGCTGCCCCTTGGGCGTTCTGCAATGCTACCGGTACGTATGTGCAGCTTACTCATCTACCTGCAAACACTTTTGCATACCCGTCTCAGACGCCATCTGCTGCAGTTGATTATCTTGGACCGGTTCCTAATTATTACAATAATAATGCGTGCTATGTAGTTGAGTAGATTGAAATTTCCCAGCTTTAGGATGATTAGATGCCTCTGAGCTTTTTCTTTTTCCTTTTTCTTTTCTGGCTTTTGGTAGTAGTAATGAAGACTTTATTTTATATATCTATGGATTGTTTACATGGCTTACTTTGAGTAATACCTGTCTGCAATCTGTGATATATAAAAGACCAAACTATTTTACATATCTTTCTTCAAGATTGATTTTTTTCTTTTCCACACAAACTGCATATATTATATATATCACACACAATGTTTACCGTATCTATATATGGTTCCAGAACGATGAACCCTCAAAGCTTTGGAATAACTATTCTCAGAATCCCATCCCTGTTCCAAACGCAATAATAAATTGGATGTTAGTGCTCTCTGTAAAACTTGCTAAACTATATCTAACTAATTCAAGCTAATGACTGACTGGCACTATTATTTAAAATTGGATTCTAAAACCTCTACTTTTTAGACAGAATCTATCATACGAACTCTAGTATTGGAAGTTTTAAGGAGAAGAGTTGTAAGATCATACGGTTGGATTGTTAGATAAGTATAGCTTTTACTTTACTTACATAAATTCAGCGGAAACATTATCTTTGTTCACATTGCTTGGGAGTGGCCAGGAAACTTTGAATGCTCCTTGTAGTATTTCTTGCTTATGATATCCAAGGATTGAAGCTTTGGTGCCTGCATCAACTTTTTGACAGATAGATGTGCGTCTACCTGTCACAGTCAAGCTGCAGCAGAACGGTAAGTACCTTTGTTACACAATGCATTTTAAGTGTGTGAGTAATGGGAAAAGATTGAAAAGATGTGTATCAGTTACTTTATGTTGTCGACCTCCACTCTTATATCATTGATACTGGCCCCTGGTAGCTCTATTGCCACAACATAGCTGTGTTTGGATTCAGCAACATTCGATCTGGGAGACCAAACAGTACCTGCAAAAGAAAAAAACTTCTATAAGTTCTCATGTTCATTTGTAAAGATTTGTTTGAAGAAACGGATGCTAGTTTCTCTAAGAGTATCAGGTTATAGGATTAGAAAAGTAGTGTAATTGGAGTGGAATACACCTATATTTGTATTCGTACCTAAATTGGCTAATTTAGGAAGATCAAGTTTAGGCCTTTCCATTTGCAAATTTGGTGATACAGAAGAAAAGGCGAAGTCCTCTTTTGCAGGCTTAGAAAATTGTGGTGCAGCGTACGCAGGTGAAGAAGAATCAAAGCCAGTCGTTTTGGTTGCAGAACACTTGGTAGATGCAGCATCCTGTGGTATGGTCCTCTGCAAAAACATTTTGAATCAATTCTCTTTTATAGAAGTATAGAACTATATGCAAAAATGTTACTCAAGGAATTGATGGTACCTCATTAGTCGAAGCCTGCCTCATAAAAAAACCCTGTGCAGAAGATGCTTGCCGAGCAAAATACAGCCTGTTGTCACCCCTTCTAATGACAGAGTTCTTCAAATTCATGCCTAAGTTCTGAATCATCACAAATGATAAAAGAGGTTAATGATGTGGACATATTTACATTGCAGATATGACTCCTTTGGCTAATTATAGTCACCAGAGAAGAAGGAACTTGAAAACATAATGAAGAACTTATGGTACCTCAAGGACATCATCGGGTGAAGCTTGCCTCATAAAGAAACCCTGTTCAGATGATGCTTGCCGGGCGAAAGAGATTTTGTTGTCACACCTTTGGATGACAGAGTTCAAACTGCTGCTACAGTTCTGAGGCATCACACGAATAAGAGATCCATTAGACCAACATAAAGGAAACACTGAACCAACCTATTTGCTGAGGCAGGATCAACTACAAAAAGCATATCAGCTTTCCATTGTAACACCTCTGAAATAAATCAAGGTTGAAGTCCAAAGGAATCAGACTAACTGTTCCTATTATATAAATCCCTCTTGTACTTGGTCGATCTGATGCAATTTTGCAAGTAAATTCACAGCGAGATTCGAGATCGTTCAACATACGAGATCAGAAAGAAAAAAAAAACCATCTAACGAGTAAAGAAATTCACGAAGTCGAAGAAACCTAGAAGAACGAAATTCAGAGAGAGAGAAGGGAAATACCAAGGGGACGAGAGTTGCGGTGGAGGCGGGATCGTAACTGGTTGGCGGGAAGTGAGCGGCGACGGCAGCGAGCCTGCGTCGAGCGGTGATAGATTCATGCTCCATCTCTGATTTCTTCGATCGATGGAGAGATAGAGAGAAGTGATTGCAGTGAGGACACAGGATTGATGAAAAAATGAGTGGCTTTAACTTGGCGCGCTGGATTCGAAAATATCTTCTCAAAGATGATTAAAGATTTTTTTCTTCCGGGGAAACGGACAAGAATGACAACGACCCGTTTTTAATGGGAAAAAAAAAAAAAAAATTCTCCACACTCATTTTTTTATTTTTTATTTGTTTGGTTCAATATTTTTTCTCCAAAACGCAAAAAATAAAATAGCTTGAACTCCTTTAAAAATGGAAATTATTAATTCTTGTGAATAAAATATTTGTAATCTGTGCAAAGGTAAACGCAAGTTGCATTGCAGAGACTCCGAGCGGTAATGATTTCGTAAAAATTCACCAAACTCTAACAACCAGCGGTTGCGACTCCAAAATCAATCTATCAATACACACACAAAGTTCCTGCAGCTCTGATCAGATCCAACAAGCCGATTCTTCTCTCTTCGTAGGTCTTTCTCTTCCAATCTTGCGAAATTTTTATTTTCCCTATCGGGATTATGCTGATTTCATAGTTCGCTTTCGATAGCTTTGAATCTCTGAACTTTGAGCTCACTCCCGATCCAGATTGAGAGGATTTCTCTTTTCGTTAATGCGTTGATTGGTTTTTGAGCTCGGAATCATTGAGCTTTTCCTGATTTGGATTGATTGGAGTTTCATTCTTGTTTCGCATTTCATCTGATTTCTTGAAAACTCAGATTCATTTGAATTGGTTTCCTTCTTTGTACGTGTTTGTTTTTTCTAGGTTCCAGTGACGTATTAGTCTGTTCTTGAAGCGGCCCTGTTAAAGAATGGTTATGTATTCAAATTTTTCCTGTCGGTGAACTCTTTTGGTTCTTATCAGATAAAATGTGGCTTCTTTTCATTCGGTTGAAGATGTTGTGTTTCAATATTGGCATCAGCATATTAGAAGCTAGCCTTGATTGAAATGTGGCTCTTGTGTGCTTGCTTGCTTTGCTTTCCACTTTCTCCTGAGGATTTTCTCACAGAAAATCTTGACTTGCTTAAGCTTGTGTTTGTGATTCTAGGTCAAGCGTCAAGTAGTTCCAGAGAATTGCATTGCAAGTTCGCCAACATCTTAGGTTCCTACCTTCTCCGAATTCAGTTAGCCCGCTGGGATATGCGAGAGGGAGTTGGACACTGAACCATTTGAACATATGCGTATATCGTGACCATTGTGTCAAAGATAAAACTTTCTTCCTTGAAATTCCCAAGCAAGGAAGCTGTCCATCACAAGGGGTACTCGTATTTTTCAAAATCCCTGTTGAGTAAATAAAGGCTGTGATTACTAGATCGCATGCTTTGTCAGAGTGGTCTGTGAATGGAAGCCAAAAAGGTTTGCTGGTGAGTTTAGATTATTGATGGAGCAAAGAGTGCAGCTCCGTGGTGGTACAATAGAAGCTATAACCAATCAGGTAGATGTAGACAGAGAACAGGTTTTAGAGCCGTTTGATATTGAAAATGAGACCGGGAAGGAGACAAACGGCTCCAGAAGTTTTGATGTTGGTTACAGTTCCGGTGATAACCTCGAAACATTGCCTAAAGCGTCAAAAACGGATATCTCTCCTGCTGACGTGCTTAAAACACTGTTCTTTATACTTGTATGGTACACTTTCAGCACATTTTTGACTCTGTAAGTATGTCTTTGCGACTAACGTTTTCTTTTTTTTTCCTTTAATTCCTTACAACTAGCATTTAATTTGCTTGCTTATTTTCTAGGTACAACAAAACTCTCTTAGGAGATGATTTAGGGAAATTTCCTGCTCCCTTATTAATGAATACCATTCACTTTTCTATTCAAGCTGTTTTATCAAAAATGATAACATGGTATTGGTCGGGGAGATTTCAACCTGATGTTACCATATCATGGAGAGACTATTTCGTTAGAGGTAAACTAACAAAACCAGGGCATTCCTTTAGCCATTGCTTTCTACTTTATTCTCACTACATAGTACTGAGAACTTTCTGCAACTTATGCAATGCCATTATCATCTACAGTATTTAGTGAGGACGAGAGAGGAGGATTTAGTGTTTTTTTCCTGTTTCGGTTTTTCGAAAGTTGAATAGATTGAATTTGCATGAACTGATGACCCACATGGACTGTCCCTTTCACAGTTGTACCAACAGCGCTTGGAACTGCTATGGATATAAACCTAAGTAATGAGTCACTTGTCTTCATATCGGTTACATTTGCAACAATGGTTAGTTATTTTATATACTATGGTAGGTCTATGCAACTTCTTAGGAATTTGCGGGTGAAACAAGGTGAGACATATCTAATGATATTCATGTGTTTTTTTCATTTGCAGTGCAAATCTGCAGCCCCAATATTTCTTCTTCTGTTTGCTTTTGCCTTCAGGTGCTTTATACATCACGATTGTTTGTTTATTTATCCTGATTTGTACTTTACAATTTTATCAATTGTAGACTATAGCTCTAGTTAAAACTTCCAATCAGTTTTGCTTCTTCTCCACATTCTTAGCGGTTGATGCAGTAATTTTTGTATACACATACATTTATTATCTCATTGATTTAATGCTGCACTTTCATCATGGAGTATTTCTATCATTTTTGTTTGATGTGTTATTCTGAGACAATATTTCTCTTGTAAGGCTGGAGTCTCCAAGCCTGAAACTTTTTGGCATTATTTCAGTGATCTCAGCAGGAGTGTTGTTAACAGGTATGTTTTTCTTCGTCATTTATATTGCTTTGTACTCCGTTGTTCTTCCACCTGTTTGCTACAATATCTATCTAGAAGTTTTTAGTTGATTTTTTTTCTAAATCAAAGCCGTTAAACTTGTTATTTTCTCACCATCAAGTATATTTACTTGCATCCAGTTGCAAAGGAGACAGAATTTGAGTTTTGGGGTTTCGTTTTTGTCATGCTTGCTGCTGTCATGTCTGGTTTCCGCTGGTGTATGACACAAGTTCTTTTGCAGGTATATTATTTAACTCAGTTTAATTTCTGTTAAACATAAATTGGATCTTTATATATTAACTCTTTACCTTTACTTTTTGTGGTTTTTGTCTTCCAATGTTTTGGTTCATCCTGATGACAACATGATGTGTAGAAAGAAACCTTTGGTGGGTTCTGCTCTTGGTGTTTTCAAATCTATAATTGTCGTTCTTAGTTTCTTAAAAGTCACAAGACATATAAATAAATTTATACTTTTTTTTTGTTTTGTTTATTTAGGCCTGAAAAATCCATTCATATTCATGAGCTGTGTGGCACCAGTGATGGCTATAGTGACTGGTCTTCTTTCTCTCCTTCTGGATCCATGGAGTGAATTTAGAGACAACAAATACTTTGATAGTGGAGCACATTTTGCTCGAACTTGTTTTTTGATGCTTTTTGGCGGAGCACTGGCTTTTTGTATGGTGAGCATTTACTAATCTTATGTAAGAGTGAACTTTTCTTGATATGTGAAGGTTGAAGCATCTTTTGAAACTCTAGTTTCGTATCTGATCAGTCTTCCATGCTCACTATTTAATATTTTGTTTCAGGTTTTGACAGAGTATGTCCTTGTTTCCGTAACCAGTGCTGTAACCGTCACAATAGCAGGCGTTGTTAAAGAGGCTGTCACCATAGTGGTATGTCCTATATTCTTAAACTTTTTGGATTGTTTATAAGTATGTTTCATTTAATATTATAAGTTTATAACTTCATGCTTGTCTTAATTCACCAGTTATATATTCGTAAGATTAGGTTAAACTGAGTTTTTTAATGAAAAGGGTGATCTAACTGATGAGGTCTAGATTGTAAGTTCTGATTTCCTTCTGTTCTTAAGCAAGAAAGTCCGAACTATATCCGATTGAAACCTTGCGGTGATGTTCTAGACAAGAGACTGATATCTTAAGATGGTGAGACTATATCGCTTCATAGGATGGATTATAGTTCATGTCTGGCCTTACGATGTTGTTATAGGTCAATAATTGTTTACAAAAGGGAGACCGATGAAACAGAACTAATGTCTGTAGAATTGGCTTCTCTCGTTCACTATGATGTGCTTTAACTACATGTCCCTACATCCAGACAACTTTTGTTTGTCTAGACATTTGTATCAGTGCTGCTGTTGAGTATTTCTTCATTGTGTTGTTACAGGTTGCAGTGTTTTACTTCCACGACGAATTTACGTGGCTGAAAGGTGTGGGTCTGATGATTATTATGGTTGGTGTCAGTTTGTTCAACTGGTACAAGTAAGTAATTCTCTTCTTTGTTTAAACATCTGATATGCTGGTAAATGAATACAATGTCATATTTGTATGTTGAAACCGGTATATGCTTTTGATGTCTTGTCAGATACGATAAACTACAAAAGGGTCACAAAACAGAGGATGAGACGCAGTTACAAGCTCCAAGTCAAACTGGAAAATATGTGATTCTTGATGAGATGGATGATCAAGAAAATAGTCCCTAAGAATTTTATTTTTTTTGGTTACAATCACATGATCTGGTAAACCCCTTTTAGGCTGTTACATCATTAATGTGGAAGCATGTGGACCTTCCTTGAGAAAATACTATAAAATACTTTTTAAGGCAGATGAATTCGAAATTTGATGTTTCCCTGCCTTAAAAATGATAGAAGAACATAACCATTTCAACAAATTTTAAAGGGAAAAAGTTTAGTAGTGGAACAAATTTCACATGTCTTTTGTACCCATTTTCTTGAGAGTCGTCTCTGTTCTAATCTTCTCACATGTCTTTTGTACCCATTTTCTCGAGAGTCGTCTCTGTTCTAATCTTCTCAAGAAATTGAATAACAGAGTCTTAAACTCTACGAGTCCAAATGCCGAAACTGGAGAATCTGTCTCGAAAATTATAATCTAGAACTACATAATGGAATGATCAGATTACAGATAAATTATAATTAAGCTTATTTGTATAAAATTGAGGCTAACACTAAAGCCAGTATAGTATATGAATTGGAAAGAATAATATAATGAGAGAAATAAAAAAAGAAGGATCAGATGTGGCATCCACAACAAAGGTAGAAGAAGCAGAGCGTCGAAACGAGAACAAGAGCTTCGACTACATACATGACTTTGTAAACTACTCCGTCTACTATCTCTGTCACCATTATTATCTCCACTCGCTTCCACTTTGCCGACGACGACGACGTAGAAAACAGATTCCTTAATCGCTGCCATGTCTGCGTTTCTTTGGCCGTCTCCTCTTGTTGCTGCTTCTTCTTCTTCAACGACGCCCACTTCATCATCACTCTCATTCTCTACGTCCCTTTCTCTCTCTCTCTACTACATACATAGACATAGTCCTGTCGCGGTGCAGCATTCTTATACTATGGAGAGGAGACGGGGGTAATTTTGTCTTTTGTGAATAGGTTAGATAACGGGGTATTATTGTCAAATGTGACTATGGAAGAAGGAATGAGATACCCCTTCACCTTTTTCTTAGGAAAAGGAAAAAATAGCTGGCGAAAGGTGGAACCGTGGAAGGGAAGCAGGGTCATTTTCGGTATTTTCGTAAAGTTGGTCCAGCAGTTTCGCTTTTTTCCAGAAGGATCCACTAAGACAATGCTAACGGTCGTTTCTCTCACGTTGCTACAAATGTCACACTTAATATGAAGGGCCACATTTATTGAACAAATTTTATTCATGTAATGATGTAGTGTCGTAAGGAACTAGGTATATTTTCTTTTTTTTGCTTGATGCAAAACAGCTTGTCAACTTTAGCTCTGCGACCATGAAAGTGAACCTACTTGTCTCTACCAACAATTTGTGACATTATATAGAGAGCCGTTCTTTTACCCTTTTTAAAGATTATCAATCATGCCTTCATCCTTTTTAAAGATCAATCGAAAGTTGTGTAATTTACATTTTCTTGTTAATTTGTTATATGCACATGTAGTTTTGGGTTAAAATCTATAATGTGGCCATGTTTTAAAACATGAAAATATAAATTATTTCTTTTCAATTTGAGAATGTTTATAGTAAAAGATTTAGATTTGACATGACCGTAACAGTTTCCATGTAAACTGTGGACTTATCTGTAGTTCAAATGGCTGTTTGAGTAATGTACAGTGTTTTTTTTTTTACTGAATTCTATATTACTTTGATTTTAGAAAGAATTTTGGACTTTATAAGAAGATGTTAAACCAAGAAGACCGAACCAAAGTTTTTCTTTACCTTGACGCAGCTTATCGAGTTTTCTACTCTCCGACAAAATTGGTAAAGAAGAAAGAATTAATAAATAAATAAATAAAACCAAGATAGTAGTCTCTTAGTATGATCTTATCGATCGACGACTAGCTACCAGCACAACAACATCAACTTATCTCAACTCTTTCTCCGACACATGGACACATATATGATCATGAGTTGTTATATCGCCATGCTCATTCGTTTGATTGGATTTCGTTCTTTATAAGCAAATAATAATTGATACTTAATATTTATAAAGTTACGGGGATACGATATTATTAGCAGGGGATACGCGCGATACTATTCCAACTAATCTATTAACTTAATTTTTTACGGCAATAATAGGTTGAAGTAGTAGCTGAAAACAATAATAGGTTGAAGAAGTCAAATTAGCTGGAAACAAATTTGACCGTTAAGAAAGTTGATTTGTCCAGATATTTAGTTAAGCCGGCCGAGGGATTATGATTTAATTAGAATAGTTTAGAGTTATAATTATCACACTTTGTATTTTCTTTTTTTTGAAGCATTCTTGAGAATTCCAGTTAAGAAACCTACACTAATTAATTGCCAACAAAAAAAAGATGGCAACTGTGAAAACGGAATGTAAGCGTACAAATATGAAACGTCAACTATGCAAAGTGTGGAACTGTTCATGAACATGTTTGTAATTAGAATTATAACATAAATTTAATTAAGGAATGATATACTGTGAAATAGTTGTTGTTACATTCATAAACTAATTGGGAGGTAATATACTTGATTTTACCGTTTGCCATCCATACTCATGTGCCCCAAGTTGTTCACACCAATACCTTAAAAAAATGCATTTTTAGCCAACTTATAATATAACTCGACTACAAACAACTCACACAAACAATTGTGTACTACAATGCGTAGACTATTAACACAAAGGCCCATTAGCTCAGTTGGTTAGAGCGTCGTGCTAATAACGCGAAGGTCGCAGGTTCGAAACCTGCATGGGCCAATTGGTTTTTTCACTTCTTCCTTTCTAACTTCCTTTTGCTGCTCAAAAGAAAAACATTCTTAAGAACCCATGGCCCAGAAGTTGGCCCAACGAGTTGTTTATTTCCGTGTCGTTGTGCGAGCATAATAACGGCACGTTGTTAATTAGTAAAAACCTAAAACGTCATGTAGTCTAAATACCCTATAGCCGTTGCGTAGCCGTCCTCTCTGGCTCCACCTTTAGTCTCCGTTTCGACTTCCCCGAGAAGCAATTCTCCAGACTTTCCCGGGAAAAAGTAATCCCGGAAAATCTCGTAAAGGAGAATAAGGGATTCAAAATCCTCGTCCTGGGTTTGCTTTCTTACCTATTAATGGAAAAAGTCACAGCTCAAAAGCGAGTGAAAGAAAAAATCAATTCTTTTTCTGTGTGTAAAAGAAGCCACAAATCGAGAAATCAATTTTTTAGAATATCTCCTTTAGCATTCCTTTCTTCCTCGTAGAGCAATCGTATAACCCTAAACCCCACTCCACGAATCTCATCTCCTGTTCCCGCTTCACTTTCTTCTGCACATATATATATTCACAAAAAGGGGGAAGAAGAAGATGGGTATTAAGATAATCATCGATTCTTCGAGTATTGAAGAAGAGGAATTTGAAATTGATCAGTTATGGCGAGTACTAGTGGTGGAAGAGCCGAAGATGGGCGGCCGCCGCAGATGCAGCCAGTTCGGTCTATGTCTCGGAGGATGACACGAGCTGGGACCATGATGATTGATCATCCTAATGAAGATGAAAGTGCTATTGACAGCGAGCTTGTTCCTTCTTCTCTCGCTTCCATTGCTCCCATTCTTCGTGTTGCCAATGATATTGAAGAAGATAACCCAAGGGTTGCTTACCTCTGTATGATTTCTCAAACTTTTTTATATTGAAGAAGATAAACACTTGGGTTTGAATATTTCAATTGGAGCTTAATCAGTTTAGAGTAGTTACTTGAGTCTTATGGCTTTCTCTGCAAGTGTTTAGTTTCAACTACAGAGGCACTGAATCCGATTTATGATGTGTCCTGTTTATTGAAATAACGAAATCTCAAATGCATATGAGAAGGAGTGTCTCTGTGAATGAGGATATCAAGATCTCACTTTACTTTATTCTCTTTTGTTAGGTCGCTTCCATGCATTTGAGAAGGCTCATAGAATGGATCCAACATCAAGTGGACGAGGCGTTCGTCAATTTAAGACCTATCTATTGCACAAGCTTGAGAAGGTGAATAGATTTCATGATTGGCATGCTTTTCTTTTTGATGAATTGGAGTATGCAGATAAACAATGTTTATTTTACTTGTGGAGTCTACAGCCAAAATGTGAACTCAACAACAATTTTTTTACATTTGAATGTAACTTGAGATAGTAGTTCTTGAATTTTTGTTTTTTCCTTTAGGAGGAAGAGATTACAGAACCTATGCTGGCGAAGAGTGACCCGAGAGAAATTCAGTTGTACTATCAGACCTTCTATGAGAATAATATACAAGAAGGAGAAGGGAAAAAGACACCGTGAGATCTCTTCTTAATATTTTGAAGTCGTTACATGAGAAAGATTTAAATGATATCTCCTAACTCTTTTGCTTCTGTCGATTTTGTCATTATAGGGAGGAGATGGCCAAGCTTTACCAGATAGCGACAGTCTTGTATGATGTTTTAAAGACAGTGGTTCCTCAAGCAAGAATTGACGAGAAGGTTGATTTGTGTTCTCTTACATTCTGATAATAAATTATCATGAAGAGGGTAATTGTGTCACTTGACATTTTGCTGTTTTTTGAATGTAGACCCTTAGATATGCCAAAGAAGTTGAAAGAAAGAAAGAACAGTATGAACACTACAACATTCTTCCCTTGTACGCTTTAGGGGCTAAAACTGCAGTAATGGAACTCCCGGAGGTTGCATGTGCAAATCTTGCCTACTTAACTTGTTCATCATTTTGGTCATTTTGAATTCTCACTGATATTTCTTTTCCATTATAATTCAGATTAAGGCGGCAATTATTGCTGTCTGCAATGTTGACAATCTTCCTCGGCCAAGATTCCATTCAGCCTCAGCTAACCTGGATGAAGTGGATAGAGAAAGAGGCAGATCTTTTAATGATATTCTCGAGTGGCTTGCTTTGGTTTTTGGTTTTCAGGTAACTTTCAAGTTCCTTTCTTTGCTATTTTTAAAATTTTTTATTCCATGAAATATGTCATGATTAGTCTTCCTATTTTCATGGTCAAAGCGAGGAAATGTAGCTAATCAGAGGGAGCATCTCATACTGCTACTTGCCAACATCGATGTGAGGAAGAGGGATCTCGAGAATTATGTCGAGGTAAATTTTTGTAATTTGTGGGCGAAGACAAAGCTTCCTTCTCTTAAGGATTTTACAACTATTTACTAACTTCAAGGAAAATCTAGCTAAAGCCTAGCACCGTGCGGAAGTTGATGGAAAAATACTTCAAGAATTACAGGTCATGGTGCAAGTATTTGCGGTGTGAGTCATATTTGAGGTATCATTATCTATTCGATAAATCAAGTTATTAAATTTTGAGTAATTTCAAGAAAAAAAAAACTTCCCTTACATCTCTTCTACTCTAAAAATTATTTCTGCTGGTTGATGGTTTTCGTATTGGCAGGTTTCCTCCAGGTTGCGATGAGCAACAACTGAGCCTTTTGTATATCAGCCTTTATCTTCTCATATGGGGTGAAGCATCAAATGTCCGCTTCATGCCTGAATGTCTTTGCTACATTTTCCACAATGTAGGTTTTCTAAGTTCAACGTTCTTCCTTTCCTCTTATTTTGTTTCCACAAAACAAATAACAACGGACACATTAATTTATATGTGTACTTATGTTTTTAAGGAACATCCTTATAGTATAAATTACATTTAAGTAACAATGTTGTTTTCTTAAATTTTCTTGTGAAGATGGCCAATGAAGTCCATGGAATTCTATTTGGCAATGTGTACCCTGTAACTGGGGACACATATGAGGCAGGTGCACCTGACGAGGAGGCATTCTTAAGGAATGTTATAACACCAATCTACCAGGTCTTACGTAAGGTACGTAACTTTCTGAAGCAGTTTCCTTTTTTTCCCTTGCATATTGCTTCTTTCTGCTAAGAAACAGCTTCTTTTGTGAATAAAGGAAGTCAGGAGAAACAAAATGGGAAAGGCAAGCCATTCAAAATGGAGAAACTATGATGATCTGAATGAGTACTTTTGGTGAGTTTTCTTAGCTTGATTTGCCATTATATGTATTAGTCAAGTGTTTCTCTCTGAGCACATTCATTTTAATTTTTAGGGATAAGAGGTGTTTTAGGCTGAAATGGCCAATGAACTCTAAGGCAGATTTTTTCATCCACACTGATGAGATCTCACCACTTCCGAATGAGGTTTGTTTATTTATTACTACTTAAGCAGTTTAATTTTATCTTTATCTTTAATATGGAGTTTAACATTGTACCTTGGAAATATTTGATAGAATGAATATCCTTTTATATCATATCCAAATACTTACTTGCTTCGATTATCATTTAATTCTGAATCCAGAATACTTCTGTTTTCATCCTTTATGAGCATTACCAATGAATTTTTATTAATTGCAGAGACATGACCAAGTATCTCATGGAAAAAGGAAACCTAAAACTAATTTTGTTGAAGCTCGCACGTTTTGGAACCTCTATCGAAGTTTCGACCGAATGTGGATGTTCCTTGTATTGTCTCTACAGGTAGGATTCTAAATTAGAATTCTCACTCAACTTCTGGTCTGATACATAAAATGTATGTAATAATTCTATGTTTTTTCAGACTATGATAATAGTTGCATGGCACCCGTCAGGATCCATTCTTGCCATTTTTTATGAGGATGTCTTTAGAAACGTGTTAACCATTTTCATCACTTCAGCTTTTCTTAATCTTCTACAAGGTAACTTCTAATTCCGTTTCAGTTTGACATTACCCATATGCTAAATATGTATAACGCATATTGGTATAATCATTTGTTTTTCTATGAATTGCAGCGACACTGGATTTAATTCTTAGTTTTGGTGCTTGGAAGAGCCTAAAGTTTTCCCAAATTATGCGGTACATCACGAAATTTTTAATGGCAGCCATGTGGGCCATCATGTTGCCAATTACTTACTCGAAGTCAGTCCAGAATCCAACTGGACTAATAAAGTTCTTCAGCAGCTGGGTTGGGAGTTGGCTTCACCAGTCGTTATACAACTATGCTATTGCCTTATATGTCTTACCAAATATTTTGGCTGCTGTGTTTTTCTTACTTCCACCTCTGCGGAGAATCATGGAGCGATCAAACATGCGAATTGTCACACTTATCATGTGGTGGGCTCAGCCTAAATTGTATATTGGTAGAGGAATGCATGAAGAAATGTTTGCACTTTTCAAGTAAGGAAAAATGATCTTATTCATTGTAGTTTTCTTCTCTATTTTTTCTTATAAACCTCTTATTGTTGCAAACTGGACGTGGTATGATAATATTGGTCACAACTCTGTTTATGCTTCCAAATGATTAATATTTCTGCTCAATTCATGATGTCTTAGGTATACATTCTTTTGGGTCATGCTGTTACTAAGCAAGCTCGCTTTCAGCTACTATGTGGAGGTAAATTAGCTTCTTATGCTGAAACTTATAACTCATTTTTTTTTTCTACTGATAGAATGTAGACTCTTATGTTTACCTTTAATATTACCCTCATTTAGTTTCACATTCCTTCACTCTATGATGTCTATTAGGCAGATTGTAGTCGTAAATATCATCTAAATCTGTGCTATAAGCATCCTTTTGTTGCAGCTATATTTTAACATGTATACTGTTGATGATGCCTGGACAGATATTACCACTTGTCAACCCAACGAAGTTAATATGGGATATGCATGTCGTAAATTACCAGTGGCACGAGTTCTTTCCAAATGGTAGTGATCCTTACTCATAGCGTCCTCATGTACTGCCATCAACTACTTTTTATATTAACATAATATATGATATTCATGCAGCCACTCATAACATTGGGGTAATCATCTCCATATGGGGTCCAATTGTCTTGGTAAGTAATCTGTATTGAATAACTTGAAAAGAATATTTCCAATACCCTGAAGTTTAATTCATGTTTAGGTTTATTTTATGGATACACAAATATGGTATGCCATATTCTCTACTCTATTTGGTGGGATATATGGAGCTTTCAGCCATCTCGGGGAGGTAATTGTTGAACTTCTCTTAGTATACTGCATATTTTTCTTAGTTATTTAACCTCCATTTTTACTTTTGCAGATACGCACACTTGGAATGTTGCGGTCCAGATTTAAACTTGTTCCATCTGCTTTCTGTATTAAACTTACACCGTTATCTCCCGGTCATGCAAAGAGAAAGCACTTGGTATTAGCCACACACGCAACTTTAATGATAAGACAGTGTATGCCAACAATTTTTATTTTGTGGGTGAAAATGTAACATTTGAGTAATGCAGGACGACACAGTGGACGAAGAAGACATTGCGAGGTTCTCACAGGTGTGGAATAAGTTCATACTTACTATGCGGGATGAAGATCTGATCAGCGATAGGTTTGAGGACTTTTTCTCTTGTATAGACTGATCACAGTTACCTCCTAAGTTCATTTCATAAACATAATCGTGTTCTTTGCTTCTTTGGTGTGTAGGGAAAGAGATTTGCTACTTGTACCTTCGTCTTCTGGAGATGTTTCTGTTGTGCAATGGCCTCCTTTCTTGCTTGCTAGCAAGGTAAATAGTACAGCTCACTCAGTAACCTCTTCACACCATCCATTATCTCTTCTTGCTGAATTGTATTTACCTTTTGGTAACAGATTCCAATAGCATTAGACATGGCTAAAGATTTCAAGGGAAAAGAGGACGTTGACTTATTCAAGAAAATTAAAAGCGAATACTATATGCATTACGCAGTGGTTGAGGCTTATGAAACCGTGAGAGACATAATATATGGCCTTCTTCAAGATGAATCTGATAAGAGGTGAGTATTTCTCAACATCCAATCTTAACCTAATTGAGGATGGCCTACTAACTATACTACTGCTGTCTTCCAATCTATATAGGATTGTACGGGAGATTTGCTATGAAGTAGATGTTAGCATCCAACAACATAGATTTTTAAGTGAATTCCGGATGACTGGTATGCCTTTGCTCAGTGACAAGCTAGAGAAATTCTTAAAAATCCTGGTAATGTAAATATAGAATAGTTTTTTGCGCTCAATACCAATACTTATCATTTGTGTGTGTTAATTCACTCCCCCTCTCTAAATGAATTTTTGTCCTGTTGACAGCTAAGTGATTACGAGGAAGATGAAACTTACAAGTCTCAGATAATCAATGTTCTCCAGGATATTATTGAAATCATCACGCAAGATGTTATGGTTAACGGTCATGAGTAAGTCCTGATAGTTCTTATGTAAAAGTTTGCCTCATTTCCTATGCAAGAAAAGCTCCTCTGTTTTTCTTCTCTCTGTTTCCAACAATCCTTGATTGTGTAAGCTTAAAAAACTTCTCCATGAAACATGCTTTGTCATTCTACCTGTAGAATCCTTGAAAGGGCTCATTTTCAAAGTGGTGATATTGAAAGCGAGAAGAAAGAACAACGGTTTGAAAAGATAGATCTTCGTCTGACTCAGAACATATCTTGGAGGGAAAAGGTACACAATTTTTTCTTTGTCTGATGTAAACAGCCATATCTCCCGCTTTTGGATCTCATTCTTTCGTTCTAATTTTGTAGGTTGTAAGACTTTTGTTACTTGTGACTGTTAAAGAATCCGCAATAAATATCCCTCAAAGTTTGGAAGCTCGTCGTCGTATGACATTCTTTGCAAATTCCTTATTCATGAATATGCCAGATGCTCCCCGAGTTCGTGACATGTTATCCTTTAGGTACATGTTATAGCTTAATACCTCAAGAAAAATACTGTTGAATCACAACTTTGATAAATACAAGTTAGAATGGTCCTAGACATGATCCGAGTCTTCTTCTGTTTTATACTTTTAAATGATCTTGAAAGCAAGTAACCATTGTTTTCCAAAATATATGTTTAGTGTCTTAACTCCTTATTACAAAGAGGATGTTCTCTATTCGGAGGAAGAACTGAACAAGGAAAACGAAGATGGAATAACTATTTTGTTTTACCTACAGAGGATATATCCTGGTAAGCTTCTATTTTGGTGCTTTTTTACGTGTTTATAACAAATTTAAAGTTTACTGAATGAAAATGACTGCATAACAGAGGAATGGTCAAACTATTGCGAACGTGTAAATGATTTGAAACGGAATTTATCTGAGAAAGACAAGGCTGAGCAACTCCGCCAATGGGTATCTTATAGAGGCCAGACCCTTTCAAGGACAGGTATACACTATCAAAACGTTGTAGGATTTTCTGATATGTTGTATTCGCTCTGCGATCGCTAATATTCCTTACTATTGCTAGTTAGGGGAATGATGTACTACAGAGTGGCTCTCGAACTTCAATGTTTCCAGGAATACACTGGAGAAAACGGTTTGTACTTATTCTCCATTCGTAATATATTGACAGATTTTGTGGTTTGGCCTTCTCTGTCTAAGTATCTTCCACTGCTTTATTTAGTTGTCAAAACTTCTTGGAAAGTTAATCTTGCTTGCTACGAAGTTTTGTAATATGAACTCTATTTTCTTCATGCAGCTACCAATGGTGGCTTTCTTCCCTCAGAATCAAATGAAGATGATCGAAAGGCTTTTACTGACCGTGCACGAGCTCTTGCAGATTTAAAATTCACATATGTGGTGTCATGTCAGGTCTATGGGAACCAGAAAAAGTCAAGTGAAAGCCGGGACCGGAGTTGTTACAATAACATTTTACAGCTCATGCTAAAGTAAGAAAGTTCTCGTGTTTGAAATGAAACTTTCATATGCTTATTCTTCTAGCTTAGTTTTAATTATACATTATGGTTAGGTATCCGTCCTTGCGTGTTGCCTATATAGATGAAAGGGAGGAGACAGTTAATGGAAAATCACAGAAAGTATTCTACTCTGTGCTGCTCAAAGGATGTGACAAATTAGATGAGGTATGCAAAGGCAATTTACATTAGTAGGTTCATACAAATATAGCTACTTCCTTGCTTACCTGGTTTTAGATCACAAAGAAAAACTTATCAAGTTTATATATTACTTATTTATTGCCAGTCCCACATTAAAATCATCACCTATTTGTCCGGAACTTTGCTCTTGATTTTTTAGGAAATATATCGTATCAAACTTCCCGGCCCTCCCACTGAAATTGGTGAAGGAAAACCTGAGAATCAAAACCATGCCATCATTTTCACTCGCGGTGAAGCACTCCAGACCATAGACATGAACCAGGTAGCTTTCGCCTCTCTAGCCCTCAGCCATTTTGTTGACTCCAACTATATATTCTCCTTCCCTTTTTCCATTTCAGGACAACTACTTTGAAGAGTCTTTCAAAATGAGAAACGTGCTACAAGAATTTGATGAAGGTCGACGTGGCAAGAGAAATCCTACAATTTTGGGTCTTCGTGAACACATATTTACTGGAAGGTCTGATATTCTTCATACATTTGGTCGTTCTTGATGTTTATTGTACATGTCTGTCTCCACAGAATATATAGTTTTCTTTATCGTTCTCGTCTGACTTCTTTCTGACCCCGCAGTGTTTCTTCACTTGCTTGGTTCATGTCGAATCAAGAAACAAGTTTCGTAACCATCGGCCAACGTGTTCTGGCAAATCCTCTGAGGTATTCTCAAATCTTATGACTAGGGAACAGAACCTTCCAATCCTTCCTTTGTAGCTTCAAATCCTACTTTAGAAGTAGCAGTCCCTGCATCATTGAACCTAATAGATTATATTATAGTTAGAATCTTTTTGTTCTGGAAAGAAGACTAGCTTGGATTCTTTAGACAACTTACTTACGATTCTTTTACAGGGTGCGTTTCCATTATGGCCATCCTGATATATTTGATAGAATCTTCCACATCACAAGGGGAGGCATTAGCAAGGCTTCAAAGATAATAAACTTAAGCGAAGATATCTTTGCAGGTAGAGAACGATCTTGACAAGCGTTTGTTTTCTAAATTTTTTTGTGTATTTGTGATGGCTAATCATGGTAACATCCAGGGTACAATTCAACTCTTCGTGGGGGTTACATCACACATCACGAGTATATTCAAGCAGGGAAAGGGCGTGATGTAGGGATGAATCAGATTTCATTTTTTGAAGCCAAAGTTGCGAATGGTAATGGAGAACAAACACTAAGTCGTGACGTTTACCGACTTGGACGCCGGTTTGATTTCTACAGGATGCTCTCATTCTACTTCACCACAGTTGGTTTCTATTTCAGTAGTATGGTATGCCTAATTTCTCATTCAAATAGTTATTTCCTTTTGTACCTCTGCCCTATACTTATGGTTGGAATCTTGGGATTTTTAAACTTGTATTTTCTGTTTCAGATAACGGTGCTCACGGTATATGTGTTCCTTTATGGGCGTCTTTATCTGGTATTGAGCGGATTAGAAAAAGAGATCCTGCAAAGTGCAACTGTACATCAGTCCAATGCCCTTGAGCAGGCATTAGCTGCCCAATCTGTTTTCCAATTAGGTTTTCTGATGGTTCTACCAATGGTTATGGAAATTGGCCTAGAAAAAGGGTTTCGCACGGCCTTGGGTGATTTCATCATAATGCAGCTTCAGCTTGCCTCTGTTTTCTTCACGTTTCAGCTTGGAACGAAAGCCCATTACTTTGGAAGGACAATTTTGCATGGAGGCTCTAAGTACCGAGCAACTGGTCGAGGGTTTGTTGTTTTCCATGCGAAGTTTGCGGAAAACTACAGACTATATTCGCGAAGCCACTTTGTTAAGGGACTGGAGTTGGTCATACTACTCGTTGTGTATCAAGTTTATGGAACTTCATACCGTAGCTCAAGTACTTATCTATACATCACATTTTCTATGTGGTTCCTGGTGACTTCTTGGTTGTTTGCTCCATTCATATTCAACCCATCTGGGTTTGAGTGGCAAAAGACGGTGGACGACTGGACTGACTGGAAACGATGGATGGGAAACCGTGGTGGCATAGGAATCGTTCTTGACAAAAGTTGGGAATCATGGTGGGATATAGAGCAAGAACACCTCAAGCACACAAATTTAAGAGGAAGGGTTCTAGAGATACTTCTCGCTTTGCGTTTCCTCCTTTACCAGTATGGAATTGTCTACCACCTCAACATCGCTCACCGCGACACAACATTTCTGGTAAAGTATTTCGGCATATGCTTTGATACTTCCCTTTTCTATAGCTTTGGAAATTCCAATAACTTTACCCTTTTCTTCTTCAAGGTTTATGGACTCTCTTGGGCCGTCTTGTTGTCTGTTCTTCTCGTGCTAAAGGTAAGGCTCCGAAACTAATCTGTTTTTAAGCTTTTTTACCTTCTTCAAAACCAGAAAAAAATCTTCAGCCAACTCTATTAGATAGTCTTTGAAGTTTTAGAACAATGGTTTATCTGTCCTTTCACATTTATGATTGTGTCGTTTAATTATTTGACAGATGGTATCAATGGGTAGACGGAAGTTTGGTACAGATTTTCAGGTTATGTTCAGGATTCTCAAGGTGCTTCTCTTCCTTGGTTTCTTGTCAATCATGACACTATTATTTGTAGTCTGCGGCCTCACAGTCTCGGATCTTTTTGCTTCCATCCTCGCTTTCTTGCCTACTGGATGGGCTCTTCTTCTTGTAAGTCCACACAACTTTCTTAGCTACTCAAAAATAATTCCATCTTTCCATGAGAATAGTAAGTTTGTTAATCCGTTGCTATGTTTTGAAGATCGGGCAAGCGCTGCGTAGCGTATTCAAGGGATTAGGATTCTGGGACTCAGTGAAAGAGCTAGGGAGAGCTTATGAGTACATAATGGGGCTTGTGATATTCACACCCATTGCGGTCTTATCGTGGTTCCCATTTGTGTCCGAGTTCCAAACCAGACTGTTGTTTAATCAAGCCTTCAGTCGCGGTCTGCAGATATCTATGATTCTCGCCGGAAAGAAAGACAAAGAGACACCTTCCACCAAGTAGTGTGGCTCAAAGCGCTCTCTTCTTCTTCGTCTTCTCCATTTTTTCTTTCATCTCCATTCTTTTTCATCTGTTTAATTGACTGTCCTTGAGAACATAGAAAAGATGTTTAGACTACTTGTGATAAGACTTCATACTCATAGTACATGTTGTTGTTCAGACTAGGCCATTTGTTCAAGTAGGTATACTAAAAGTCTGCGACAATCCCTTTTGACTTAAACATGATACAAAGACCTCTAACCCCCATTATTAATCTGTCTGTGTAACAACTAACAAAAGATGTCTCTCTCTTTTTAATTTCATCTTCTTCAAAAAATGTCTCGAGCATAATAGTTTTTTAAAAAAAACAGAGGAAGCAAAAACTGATTGATATTTTTTCACTAATGATTAAGAATTTGTATCGAGGTTAGTGGAAATTACACTTGGATCCTTGTCACTGTTTTAAAACATCTGCGAACACTCAAAATCCAACTGTTGAAGAAGAGCACTGAGAAAGTCGGGAAATTCATATAGACCAAACGAATCTCCAACAAAACCATCTTCCTTTCTGGTATGTATTTTCGAATTGTGAAAATTTGACGATTAGTTTCTCTACCCTATGTTTTAAACTTGATACTTCGTGTAAAGCTTCTTTGGCTTCTTTTTTTTTTCTCAATTTCTTTCTCTGGATTGTTTGTTTTTGCCTTATGTAGGCGCCTGCATCGAAAATCGGCCAAAGAGAACGCTCTCTGAAAAAAGGTAATCTTCAATGCTGGAGCGCATGAAATTAGGGTTTTAGTGCCACCACTGGGTATGTACAGATGAAAATTGGAAAAGCTCTAGACTTTTGTGAAATCCATAACGTTTTGAGTCGTTTAGAGTCCAGATCTGGTGCCTTATACAGATTTGATTTCAGGAAGCCTTGAGTTGAGTATCTATGTCTGGCTCTAGAGGCTTCTGGGTCTAGTTCACAGATGTAGCAACATTACTGCATTGTGTCTTTGTGATTTTGAGATTTTGCTCTGCTTTTAAACGGAGAAACCCTTCTCTCTATGCGGTTTTTAGTCTTCTTCTTGATCTGTTGCTTGCCTTGTTCCCCAAATTAGCTATGGTGAAAACTGGTTTATTTTTCCTTTCCCTTTGATTCATGTTTCTCTTGATTACAGTGGTTCCTAACATAATCACAACCCGAGGACGGTGATGCATTCGACGGTGCAGCATGGTGGGAACAAGAGTGGCAAGTCCAATGTATGGGCTAACACTAATTTGGCAAAGACAGTGGCAGCTTTAGATGAGTTCAAATTTGGATTCCCATCAGGCGGGTTAACAACTGTGTCAAACAAATGGTGGGGAAGGCCAGAGAAAGGTGGACGCCAAGATGTTGGAGGAGAGAATACTGAAGATGGAGATGGAGATGTCAAGGACGAAGCAGCTTCTCATACGCAAAATTCTTTGGTAGCTATTAGGAAAAGAATAGCGGAAGAAGGAAGAGAAGCTGTTGAACTTGGTCTGCATAGAGGATTTTGTTCAAAAAGACCAGACAAGAGAGATCAAGTTTTAATGTTTCAGATCTTCAACTCCGCACTGCCAAAGGATTGGGTTACTGATTCTTCTTAAATTCGTATTCTAGGTTTAGAACAGAGTTCCCTCTTAACAATTATGCTCTCTTATATGTAATCCGCAAGTTCTTTAACTCCTGCAAACTATATGTATTATGTTTGTAATCGAAAGGGTGAATAACTTTCTGTAGCATTGGAGAAGCATTCACTTCTCACAAAAACACCAAAAACCAATGAAGTATGCTTAGATCATGTCTCAAAGTGATTTGGAAATACAACAGGAAGACTTGCGATCTTACGCGTCTACAAATCATTTCTGTTATTGCAAAAACATGGGAACAAATAATACGGAGACATACGAACAGTCCTAGAGCCTTTAGAAGAAAATTGACAAAATGAGAGCTGATGCCGAAAAAGGGGATTTTTGCTGGTATACGTCTCAGAATTGAAACCAAACATGCATGCCTTCGGAGGTTCCAGGCTTTTTGGTGCTCTACTGTGCGAGAAACAAGACCTGTTTTCATGTCAAATGCCTGCAATGCGCGGATACAAGAATGTACTTGAGCTGTGAGTGCACATAGAAAATTATCATGAAAGAGATTCAATTGCTTCTCAGAACAGCCTAAGACAAAATATTCAATATTGTTGTGGTGAAAAATCAAACGTCTCTAACAATCAGCATCGTAAGATTCAGATAGCAAGCAGCAGTAAGTTCATCAGGCAAACTAAAGACTTCTCTAACTCCAATCCACTCAACTTCTGGGGAGGATTAATCTCTACCCTAACTAAATGCACGAGAGAAGCTAGGGTAAAATCCTAGGAAAACATAAACTACGAATCATGGGAAACCGTAAATCTTGTTTCAGAGATGAAGATGAGGCCAAACAGCATATTGTATCATAACACTCATCCTTTAGAAACCCGCTAATGAAACCATAAGACCAAGCTAGCAAAAGGAATTAGATAAGTTACGAGAAACTGTTGCAACAAACAGCAAAATTAGTGCCAAGGAAAACTTAACAACCTAAAGGTTTGCACAAACAAAGATGATCAAGTTTTATACCTCTGGAAAAGCTCCGAAAAGTAGCGAGTACCGTTGTATATAACGAACCACATCAAAACTACCACCAAAGAATCTGAAAAGAGTTGAGGAAAGGCAAAGAAGATGCTAGCAGAGATCATCTCAAGTCCTAAAATACCGAACGTTAACACTTCCAGAGAGAGTATAACTTAACAACTTAATCTCAATTGAAAGTAAATCATTCATTAAGTAGAGAGAGATTATGATCCAAACTCTTAACATGAAAACAAAATTCTAAAACTGAACAGACACAATTGCTTTAGACGACAAAACAAGAGAACAGAATTGAATGCCACCATATATCATATCATCAACGATGTAAAAATCAAAACTTTCATCTTTCTAATGAAAGAGTAAATCGAAATTGAAGCACAGAAAAACCAAAAATCGATCAAGAGAACGAATCAAGCATGGAGGGATAGAGAAAGTAAAAAAGGATACTGAAGAGATATCGTTCCCACCAATCAAGCATGTAGAGCCCGAATGTGACATTATAAAGGTAGATTTTGCGTTGAACCCAGTTCATATCTGATCGATTCCTACAGTGGAGAAGCGGGAAGATTACAAATCTGAAATTGACAAAAACCCGATCCAAGATTCAAAATTTACCTGGTAAATCTGACAGAGAGAACTTGTTGATACAGATATACGAAACAGGATTACAAAGCGCCAGGAGATTCTCGATCTATGGAATGGTATCTGACTTGAGATTTTGAATTGAAAAATCAAATTTGGACGGAGACGTCAAAGCTGGAAAAGTCTGTGACGGAATATACTAAATCTCATCCTCAATTTATTTTCCCACCACGGTTTAGCCGGTTTGCAGTAACCAGGTATTATACAATACCGGTTTTCAGAACTAACCGGATAACATCTCACTGCAAAGAAAGGTCCTGCAATCCACGCGCGTGTTCCTTTGTAAGAAGAAGACCAAAGATGGTTACGACGAGCATCGGCGGAGCTCTGGTGGTGGTTGCTCGGTCTCGGAGGATTCCGACGAGCCCGAGGTGCTTCTACGTCACCGCAAATTCCGACCTTCTTCGCTCCCAGCTTGATCGGCTTCACGCGGAGGCAGAGTCCACCCGTGTCAAAGGTCGAATCTTTATTCGTTTTAATTGGACTGAGTAGAGAGTGAATCAATCGTCGTTTCCTGGCTTTAGATACCCAAATTTAGAATGAATGAAAGCAAATCCATATGAGTCTTTATGGTATCTGAAGATGTGTGAAAGTCTTAGACTTTTGAAAGATGAGATGTTGGTTTTACTTTTTGTCAATTTGATTTTTTTTTGTCTGTTGTTGTTGTTGGTCCAGCAAACAGTAATAGGTTGAGACTTCTGAGATTATCTGAGGCTGCTGAGAATCTACGGAAACAAGCAGCTGTGAATGTTCAAACAGGGAAAGAGAATGACGCCAGAGAGTTACTTCTTCAGAAGAAAAAGGTTATGCAAGCTTTGGACAAGGCAAAAGCTCGTATTGAGTTGCTCGATACGCTTTCTTCTAAACTTAACGAGGTAGAAACAAATAAGAGCTTACTTGTTATCTCAGCATTCCTAGTTCTGTTGTGTATAACTTGTTTGAGAAAAAGACTTAAACGAAAATGTTATAGTTTTGGTTGTTTGTTTCAATTGTCCAAGAAATCTATCTAACCATGTCTTGAGAAGCTTGGTTTGGTTTCAGGCAATATCTGTCAAGGAAACACAGCTGATAGGCAATATATCTTTGGATCTCGAAGAGGATGGAGAGAATAGTACTTCAGGTGGAATCCACATTGTATCGCCAAAGCCCAAATCTACTGAAGACGGGCACGAAAATGACCACACTCACTTGGATTCTGAGGGAAGTCAACTTATTGAAAAGAATTTTGAGGATTACCAAGAACTTCTCGATAATCATGTACTAGAAGATGTTTCAACTGGTAGCATCCTTAAAGAAGTGTCTTCTTATGAATCTTTCTTGGAAAGTTTAGACCAGAAACTTAGCAGAATCGAAGCTGAACTAGTCACGGTTGTGAATGTTGCATCCTTGGTACTTAATCATGAAGATAAACCCAAGAATCTAAAGGTTCAGCAGTCTGCAGAAATTCTTGAAGAGATTCGTCGTGTGCGGGAAAGGTAATGCATTCAAAACATCACTAAGTTTTACTTTCTAATCACTGCATCATTACTTAGTCCATTAAGTTTTGTTTTGCTTGTCTAGAATCGCAAATATCATTTGCAAAGAGGCAAACATCAATTAATGTGCTTCAAGCATTACTTACCAGCGCAGCGCAGTGAACTAAAGTAATGAAACCACTCTTGGTATGAAAAGTTAATTTAGCATTTCTTTAATCAGTCTGTTTAGACAGGTATATAGTCATTTTCTTGGTGTGAATATTAATATCTTCTAAGGTGCTACATTAAATTTTGATGTGATATGAAGTTAATATGGTCGTTCACGTTAATGTTGTTGTTATGTGGGATGATGATTATTTAATGTGATATCAACAATACTTAGGAGCATGATTAAGTAAAGAATAACATACTATTAGATTTATACATTTAATATTGATTCAACTAACTGTGAAATCATTTCATTTGTTTTAGTATAAAATTGATGGCATTAAAGCGACAGGTTGAGATTATGGACTATACAAATCCAGAAACAAAATCATATAAAGCAAACATTTCCAATACATATCAATGGTCCCGAGTGATAAGAAATAGAAATGATGCCAATGAATCAACCATATAGAATTGAACATCTAAGTCCTGAAATAACAATAATATTTAGCTTTTCAAACAAACAAACAAAACTAATGAAAATTCGGATTATTTTATCTGACAATGCCTTCATTTCCAGCAAGAACCAAGTACTTATCCCTCCTTGTGAGGTTAGTGCATTCAAATCCCAAAACCCTAGCAAGTTCTCCCTGTATGAAATTCGCAACTTCAAAGCTTGACTTGCCTCCTGCACAAGTCATCTCTTTTGGCAACTTCTTCAAAACCTCAAGACAATAAACCGGCCTAGGGTTCATGAGGAAGAAGATAGGGTCTAAACACTTGAGCCCGCTCGCGGTTGTCCCATAGAACATGCTCACTCGAGCATCCACAGCCACGGGAACAATGTCTTCGGTTAACTCAGCGAACAGAGGACTGAATCTTAGTAGATAAGGCTCTCTACAAGTGGTTCCTTCAGGACAAACCACTAGATCCCCTTTGCTTAATAGTCTCTGCATTGCCTCGCCGTCTTTCTTCCTATCTCTTTTAAGGCTAACCGTCTTGAGAGGTGCTATGAGCTCGGAGAACTTGCTTAGGCTGTAAGTAACCGCGGTCAAGGGCTTGCCAAGCGAAGTGGTGAGGAAAACTGGGTCAAGGAGGGTCCTATGGTTGCATACATACAAGACTCCACTTTTACCTTTCTCTGGACGACCATTATTCAAATTATGAGTCTTGAAAGTGATCCTAACACCGGACATAGAAGCCAAGAAATTGGCTACATGGTAAGGAAGCAAGACTCCTACTGAGATCCTGAAGACAGCGAGGAAGAATCCGATAGGGAGCCATATGAACATAGCTAATGTAGCTAATGGTGTTGGCAAGAAAGCCAATCTCCCGTCGTGGAATATCAATGGCTTTGGGTATCTTTCTCTAGGCAGTGTGTTGTTCTTGTTCATGGACTCTTCTTCATTCCAAAGATAAGCTTCCTGTGGGGGAGGTTCAGAACAAACTGATAGTTAGTGACTTTCATCTGCTTTTGTGAAATTGGGAATTACAGAAAATGGAAAAACGAAGCAACTTTGCTAATAGTAATGAAGAAGTGATCTTGTGGGAAATCAAGAGCAAAATAAGAAGCTCTAAACTTTGATCTATTTTTGTGAAATTTGAAAAGTAAAGAAAACAGAGATGAAGATGTGACCTTGTAGGAAATTTAACTTTATACTTTAAAAGGAAAGGAAATTACTTTGCAAATGGAGATGAAGATGTGATCTTGTGGGCTTGAAGAGCATCCAATTCCAAGTGCAGGCTTCTTCTTGTTATCGAGGAAGTAGTCTTCAGCTGATTTATGTTTCACGACGAAACCAGGCCCCGAAGCTAGGCCTGTGTAAAATTTCCTCCCCGTGACTTCTATTTCTTGCAGTTTGGTCCCAATCACATCATCAGCGTTGAGATGTTCTCTGAGGAACCTCTCCACCAGCACTTGCGGCAAGCTCGTGAACACAACTTTGGAGTACTCAGTTCGAGCCCAGATGTCGTAAACCTGAAGATTCAAGTTCTCGAGGAAGAATTTGGGTAGAACCGATCTAGAAACGTTGTCCATTTCTTTGACTCTAAGACCAGAGAAGGTAATAAAAGAGAGAACTTTGAGTTTGGTTTCTTGTTGCAGAGCCCAAAGGAATGAACAAGAGAGCAAGAGGAGGATCGCTCTGATGATCGATCCTCCTTCAAAAGCCACGAGCATGAAGTAAGGGAAGAACGAGTGGAAGTGTTTGCTAGAATGTTGTCTTAATAAAACACCATCGACGTCGCAGACAAAGGTATCAAGATGATGATCAGACGAAACAGAGCATGCTCTGTTTTTGTCTACATGCTCTTGGTACTTTGTAATGCTTGGGAAGATAGGGTTTAGAGAATCTTGAAAGGACTGGATTTGCTGATTTTGTTGTTGTTGTTGCTGTTGTTGATGATGAGAATTGTTGTGTAGAGATTGTGATTTAGAGAGGCTTAGGAGATTTTTCAATTGGAAACCATAGCCTCTAAGCTTTCTAGCAGCTCTGTAACATGAATTAGCAAGAAGACGGTAAAGAACCCATTCTGCTAGAATCACTAGAAGCTCTGGTAAAACCATAGCTATGGCTTAGAGAGAGAAGAAGAAGAAAAAGAAGAAGAAGAGTAAATGTGTTGGAGAAGACGAAGAAGTAACAGAGGAGGTTTTATATAAGTGACTGATGATGATAGGCGAGTGCAAAGGTGGTGTGAAGGTTGACCCTTTTTTATTTTAGTTTTGCTTTTTAACTTTTTAAAAATTTTGGTTAACCCACACATCTCTCTCGCATTAACTGTACGCCACAATGTCTATGAATCCTTTTTCTTTATTTTAAAAACTTTAAATTAGCTAGAATGTGTTTTTGTTTGTTCCCAAGAAGTTATGGTTGATGATTATTCCTATATTTTGCACACGTAAATTCAAGATATCACATATAATAAAGTACCGTATAGTCCAAGGTTATTAATTATCGTCTACGCAAGTACGCAGGACACTTTGTAGTATTATGTTGTGAATGATGTGCAAGTTGGCCGCTTTACTAAAACTATTGAATGTTGCGTTGCTTTCTCAGCTTCCACTTGGAGGCTTTGGGGCAGAGACATGCTGCATGTGTTAGCAAAAATAAAAAGTAATTGCTTAAGGCCACAAAAAAAATGAAAACTTAAGAGTCACATTTTTCTCTAAAATTATATAGTATTTAGTTTACTACAATGTGTTTAAGCTATTTGCTTAAGAATTTCAATTCTTATTATCACAAAAAGTGTTGACTATTGTATCAATAGCGAGGACGTAGGCTAGAAATTCAATCATGTAATTAACTATCGTAAACGAAAAAAACTTTTGATGTGGGTTTTTTGCTTATAAGTTTAATCTGACGCTCAACATATAAATCATGTCAACCATACTAATCTTTTTTTTTGTTCAACCATACTAATCTTATTACAGTGCAATCATTGAAAACCTATATAATCAGTTAAAATCCAAAAAAAAAAAAATAAGTGTTTGCCACTAACTCTAAGACAAAATGTCTTCTTATCCCATATATACACTTTTATTAATAACAAAAAGTTATAACTTATAGGATCAATAAGTCAACCGTTATCCATATATATACTTTTTTCATAGTGGATAACAGTTAATTTGATCCTAACCTAATCGCAGAATATATAGTACTAGAACATAACCTCATGTGAACACGATTACGTAGAATTAACGCGCATGTTTATAGGTTGATTTTTCCCCAAAGTTTCAAAGGATGCACCTTTTTTTCTGCCAACTCCAAGATATGGAAGAGCTTTAACAAGTTAGGTTACGCAGTTGGTGACCGGCCCTTCTTTTCTACAAATTTGCATACTTTTCAAAATGTAATGTTTTTTCCTTTTTAAGTAAATTTTGTTGAATGTAGATTTACGGGTGGTGCAATTTTTGACGAGTCTCAAATTGTCAGCTTTTACGTAAAGAGAAGAGAGTTTTTATTATAACACATCATCTGAAAGACTGCAACTGAATAATATTTGAATATCAAAGACAAGTTGTGTTTTTCTTATGATGAAATTAAAAAAATGGTGAATGATATCTTAGTGCATCATATCCAAACAAACGTTTAGAATATCTATGGCAAAACGTTTTTATTTTACAACTATTGTGAATAAATTGGAAATATTTGTTTGTATTTGAATTCGGAAATGCAAATTTCTTGCCATTAATTGGAAATACTAAAGGAAAAATACATGTTGCTATAAGAAAATTAATCCAACTTTTTTGTTTGTTTGACATCAGCTAAAACTTGTTTTCCGTACGAGCATTGATTATAACCAATAGACATGACATTTACGAATAAATGAGACAAGTCACTACCGAACTTCAAATCTTAAAGCCAACGACAACTTATGTCATGATATATATTATGCAACGCAAGTACAGTCCAAAATCAGAATATATACAATTAGTCCAACCTTACCTATACCATGTCTCATTACTTTCGCTAATTAATTGGACCAAACTTAGTGAGATAAATTAATTACCAACATATCGATGTCAGAAGAAATTTACATATCTCTCTGTCGACAACCATAACAAATACAACCGAACATCACTAAATCTTCAATTGTACTGCAACTCTTGTATGATTCGAAAATTTGATGTTTATCCTTTTTATTTGTTTTTGTATCCATAATTGTAAACGTCGCTCTTACTAAAAGTAAATGTAGTTTGCATAAAATTGCTTACCTGTCCATGCTTCGTGATAACCATTTGAAACCTTAATCGATGTGAGACTAATTCCATAGTTATGATCTATGATAAATAAATGAGCAAATATGTCAACGTATGCATGAATAGTAGAAGCAAAAGTCAAACAATAAATGACCCTGCAGACATAAGAGTAAATGAAATTGATGAAGGCATAGAGAAATGTGAATTGGATGCATAAAAACTTAAAACTTGTTTATGAACATGCCGAACCTTTTTTACCTTTCACCTTCGTCCATTTTTTTGCTTTGAAAATT